GAACTGAAGGTGTCACTACGTCACCATGTGTCACTCGGTTAATTAACTTCTCTGAAAAAATGAGACAACATGACATTTTGACAACATAGTGGGATTAATGCAAAAATAAATTCAAATCATACTTTATAAAGCTTCATTTACAGGTATTTCATCATCAGTAAATGAATCCTCATTATCGTTTGGTTCAACCTGTTTATATAATCCTTTCATTTCTTCTTTCAAAACATAATACCATGTCTGTTTACCATCTATTCTTCTCTGTTTCTTATCACATTTATCCTTAATGCTCATTTGAAAATTCTTGTCTTTCATGTCTGATGGTTTGCAGAATAGAGCATTTTTACACGTCATACCTACACACAATTCATCATAATGTGTATTTATCCATACATCTAAAGGATTTGTTGATAATTCAATTAAATCTTGTTTGGCTTCAGTCATCGGTATGATTCGTACATTAAATGATGAAAGGTCATATTGCATAAAATACGTCAGCAAATTATCATAAAATTCCTTTGTGCATGAATCCATTAAATTCTTGAAGTAATCAAATTGACCCTTAAATTTACCATTGACCCTTAAAACCACATATCTTCTGTCTCCAACTTCAATTTTGACAGGGTAAACATTGTTAGTTACGAAAATGAAGTTTGCAACGTTCTGTGCTGTTCTTCTGGGTTGATTCTTTTCATTAATTCTAATCTCATTATCCGTTATAATTGATTTCAAAGCGTTGAAGTTTGCGAGTCTATCTTCACCTACATTCTTGAGTTCATTAAGTACAAGAAACATTTTATTCTCAACTACTGAATTGAAATTACCCGTTAGCTCACCTATTTCAGTAATGTTTTTACATGAATAACCAGCGAGAAGTTCAGAAATAATGTCTGTAAATCTGTTTTTACCTGTTCCCTGAAGTCCTTTCAAAATAATTGCTGTTTCATTCTTGATTCCAGGATGTTGAATCATTGATGCAATCCAGCCGAGAAGGTATTTATACACTTCATCGTTATTATCACAAATGGCTTCTTTAATGAAATTCATAAACATCTCAATTTTTGAGTAATCTGGTTTTTCGAGAATGTTGTATTTATAACCTTGAAACGTTGAGAAAACATCTGGAGAATCAGATTTAAAGCAAACACCCTTAACGGTTAATGAAGACAATTGATTTAATAGTACGTCCCATGCTGTTATTGTTTTACCTTCTTCTTTAAATAATTTAATCATTTTAAGTGACTCTTTCATGTTTGATTGAAGAACGAATGATATTTGATTCATTTTGTCGTGGATGTTGTAATCTTTTTGAATGAAGTATTTGTTTCCACAATCTACAAAACGGATTACACGTGATAAATCCTCAATTACTTCAGAACTGTTTTTATACTGATGATTTTCAGCCTTGCGTCTAATATCCGTTATCAAAAACGAGTCATCAAGTTTTATATCAAATGTTATTTTTGGCTTACGTAATAAAGGTAAAACATATTCATCATAATATTCCTTTTGATATAGTTTTAGAATCTTCACCAAAACAAATGGAGAAGTCATTAAATGTGCATATCTATTACGTGCTTTTTCAAAATTACTTTTTGCATTTTCTGTTAAACTACAGAAGTTATAAACGTTGTCGTATGCTTCATTAATTAAATGATTGGGTAACGAATTAATAGCTTGAAATAGTGTGAATAATGTAACTTCTTTTTCTAAATTCTTGTTTCCACCGTCATTATGTACTTCAAAATCACAGATGCCATCAACTATGCTTTGAGCTAGTTTATCGTCAATGTTTACATCTTTGTTCTCATTCATGATAGTCTTTATTTCTTCGTTCTTCTGTTCAACTCTTACCTTAATATTCAAATCATTTAATATATCATTCACTGTTCTAGTTAATGTTGAATCATAACTTCCACGAATGAATGAGTATGTATTGACTGGTTCTGTTGCATTCTTGCGAACTCTTGAATCAGCCATAACTACTAAAGAACGCTTTGAATCATCCATTGAAGTCATTATATCAATATCATAATCATTGCAGGAATAACATTTAATCATTCTGTTCGAAACTGCATAGAAGAAATTAGTGTTGCAATAAATGTGAAGACCTCCCGAAGCGGTTTTAACGATAACATCTTTATCCGAAAGTTTTGATAAAATGTCTTTTCTAACTGTTTCTTTAAGTTCATCATTGTATGATTTATTAATATCAACATCTATAATCGTTAAATTTGATATTTTATTTACTAATAAAGCCATACCGGTTTTCCTTCCTCTTCCTCCATCATGTTTGAGGTAGTTATGTAAATCAATCATGTTTTCACCAATTCTTTCGTTGAGGGTTTTAGTTTCTGCCACAACTAATTCCTCAACTAATGAATCAATAACTTTTTCATCAGAAACGATATAGTCACTGTTGTTGTTTGTTGTCGTCATTTATATAGGAATAAAAAAATAAAAATAATTTTAAAACTAACTTTATTTTTGGGCTGCATCATATTTCCAGTGATGTTGTCAAAATGTCATGTTGTCTCATTTTTTCAGAGAAGTTAATTAACCGAGTGACACATGGTGACGTAGTGACACCCTCAGTTCTTCAAAAATAATTAATTATTGAATAACCTGAAATCATTAATGATAACATATATTTTTGGTCGTTAATGATAAAAATAAATGGTTCATTTACTCACAATATTTTTGTACAAAACGACCCCAAACTTTTAACTTCTTTTCTGCAGCTTCAAATGCTATCTTAGCGAGTTCATATTCTCTAAATTCTCTCTTTAAATCTTCTTGTTCCCATTGGTCTAGTTCGTATGGGGAATCCCTATAACCATAACATATCTCACGTTCATGTTCTAATTGTTTTTCGCGCATTTTTCCAACTTCTTCTTCAAACAAATGTTTAGCATTCTCTACTGTATCTTCGAGTTCTTCTTCATCTAATTTCTCATGAACTTTCTTGTCTATGGAGTCCATAATTTTTCCAACTGCTATGCAATATTTTGGAGAAGCCCACATTGCTATATAGTTTATAAGTCTTGGGTCTACATACGTTCCTCTAACCTGTTTGATTTCATCAGGAATTCCTGCATGAATTTTGTATAAAAAGCAACCGCCGGAATTCCGACTGTTGCTATATTCTTCACAAAATGCCTTATAATACTCTTCCCAGGACTTATTTTCCAACAACTTTCTAAAGTCTTTCCTAAACTGCTGACACATCTTTGTTGCATTAATGTAACCATCCTTGTCTCTACGTAAGATTTCAATACCATTATAAGTGCCTTTTGTGAATGTTTCGCCATTTGATTTGTTCGTGAATGTTTTTACTTCGACTGACATTTCTGTTCTTACATACAAAATAAAAAAATAAATAAAAATAATTTTAAAACTAACTTTATTTTTGGACTGCATCATATTTCCAGTGATGTTGTCAAAATGTCATGTTGTCATCATTTTTAAAAGAAGTTAATTGTCATGGTAGCACATGGTAACATGGTAGCACTGAAATCAAATTTTGTTATCAGTTATTTTATCATCATTTTATTAACTTCATCTTTAGTTAATAATTTGAATGGATTCGCTAATGTTCCACCTTGAGTCACAAACACTTGCCCCGGCTAATTGTGAAGAACCTGGGATAAGTACTCCATGAAATGATTTCATTGGTAACATTAATTTAGAAATAGTTGGCTTAATTAATTTTGTCATTTATGATAAAAATAAAATTACATAATTTAAATTTTTTTCTTTCTCATTTTCTCATCCTGTTTTGGTTTCAGCAACTTTTCAAGTTGTTGTCTTGTCAGTAACTTGAATTTAACTTTGGATCAAATATTGGGTTTCCATCTTTATCTCTTCCAATAACACCATATGGTAGAATCTTCATTTATACTAAAATAAAAATTTAAATTATACCGTTTGCTCTTTTGGAGCTCAGGACTTTCAGTCCGTTCTAAAGTTTGTTTCACAAACATTGAGCGTTCATTGAACTCTATACCATGCGTAAACTGTCATGTAAGGTGGCATGTATTCTTTACTTTGTCCCGTTGTTTGTGTATATCCTGAAACGAAATGTGTATGGTTTCCCTCTCCCTGAGTGTCACTCCAGTAACAATTTATAGCAAACTTAACGTCATCTTTAACATCATATCCTTTACCTTTTGTCATTCCTGACCAATCCCAATATCTATGCTTATGCCAACCTGCTTGAGATGTACTTAAATCTATGTAGTGACTGTGTGCAGGTAAATTTTCACCTGTAATCGTTTTACTTCCCCCTGTTTCCTTTGAAGAGTTTGCACAATACAAAAACCTGTCGACTATTTGTTCCCATGCACCAACACCAAACATTACTTGAGGACCTCTTGCATCCATAGATGTATAAATAGAACCTACTGGGTTCATTAAATCAAACATATGAGATATTATAGGATTGCCTCTTTTGAACTTAAAATATAGTGCAACTATTTCAGGTTTCTTCTGGTTTGTGTCAGAATATTTTTTATAATATAATCTTATGTTTTCAGGGTGGGTAAAATCTTGACTATAATATTTATTTCTGTCATCTGTATAATAATATACTATTCTCGTTTTTTCTATTGCATTATATCTTTTATATCTATAATAATCTAAATATAATGTTAACTTTTGTTCATCTACATGTGGTGTTCTGACATCATCTCCATAGTCATAATAATATGGTGCTGGAGCTGGGTCAGGCAATGTCATATCCACCATTTCATAAACTCTTAAATATTTCTTTTGTTCGTCTCCATATAAGTTTAAGTAACAGTTGTTGTCTAATGGAACTTTAACTTGTGTGCCATCATTCTTTTTATAACTTACATACATTTCATTGTTATTTTTCGGAATGAGTTTACACCGTGTACCATTTTTTAAGGACTGTACAAACTGCCATCTAAAATATTTATTTTCTTCATTGACAGAAAAGTCACCAACAATAGTTTCAATATTTTTTGTTGTTCCTATCAAACTTTGGTATATTTCGTTAACATATTCCTTATCCGCTTTCTTCTCTAACTCATCGTTAACATAAGTTTTATCTGCTTTAAGGTCTAAACATCCTGAAACCCATCCTGTATCAGCTTTAGTTTTAAAAATCTTCGATGTCCATTCATGATACCATTCAACCCTTTCTTTAATTTCATTATCTTTTTCATCAACATAAACCAAATTTGCCTTCTTATTTAATTCACTAGCCACATATTCCTTATCCGCTTTCTTCATTATGTCGTTTAGGAAACCTTTTATGAATTCCTCATTTAAATTAAATCTTCCAATCTTCAAAACTTTGGGAAATGCATTTAATGCGTAATATCTTTGTTCTTCTGGTGGAATTGATGTTATATCATCCGTTATTCCTTTAATTTTTGAATTCATAAATAAAATTTCTTTTATATTTGATATCACTGCACCACCTTTGCAAACGAATTCGAAACGGTCATTTTTCAATACTATCTCCAAATCTCCATATTTCAACCTTTGTGTTTGTTCTGCCATCTTTGAATTATATGCATATATGGCGTATGTAATGGTCTGAAGGACTTGGGTGCTTTGCGCCTTAAGTTGCTGTTGTTTAATCATTTATTACGATTTAAAAATAAATATTTAATCCGTTATCTCATCAGCTATTTTCTCTATTTGAAATTGCCATAATATTTCATTCATAAATTCTAAATCACAATCAAATAGGTCAGTTATTCTAAATTTAATATTTGATAAATCTTTTGAATGAAGAATAAATGAATTCCCGGATAATTGAAACGGATATGATAAAGAAAATGTGTTTAAGTTGATGGATAAAATGTTTTGTATTGATGGGTAAGAGTTAGGGTCTAATGTTTGATGTGAAAATCTCATTGGGGTATTAACTTTATCACATTTGATTAAAATGAAATTGGAACCAGTGTCAGAATACAAAACATCCCCAACATCTTTTTCAAAATTTAATATCCCCAACAATGAACGAAGGTGAGGAGTACAAAATTTAATTTTCAGCGGGAATTTAATAAGGTTATTTATTTCATCAAGTTCAAAAAGTTTTTCAGGTTTTGATTTAAAATTTTCTTCATACATACGATAAATGATTTCATTTAAATAACTTAAAATCGTGTTAATATCCCATTTCGCTATCACATTATTTATATACATATCATACGTTTTTTCATGGCCATCTTTAATAAATGATATATAATCTGAAGGGTCTAAAAGAATGGGATTAAATTTACCACTCACAGAAACGAGAGTAACATTATAAATTCCACTAACTGTTAAATTTAATTCACAATTATTATTCGAAATAATATTGATAATTGACATTTTTATTACGATTAAAAATATGGTAAAGCGTTATTTTCCAGTGATAAATAAAACTAAAATAAGATTACCTCAAGAATTCATAAATTCAACGAATAAGAAATTCATTCATGTTATAAATTTTAGTGTTTTCAGAAAATATGAGTCGATGTCATATTCATCAACAGGTTATATTTCACCTCATTCAAATTTAGTTCAATCAAACCCATATAATGACTATTTCATAAGATTTTCAGATGGTATTAAAAATGTAATTGATAGATTAAAATATGAACAGATTGACAATATCGAATTTTTGGAATTTTGGTTTAAATATCCTGATGGAAAAAAGATTGAAGTTAAAGATAAAGCTGATACTATAACAAAAATAATTACAATGACTGATCCAGATAGTGGGAAACAAAAAGAAATAAAACAAACGATAGAAACTGGTGAAAGGTCAATTATTATTGATTATGATTCAAAGGATTATTATTCGATAATGTTAATGCTTGAATATTAAATAGCCTTAACAAAGAATTTTTCAAGTGATATTTTATATTCATCAACTATTTTATTATAAATATCATTATATGTTAAATGAAGTTCAGTTGTTGTTCCATTCTTTGATATCTTAATTGTGCTAATATCCTTTATAGGATTTATTTTTGCAACTATTCGGCAGCATGAAACCTCATCATCTATGAAAAATTGAATCTTAACGTCTGAATCTTGAACATCACAAAGAATGGCGATAATGTGAATTAATGATTCATAAGGTAAAATAATTAAACCGGATTGGTCAATTAAATTTATTATTGAATCATAATTATTAATTATTATATCACGGTAAATTTTCATTAATTCAGAATTAATGTCTATTTTATATGGGTTCTCGATGTTTGATGAAAGAGGTGGGGGGTATGCTGGATAAGTGGGAATTTCAACGGGTTCTTTACCAGGTTCAGATAAAATGATTGAGTCTCCATTCTCATGGTTTTCTTCATTCTCCTCATTCTTCGGTAAGTCACGAGTTAATAAATTTGGTTGAGTTGCTGACCTTGTTAATTCAGGGCTAACATTAACTTTAACATTTTGAATAATTCGTGATTTATCATCATTTACGTTATAACCAATAGTAATCTCTGCTTTTGCGTTAGTGTTCTTTTGACTAGTGAAACGTCTTCTCATTTATATTCGAATAAAAAAATATATTTAAACTTTTATTTTGCTGGAACTTTTGAATCTATTATTCCCTGTATTTGTTCATGAAGTTGATTTTTAGCTGTTTCATCGAAATTAATAGACCGAATATATTCATTAATTGCATTCTTATAATCAACTGATTTCTCAAATTTTCTTTTATCTGATTCCTTAACTAAATCATAAGTTAAACCTCGTTGCTGATATAATGGTTTCTTAATTAAATCTTTGAATGCTTGAGATAAAGCACCTGATGCAATTCTTGCTACTATAATTGGTTGGAATTGCTGTTTAAGTTCATCTTTAACATTTGCGAAAACTGGATCGAATAAAGCAACTTTAAAGAATTTCTTAGCTGAAATTTCAGGTCTAATATTTGCATATTGACCATCAAACTGGTTAGAATATCGTGGTAATCCATCCGGTCCCTCTTCAATAGCATTTAATTCTTCATTGAAATAAGAATATGGATTATGACGGTATGAATTAATTGGACCATTTTCACCTTCTCCAATGTATTGTTTAACAGCTTTTCCATTTTCATCAAATTGCATAGGATAATGTTCATTATATGCTTTACGTTTAGGATAATCAGATACAGTTAATTTATAACCATTTATGACTTTAATATTACCTTGACCATCAGTAACGAAAACTTCATTTATACCATCAGGTTTTCCATTTGGACCCGTAATGTCTGCTTCGTGTGCTTCCCAATTTGGACCATGACGTTTGGCATATGCTTGAGCTTCTGGTAATGTTAAAACGTTTCTCATTTGTTTAACATCTTTTTGAAGACCAGCAACAATATGAACTAATTCTTTCATTCCATCAGGAACTTTCATAGTTCTATTATATGCACCCCTTTTGTTTGTCCCTTGTTTTAATGGAACCTGTAAAAGATTTGCTATTTCTGTCATGTTTAATTATAAATAAAAAATAAAAATTAATTATAAAAAGTTAATCAAATTTAACACTCCTTTATTTAAATCAACTATTATTTTTCCATGTTCACCTAATTGCTGATATTGTGTGTAAAGTTCATTAATGCTCATTGGTAAATTCACTTGATAAAGCATAACGTTCAACTGTTGACGACTAAACCCACTGAAAATGAAAAGGTTGATAGATTTGATTTAATGTTTGTGCTTAATGCTTTGAAATATTGAACAGCCATAAAGAATGAACACTGAATGTGTCGACATTGAGTTAATAACTGATTAAAATATGATTTCTCATTTGTTATTAGTTTTGATTTCACTGCATCATCTAGAAAAATGAGTGAATGCAAAAATTCTTTATCAAAATTTGAAATGAAAGTGTTTCAAATAATTCATCCCGTTGTTTATCAATAATTTTATCCTCTAATCCTTGCTTCTTGATTGTATTATATAATTCTTTATACATTAAAAAGTTTTTTAAATAATCTTCTGCTTCTTCTTGTGATAAATAAATAATTGGAATTTTGATTAAATGCTTTAAAGATTCAAATGTATCATCTGAAGGTGAACCTGAACGGTTGATATAAATTAACACATGTGAATGGGGGAAGTGTTAGCAATAATGATAATTTGTTTTAATATCGTTAATGTTTTACCTTTATTTTGTTTACCAATTGCTGCAGTGATTGAATTTAAGTAACATTCAGAATATGGAATTTTCATTAATTTTTCCTTAGATAGAGCATTTCTATTATCACTCAATGCTTCATTAATCATATCATCTACGTATGTATTATATACTCCTGCTAATTCTTCATAAGGGGTGGATGAATTTAAATCCATTTAATCAAAAATAAATTTATAATTTTAAACATTTCTATTCATCAATATTTCATCATATGAACTTCTATACTGTGGTGGTGTACCTGTTGGATGATATTTCAAACCTTCATCCGGTGTCCATGTCCAATATGTAGTCCTAGTAAACCAAACCTGAGGAGGATTTGTCACCTTTGAACAGTAAGTGTCATTTTCACCCTGAATGATTGGATAAGCTTTCACTTGTACTGTAACTTGTGAGTTGAAAGTTTCTAATCCATCAAAGAATATACCCGCTCCATCACGTTGAACTGGAATAGTGCATAAGAATGAAGTTTGGTCTTTCCATGTTCTAGCTAATGGCGTGCCATCATCTGCATTCAGTGGTCTAGTTAATGAGTCCTCGTATTCTTCCGTGCATTCATTCACTCCATCTAAATCAGAAGCTTGAAGCATACGTGTAAAGAATATGTCACCCACTGTGGTCATCGCTTGATCGGGGAAGTTTCTGGAATCTATAGTGACCTGAAGACCTCGAAGCATTGGATTTTCTAAAACTGTTCTTTGCATTGCATTCTTCGGAAATGTTAACACAACATCTGTAACATTATGAAGAGCGTATGAGAAATCTGAGCTAATACCTTCAGGAGTGATGCAACCTCCATTTAGTGAACGAACGTCAATATGTTGAGCTGGAATCATGAATGGATCTTCCTTACTGAATAAACGTGGTATTGCTTTAACTGATTCTTCAATTAAACCGTATCCTGGTGTAATGCATTTATCCTCTAAAACTTCCATCTTTGTGCATGAAATAATAACGTCATCAACTGTTGCGTCAGCAGATGTAGCGGCTAAGCTTGTAATTAATTTGGCAGGAAGTCCGATTTGTTGGAATTTGCGATCATATTTATAAACATGATTCATAATCTTTTCATAATTTTCATCAGTTATCTTTTCATAAACGTAATTTTGTAAATCAGCAACTCTTAACGGGTCAACCTGACAAAATACTAAAGTATCCCTGAAAACATAATATTTAAGAATGATATCACCAAATGATTTAGGATAATCATCGAACGCCTGAAATGCTAACAAATCATTTACCGGAATAATCATATCAAAAGTGACATCAACTTCTTCATTTGCTTTTGAAAACTTCTGAAGGGTCAATATATTTACCACATACTGAGTTATCATATTTTTGAACATTATTATATAACGAATGAACAAACTTTTTAACTTTCCTTTCTGATTTTGGTTTATATGTTGCAAATGCGAAAGATTCACGGGCGCAATCCATTGAAGATAACCGGCATCACCTCTTTCAGTTTCTACTTCTAATTGTTTAAAGCTTTGATTTGATGATTTGTAACCAACGAATAAACGCATGCATTTAAAAGCGGCATCACATGTGAAAGCTTTATTTGAAACTAGAGTTGCTTTAACTTTGCGTTTAATATATGTGTCACCTAATTGGTTCACATCATGAGCCGGATTTGTAATTCTTAAATGAGTTTGTTTATCATCAAAATATGGAGTATCAGAGTCATAGCATGAACTTTCAAGTTCTCTATAATATCTTCTACCGTCATTCTTTGCGAATATTTCATTTATCTTTTCGAATGAATGAAACACATTTCCATTAATTGGTTTAGTGTTTGGCACTAAATAGTTAGTCGTCATTTATTAATAAATAAAAAATCAAAATTAAAAGATGAAAATGAATTTTTAATTTTAATGAAATAATCAACTATGGCTGCAGGTATATTTAAGAAACTGTGGGATAAAGTAAAAAGAGGAGCGAGTAAAGTTTGGGAAACATTGAAGAAGGGAGCAAATTGGATATTTAAGAATAAAGAAGCAATTAGTGACGTAGCTGAATCAATAACACCAAAAGCTGCCCCAATAAGAGAAATTTTAAATAAAGGAGAAAAAGTTTATCAAAGACTACAACCAATACTAAGATAAAAATAATATTTATTTATTTTTCCACTATCTACCTCCTATTTTATTAAGTATTCCTTCAGCATTCCACCAATTGCGTTACCTGCTTGTGCTCCCATCGCCGGATTACCTGCTTTAGTACCTAATACCCCACCTATGATAGTTCCAGCCGTTTTCGCTACTGGTGCCAAAAAGTTTGCAACAGGTTTAATAACCTTTTTATAAACCCAACCCGCAGCTTTCTTAATTCCATCCCATAATTTTTTAAAGAATCCTGCCGCCATTTCTGATTTAATATTAATTAAAAAATATATTTCATCACTTATATTCTAATTTTTATTTAATGATAAATGAAACCGATTTTAAAAAAAATGAAACAGAGGAGGAAGAAATAAATGAAAGTGAAAATGTTCAACAAAAAATAAACGTTGTTAAACCAATTACTGAAATAAAAATTTTTTCATCTGTTGAAGAATTTAATGACTATTATGCTAATAATAAAAAATTATTTGAAGAATTGACAACATGTAAATTGAATAAAATGTTTAAAATTGATGGATTCAAAATTTCAAAAATAAAAGGAGTGGTTAGTTTGAAATCTATTCCTCAATCAAGAATCACCTCATTAATGAAAATTGATGATTTAACAAAAAGAATAGAAGAGATTGAAGAAAGAATGAATCAAATAATTGATTTCATAAATTCAAATAATCATTAGTTTCTAATTTCTTTTACTCATTTATGAGGTCTTTGATTATGACTCCATTGATTCCATTCATGATTTAATCAATGTTTAATTAATCGTGGAATATCTGACATCATCTATATATAGTTTCTTTTATAAGTGATGAAATATATTTTTAATTAATGATTTATTTTTTTATGTATGAGCTGAGTGTAAATGTCTTACAATATTGAATATTTTTAAATCTTGATTTATTCAAAAACGTAAGAATAAAAACCGTAAGAATCATACATTTTTTACTTCATATGTTAAAAAAAATGATACAAAATCGTTCAATATTGTATGAATTCTTACGTTTACAAAAAAAGTCACACAACCCATCAACATATACTACTTTAAAATTAATGTTAATTTTTTAATGGTTTATAAATAAATATATTTTAATGCATCGTCTATATATAGATGTAACAAAAAAAGTCACACAACCCGTCATATACTACTACTGAAATATAAAATCGTCAAATGCTTCAAAACAAAAGCGATTGTATGGAAAAAGGAAAAACCAAATGAAATTGTTAAAGGTTACAGTTTATTAGTTTGAAATTATAAAAAAAATTGGATCTTATTAAAAGAAATTGGCTTATTCGAAGTCGTCAAATGGCATCTTTTGGCGGATGTTTGTAATTTCTGGGATTTCTTCTTGAACTGTGCCAAGAACACCATTGTAAAGTGTTGTGTTCTTGCATCCACAGCCTTCGCAAGCGCCTTCGAGCTGAACAATCATGCAACCATTCTTAATATCGACAAGTTCAATATCTCCATGGTCCTGCTTGATGAATGGTCTGACTTTTTCTTCAATGATCTTGTTGACTCTCTGGAATAACTTATCTGCATCTGTTTCCTTGACTGCCTCCTTGGCAAATGAGCGGATGAAGAAGTTTCCGAATCCGAATGTGCTGTTCTTTACTGCTGCGAGCATTAGAAATGAAGTCAGTCCATCAAAAAAAATTCAAAGCTCCAAAAATTGATCCCCTATTATTTTAAAATTTTAGATTTTATTCTCTTTATAGTCAATTAATCCGAATTTAAATTTTTAAATTTTGAAATAAATTTTTTGGAGAAACAAATTTGAATTAATCCTTCAATTCGATATAAAGCCGGTCATCAAAAAATGTGCAGTAATAATGTTCATGTTTGGGAAAATTGGGAATTTGGGAAAGACGCTAAGACCATCACAAAAAATAAAAAGCCCTCAATCTTGTCAAACGTTAAAAGTGACATTGAGATAAAGTTGGTCTGAGCAACTATGCTGACCAACAATAATCAACTTATCATACAACATCTTGAATTGCATAGAGTTACAATTTCGGTATTATTTTACTGTAAAACTGATTTAAATTTCAATCTTGTTCAAAAACCGAGCAGCATGGTTTAATGCTTATGACTATAGTCACATTGTGACATTCTGATTAAAGATCAATGCCGTATAATAATTACTTTAAAGATTTTTAATCGATCTGGTAATCGATACTCTAATTAGGTGTTACAATGGTATTCCAATATAAACGTCAGACAATTTTACTATTATTGCTTACTATACCTTATTTGAATTTTGTATTATATATCAATTTTCCAAATTTGGAATTTTTACTTAGTCTAGGGCCCAAAATATATAATAATCTACATATTCGAATAGATTGCAGTTGTTCTGAAAACAGAATCTCATCAAGAGGAAAAAGTCAATAAATTCAAAAGATTTTACATTAAAATGAATACAGAAATCAAAATAATATTAAACTGATAATAATTTCTAAATAGGCAATTGCATGAAACAGCATTGCATGAAAATCTTGTAATTTTGATGAATCCGTTTCCAAAATGTCCATGCGATTCCATCTTGTTGTAAGGAGACATCATTTCGCTACTACCATCAATCATCAATGTTTTGATAAACCTTATTCCTGAATAGTGGATTGATGGATTATTTTCCTGGCTAAAATAAATTTCATTTTGAGATGTAGAATTTTCTAGGACAGAAATACAGCCAGGATGACCGCTAATATAGCTACTTCCACCACCTCCACCTTCATTCCTATATGCAATTGATGAGCCGCCGCCAAAATAGCCCCCACCGCCAGATCCGCTCCCATCTCTTTCTGCATGAAAACCGCCACCAAAACCAAAAGTGCCATTGACAATTCCATACCCTCCTTGTGTCTGGGTTCCGCCAGTAGACTTGTTATTTGATGCATTCATACCGATTAGACCACCACCAGGACCTCCAATCCCAAAAGTATCACTCCCAGCACCAGCTCCAGCTACGATTATACGACTTTTTAATGAAGAAAAGTTACCATACTCGCCTCCTATGAGTCTAATATCGCTGGCACCTCCACCACCTAAGTCACCTATACCGCCTCCTCCATAAACTATATTTTTACAACGTGGCATCCCTTCATGGCCAACATACAAATAAAATTTTTTCACTTTCTCTAATATAATATCACCTGAAACGTAGGATCCGTTTACAGGATTGGATGAACTTGAATAATATCCGCCACTACTGCCCCAAAGCTCAAAACGATAATATCCAGGATCCAATGAAACTTCATAGGTTCAGATATATCATAACTTGGACCTTTGAATGGAAATGATAGGGTATTATTGAGTGGAAACTTTATTTTTGACTAATTTTTTAAATCATAATAAAATTGTGGTAAGAAAACGAAAGAGTGAGGAAAATGGCAGCTATTTAATGGCTGGTTAAAGGCAAAACTGAAAATTAAAAAGTATGATCAATGAAATTTAAACCTCATTTATAAAATCATTTCGAATCCTTAGATGTTGTATCATAAGATTAATATCATAAGCTTTGTGATAATGAATGCTAAACCAATATACGTTTTGGCAAGACTAATTCAAAATTTTGAATGATATCAAGATATCTGAATTGAATGACAACATTATTTGATCTATGTAATTTCCATACTTTATAAAGTGATTTGTTAATAAATTATAGTAGCAAAAATGCCCAAGTGGCATTTTTTCATGACAATCACTATTACGTTTTAAATTTTAGCATAAACAATGGCCAAAATTGCAATTAGTAAGATTTTTAGCCTATAGAAATGCATGGAGTGCATAATTTAGATCACCATAAATGAGATTTCAAAATCAAAAATTTATCATAATTATATTAATTACGAATCTAATTATGAAATGAGTTTAAATGAAACATATTTAGTGTTTTTATCTTCAAATGTACTATCTCAACAATTGAGACATTATTTATTTCATTCATTCTGAAAAAACAAGATTTGGTTGATAATGTGATATGAAATGGCAGATTTATCTAACGATATCATCTATCTGAATTCAAATTCAAGCATGAATCGGTCAAAAACACTTTAATTTTACGTTCTATCTGCGTATTTTGCAACAAAAGATAAATGATATTATTTTATTAAATGTACTCTATATACTATTCTTCGAAAATTTTTTATAAAAATGATTTTGAATGCTAACAAATTTAGCAAATGCATTACAGTTCAATTTTTATAGATCAAGGCAACGTACAATCAAGTATCTTGAAGTTAAATCTCAATATTTTATTGAGATAATTATCAAAAGTGGATTATTTTCTTGTATTCAAAAAATTGAAAAATTGGGCCATTTAAATTGAATGATCATTTATCAAATTAAATAGTGATCTAAATCAATATTGATCCATTATATTCTGAATAGTAATAAAAATAATTGCTTCAAAAGTGTAAACAAAAATTGAAAAATTCAGACAAAGATACATCATTGATAATTTTTTGCATTAATCATTATGTGATAAATAGTTTAACTTGAAAACTTCAACGTGTTGCCATTTAAATTTGTTGCATTTCAATGTGTATATTCAATTTTTGTGAAGATGAATCATAGCGTTTCAAAATCATTTAACACAAAATCAACTTTACCAAGATGCAACACCGTGAGATTGTTGAACGGTTTGGTAAGTATAAATTCATCAAAAAGATAGGTGAAGGTGCATTTGCAATGATTGCACTATGCCAAAATCAAAAGACAAAAGAAAATGTTGCGATCAAAGTTATAAATAGAAAACACGTCCTTGAAAACGGGATACTAGAGTATTTAGAGCGCGAATTAAAGTTGATTGGTAGGATTAATCACCCATCATTCCCTAAATACCATGAAATCATTTACAATGAAGATTCGATTTTAATTGTAATGGAATATATGCCGAATGGCAACCTCATAGAGTTGGTTAACAGTGGTGTTAACTTTTCAATGTCAGATAAGCTTAATATCTTATACAAGATTGCATCTGGAATAAATTACCTTCACGAAAGAGGTATTTCTCATCGAGACATTAAGGCAGAGAACATTGTCTTTGATTCAGATTACCAGCCTAAGATCATCGATTTTGGCCTAGCTCACGAAAAAGAATGTCACTTAAAAACATTTTGTGGCACACCAAATTATATTGCCCCAGAAGTCATTACAGCGCATGTTCTCTTAACAAAGAAGTTTCCATTCGAATTCAAGAGCGAGGCAAAGTTCATCAAAGAAATCATGACAAATTCATTGAAAATCCAAAATTTGTGCTATGGAGAAATGCATGACCTTATCAACGATTGCCTTGTAATAGAGCCTGAAAGAAGATTGACATCAAAGCAAATAGTAGCCAAGCTTGATGAGATAATATCAAAAAGAAACATTTTCCTTACAATGTCCGGAAGAATTACAATTCCAAAGATGATAAGATTAGACATTTTCAATAGATGCAACACAGATAAATTCTTGGAGTACTCCCTGGAACAAGGAGATTTAATATATCTAGGACGCGTTCTAACTATTATTCATAAAATAAATGTATGTATTTAATTTTTTTCCAATTATGCAAATTCTTTTTTTAGATAAGATTCTTTTTTATTTGATATATGTTACAAATAAATGACTCTGGATGTTATAGAAATCCTATTACAGTAATCTAAAAATTGAATTTATCAGCCAATTTACCTATTGAAAATTGTCAATTCAATTTAATATGTCTGGCCAAATATTTGAGAAGAATTTTTTAATGAAGCATTCAAAATTGTAAATATTTATATCTCATATCGGTATATTTTATATTCATGATAAATTTTATAATACTATAGTATTAGTAATTTGCAAGATATCGATCACAATTATATTAAATTTAAAACGTTTTACACTAGCAATTTGACCAAATTACAAAAAAATGAGATAGTAGTTATTTAAATATATCAATTATGTACGTTTTATTAGCTCATTTGTATGTTTATTACAAATAAATATAGAACTGTGAAATTTTGAATAATCTGTTTGATGGCTTTAAAAGATTTTTTTATATCGGTTACTAATAATTTTGAATGTTCTTATCATTTAGATTCATATGGTAGTTAAATGTCTCCTTGAATTTGTTATTCTCTAATAATTATCGGATTAAAAGGGAATTAGGCTATATTCCATAACGTTTATGGATTATTGATAAATGGAAATAGATTGAGTATGTTTTCATATATGTTTTTCGATAATGAAAATTTCCCAAATAATTCATGGCAAATCATACCAACAATTACGCGTTCACTCATATTATTTGTATTTATAGAACAATTTATGTTCTTTGCACCAAATTTTGAAATATTAATTGGAATTCAGAATTCATTCTTTGTAATGAAATTATAATTCATCTATTATATTCCTTTTTAGTTATGTATAATATAATACAATGCTTATCATATAGCTCAAATATGGAAATATTAATTACATTTTTTATTTTCATTGCGTTGTTTATTGAAAATATTGATCGACATCAAAAATAACAATTATATAATTTAAGAGTCAATCAAAGTAAGAATATGGTATTCTAGATCTTAATAGAGTAATGCCTCTTCATATATTTCATGAAATTACAATATAACTTTAAAAATGTGACACTTTTATGAAAACTCAATAAAGTTCTCAAAAAATTGAATTAAAATGCAATATTGAGAATTTTAATAAAATCTTTGAACAAAATGTCTAAATATTATTCTGTATGTTTTTAGGAAATAAATAATCAATGAGATAGTAAAAATGGGATTTGAATGAATATACGATTGCTCAGAAAAATAAATTTTGACACGACTATGAATTTATATGAAGATTTCAAAGACCATTATGTATAATATAGAGAAAAAAAGACTGTGCAGCATGCTCAAGTCAGGAAACTATAAAAATATAATTGTTATGACTGGAGCTGGTATAGGAAATGCATCAGGAATCACTGACTTGCATACAATCACTCCTATATTAATCAGTAAAGCAAATGATATTTGACATAATCTAGATGATATTTGAATCATTATTCATCCATTATTTGTCCACTTTGGTCGAAAAAGGAGTTCAAATGCTGTGTCACATTTTTCATTAAAAAATTTTTCATCGGTTTCTGCAAAAATATTATTACTTATATAATGCTTAATACATTAATTCTTTTACGTGTCATTAGAAAATACATCCAGTTCCCAATCAATCCTCTCAATAGATTTCAAAAAGCCTTCTCAAAAATTGTGATGAAATCTACCTGTTCAATCACAATTTCTATGCCGTTACCAACATTTTCTGTGATGACTTTTCATTGTCTTTTAATTAATGTTGTGTTTATTTTCTTTATAACCAAGAATAGGATAAATTTTTTTAAGATCATCGTTTATGATTCAATTTTTTGAAAGAATTTCAAATAATTCAAATGCAAAATTCCTCTCAATGAAAATCCTTTTTTAACAAAATCATAAATATTATGAATCAAAACATCAGCGTACTAGCAAATCTTCTTAAATCAGGTAATTATAAGAATGTAGTTGTTATGACTGGCTCCGGAATTTGCAATGCATGCGGCATTCCCGATTTACACTCTATTATTCCAGACTTAAACAAGAAGGCAGAAGAGACAGGATTCACGCCTTATATGACACCACCGTTCGTGTTTGATATAAGATTCTTCAGAGAGAATCCAAAACCGTTCTGGTGGGTTTTCTCTGAGATATGGCCTTGGAACGAGATGCCACTACCAACTGATTTCCACATACTGATAAGACTCATCGAAGAGATGGGACTCCTCAGGAGGTGGTACACAACAAATACTGACTGCCTCGAGCTCGACGCGATCAAAGACAAGTCGAAAGTTGTCCAATGCCATGGTTCAGTCAAACACTGTCATTGCATCGACTGTGGTGCAGAAGTCAGCATGAACGAGTGTCTCAGTGCGATCCGAGGAAATTATGGTCGCAAAGAGAAAGGTTTCGACTTCGTTAAAGTTCCTACATGCAACAAGTGTGGATGATGTCACGTGAAACCGGATGCGATCTTCTATGGAGAGAAGATGCCAAAACAATTCTTCACACACATCAGAGAAGACTTTTCTAAATGTGACTTACTCATCCTGAGTGGCACATCACTTAATGTTCAACCATTTGCATCACTTGTTGATCTCATCCAACCCACAGTTCCGAAATTCATAATTAATAGGAGAAATTACCAACAAGAGAAAAAGCAAAATTTCATTATCAATTTCATTGAGAAGATGATCAACCCATACAGAGATCTACTATTAATTAGTGGAGATTTGCAGGAATCATCTAATGAAATTGTCAGAAGAATCGGAAAGAAAGATGAATATCTTGCTCTTAAGCAAGAACTCCTTTACAACTCCAACAGAGTTAGAGATCCAATATTCAGTCAAACCCTTAGTAAGGTTTCTTATAACCCTACTCCATCTAGTACTTATGTTATGTAACTCAAAAAAAATAACAAAATTATATTCAGTATATTGTCAACTGTTACTAAAAATGTTATATAAACTTATCCATGTTTTAAATATCTGAAAATTTTTGCATAAATTTGAGTCAGTGTATTATTAGCTTGTGACATGATTTCAAACAGATGGAACGTTTATCACTGTGCCTCTATTTGATTTTTATATCATTAATTATGCTTGAATTTTATTATTGTAAATATGAAGGAAAATGATTCGTTCATTAGAAAGAATTCCGATATGTTTGATGACTAAAAGATTTGTTATATCATTTGCAATAGGAAAAATAGAATGAATTAAGAAATAAAAGCAAAATAATTTTGAAATTTAAGTAAAAAAGTCTAAATCGATGAAAATTCATAGTTTATATTTAAGTTGAACAAAAAGTAATAGTTACTAAGTTATAAAATCCTAATTAATGTTCTGAATTTCATGAATACGAAAATAATAACGATGGCGAGAACTATTGTAATGATTGTGACAATAACTAATGCCACAATTAGTTCTACCTTAACTCCATCGCGCTTCTTATCTGGTGTTTCGCCTTCTCCTTGGTCAGAATCTCCGCTTGAAGAAGATTCTGAAGGTTTGTTTGGACTTGGAGTTGGTTTGATCGGAGAAATAGAAGATGTTGTTGAAGATGGATTAGTTGATGAAGTTATTGGCTGTGGTGTTGGATTTGATGGTTCTTGGGTAGGAGTTGGTTTTGGAGTTGGTGGATCTGATGGTGTAATTGGTCCTTGGTTGTCTGATGGTACAAAGTAGTAGTTGTATGTTTCAATTCCGGAAATTTGAGTTCCTTTTGTAGAAACAGTGACAGAACCAGCACCATTTGTTGGTTTGATAACTATAAATGGATTCTGTGTCTTAATTGAAGCTGTTCCTGCATTAGAAATTGATTTAATTGCGGAATAAGAAGATTGTGTATAAATTTCAGTTATTCCACTGATTTTGGATGTAATATCAACGGTCATATCGGATGATGATGAGATCCATAAGCATTTATTAGTGTTTGCCTCTGAAATTTGAATTTCATAGGAATTTGTTGGTGCGTTATGGACTTCAATGCTAGAACATCTGCTATCAAGTGGGAAATTGGACATGACTATAACGGAAAAATAGAATTTTGATGATGAACCGGTGTTTTTGACAATGATTTTTCCATTTGGCTCAACAAAATTCATTACTTTGTTTGTGGTGCTGAAGATTCCAAGCTGGTTCTTCTGTGAATCATATGCAGTTGTAGAAAATCCATTGATTGAATCAACAATAACAAAACAATTCGATAAAGGGAATATAGCAACATAATCTTCACTTGCTGGCACATCTACTGCTACCGATTTACTGCTGATTATGTTTTCTTCAATAGATAAAGATAATGAGAAAAGGAAAGAAATCATAAAATTGATTGTTGGTCAAATTTCAATACAATTGTAAAGATAACAAATTCGTAGTTCTACCGGAATTTTTCGAGCAACAAAAATAAAAAATAAAGAACAGCCAAAGTACGACAATGTTATTATATTCAGTTAGTCAAACTTTGAAATAATTCATACAAAATTGTATCGTTGTATTTACAAGCAATGTGTTATCTATGGATTCATTGTTTGGAAACATAGATTGCTTTGCAATTGCCTTCCACACGGTGCCAAGACTAGAGTTAACTATGTTATCTGAACTTCCCACAATTCAAATTTTAGAAAGCCACTTATCAAAGAGTATTTTGCAGTTTAACTCTTGCAGGGATTCCTTTTGTCACGTTTCAAATGCAGCTCTTGTGAATTACTGAATACATTGTAAATTGGATTCAATAAAAGAATTAAAAATCTAGGAATTATGTAATTTTGCTTGAAGTTAATATACTTGCTATCATTGAGGTACTTTATTATTCATACAAGTTGATTATTTTTGTTATGATCGAACGTAAATAAAACAAAATTCTGTTTGTATAACTTTGAGAAGAAATGATAGAAACATAATCATTTATATCGAACAAAATATATATGTAAAATATAAAAATACAAATAATATTATAAATATGACTCGATTAGAGCTTTGACATCATCTGAATGGTAACTTTTTGCAATGTCTAGTACTTTTGTTCCGTTATTGAAGACCAAATTAAGATTACATCCACTTTCTATGAGAATTTTTGCTGTTTCATATGAATTTCCCATTGCTGCAAAAACAATTGGTGTATAATTGTTAAGTGCTGCTTTATTAACATCATATCCTTTTGCGATCAACACTCTCGCCACGTCAGGTGAATTGTATAATCCACAAAGCATCAAAGAATTAACATTATCAATTGCTGTATCATACATATTGACGTTTGGATCCGAAAGTATAACTTCAGCAACTTCAGATGTATTATTAATAGCTGCGAACATTAGAGCAGAAAGATTATCTTCGCTCTTTGCATTTACGTCGACTCCTTTGCTAATAAGATACTTTGCGAGGTCTGCGTTACCATAAATCGCGCAATGCATGAGTAATGTTTCATTTTTATGATTTTTTAAGTTTAAGTCAATATTTTTAGCTTTAAAATAGTTAGTTATTCCTGGGATGTTAATTCTTGGTATTAAAAAGATTGCCTGCAGTTGGATTTCGGAATTTTTGTTTTCAGAATCATTCAATTTTTTCAGAAACATCTCAAAATTGAGAGTTACAAAACAACTCTGCCATGAATATGAAAGTTGTTTTTCTTCTGCGAAATATGTAGCGATTTCATTGTTATGAGCATACACTGCATTCTCTATGCATTTGTCATCGGGATAAACACAGTAATAATTGATACAAAGATTTATTATTTGAATATTTCCTCCGATAAAAGCTTCCTGAAGAATTTCTTGTTCTGTGTCTGTACTTTGACTAACATTATTATATTTGTCTTTTAATTTGAAATATGAAGCTAAATGTTTAAAACATTTTACTGCTCCTAATCTGGCAGCGTAATGTAGTATTTTTGAGGAGGTCTCATTCTTTTTATTCAGATAGTCTAGTAGAGAATCGATATCATCTGTCAATAAATACTGTTTATCCTCTTCTTCTGGAAAAATTTTATAAAGTTGATCAATAGAATACTGTTCATACTTGGGATTATGACATTTTAGACCGTATTTTCTCAAAATTATCGCTCCAAATGTACTTCCTGAAGGAAAATACTCAGAATTAAATGTAAAATTGTTCTTTTTGTAAATAGAGTTGAAAATATCTAAATACAAAATTGTGTTCTTGATTTTATATGAGGATATTCGATCGAGAAGTTTTATGAATGTAATAATATGAAAAACTTTTTTTGTGATCAAATCATTAATAAGTTCAACACATTGCTGAATATTTTTGTTACTAATATTAAAGAGCATGTTAGTCAAGTTGATTATCGGCTGGCAAAGTGTTTCATCGAAGGCTACATGATCCATAAAAACGAGCAATTGTTCTTTTTCGGTTTAATTCAAATTAAGTTCTGACAAGAATATAATTTATTACTGTATTATTGATTTAATATTTAATTTTATTTATTTATTTGGTAAAAATGAGTCGTAAATATTTCGCCTTTTTTTCCATATGTTTATCATTAAATCAGTCAACAAAATATTGCACGCAGCTTTTTCTGGTTTGAAATTGGATGAAAAACAATTGCGTCGAAAAAGTGGGATATGTTGCAATGTTACCGTATAGCATTTACGTATTCATGATAGGCAATATAAATTTCTAGCCAGAATCTATATAGAGCTCATATTCAAAACTCTATTGGGTGGAAAAAATCTCAAAGTTCCCCACTTAAACTCTCTCTTTATAAATAACATAAGAAATCATTTTGGACAGAATGCACAGCTGCTATGTTATTTAACTATATTATCTTGTTCCAATTCATTTCTTCTCATTGCCGAAACAATCAATATGAGAACATTTTATCTATAAAATCTAGTTTTACTATAAGTGCAAATATTAAATATTTGGATTTTTTTCAATCATCTCATGATTTTTTTTAGAAGAAAAAGAGATGGCAAAAAAAAACCGAATCGAAAATCATTACAATGCTTAGCATTGATCTTGGTATATCTAATATAATTGTCTGCACAGTTGCAGGTAATAGAATAGGAATGAATGATATACAATACCTCCCATCCTATGTTATGATTGGAGAAGATGGTTCAGTAACATGTGGAGCTGCCGCTAAAGATAAGATTGCTTACAATCCTTCAAGAGTAATTTTCGGAGCTAAACGTTTGATCGGTCATAAATATCACGATCGTTCAGTTCAAGAACTTTTGGAGAATGTTGATTTCGAAATTCAGGCTTACGAAGATGATAACCCAATAATTGTAGTTGATGGCAAGAAATACATGCCTGAAGAAATCATCAGTTTCTTGTTAGAACATGTAAAGGAAACATGCAAGAACACTGCAGGAAATGTAATTGCAGACTGTGTCAGTACAGTTCCTGCTAACTTCAACGACGCACAACGAAATGCTACCATAGCTGCTGCAAGAATGGCTAACTTAAATGTCCACAAGTTGCTCAGCGAGCCAACAGCTGCCGCCATCGCCTACTGCAGCTTCGAACGAAGGAATCAAATCCATTTGTTAGTTTTCGACTTTGGTGCTAGTAAACTCGATGTTTCAATCGTTTACGTTGATGGCCAAGTATTCAATGTCAAGGCTATCGCTACTAACTCAAACTTAGGAGGCGCAAATATAGATAATATCATCGTTGATTATTGCATTGAACAATTCAAGAAGAATCACTCCGATTTTAATCCAAAGGATCCAAAAAACAGAAATGTCATGGCATGTCTGCTTAAAGCAGCTGAAGAAGCAAAGATGGTACTTAGTTCCCTATATGTGACAGATTTTACCATTCCAAATTTTTATGATTGTGAAGTTTTGGATGTCAAACTTAGAAGAAATACGTTCCACAACTTGATTGAACCGATTCTTGACGAAATCCCAATTCAAATTCATTCTGCCCTCAAAGCAGCTGGTCTCAAACCACATGACATCGATGATTTATTGCTTGTCGGTGGTTCCAGCCTGATCCCGGATGTTAAAGAGAAAATTGAAGAAATCTTCCCAGAAAAGATCCACTCCATCTTACAACCATTTGAAGCTATATCTCGTGGTGCAGCCACAATTTGCTGGTTGTTCTTGAATAATCAAATCCCAAACTTCGATGTTATCAGAGAAAATATCGGCCAAATAGTTGAGTCACCATGAACAATCGCTGTCCTTGATGACAAACCAAACAACAGATCCAAAAAAATATAACATATAACTACGCATTTATATAATATTTCATGCTCACATTTCTTTTCATCCATTTCTTGATGTATAAACAAAATATGACTAGTTTCTATCGCATTTGTTATTTTTTCTTTGAATATCAGTGAAACTAAATCATGAACTTATAAATTATAGCGAAAACTATGTCATTTTTTGGAATTTGATTTAACAATCCAATGTAAAGCTAAATTTAACTCTTTAACTGTCATGTAGAATTTCATATATCATATGCTAATGGATTTTTTGCAAAGGTCCCTTTTAAATGTGTGTGCATATATTCCTCCAAAATTCTTTCAATTTCATTGAAAGGGAGGGAAATAATTTTCTGAAATCGAAATGTCTGGATGGTATTAGAGGTAGCTGCTATTTGTTAACCTGAAGTATTTTGAAAGACAATTAGAATAAAAACGGAAAAATAGATGGAGAAACGAATTCTAAAACAATAGTGAAATTATTTATAGTGATTGATTGAAAAAAGATTGTGGAAAAGCAATTAATTTTTTTGTATAGGTTATAGATGAAAAATTAATTGTTCTTCATTGTAAAAATTGAATTTCAGATTGAGATTATTTGGAGATAGGTTTTCATAAAAGAAATTTAGATCGTTTATACGAATATAAATATGAATTTATAAGTTTAGAACAAAAATAGACTATATTATGATTTCAGAAAGATGAAGTTGTGAAAAATTAGCATTCAATTGAAATATAGGGTGTCCAAAGGTGTGTTTAGCACAAACCTGAATACTGCGAATAGAAATAAACAAGTTACATATATATAAAGTTTATTTAAATATAATCACCATTGGATTCAATCACGCGTTCGCAGCGATCGATCCAGGCTTGAAAGACACGCTTTAAATCATCATGAGAAAATTGCTCAAATTGCTCTCTTACAAAATTTTCAAGATCATCTGGACTCGCGAATTCGCGTCCTTCAGCTCTCTTTTTTAGCGTGCCGAATAAATAAAAGTCAGAGGGTGCAATATCAGGTGAATAAATTGGGTTTGGAACAACTTTGACATTGTTTTCCAACAAGTAATTCATTACCTTATGACTTTTGTGAACTCTTGAATTATCAAAATGAATTGCAAACTTTTGTTTTTGTTGTTTGGATTTCTCAAACTCATCAGAATTGATAATTTGAGTAAGAACATTGTCAATTAGATACTGAGCATTCATCGTATTAGGTTTTTGAAGAATATCAATTGCGATGATGCCATTCACGCCCCAAAAAACCGACAACATCATCATTGGTGTGTCAATTTTTTTCTTCGGGAATGTTTGCGGATTTTCATCCTTCGGGATCCACATGATTTTGGTTTCTGTTGCATATTGAAACCAAGACTCGTCCCCTGTTACTAAAAAGCGAAACTTCTTGGATTGATACGCACCCAATATAGAGAGGAGCTCTTTCGAAGATTGGACTCTAGATTTTTTTTGAACTGAATTAAGGTTGTGCGGAACCCAACGTGTATACGCTAGTTTGTAGTTCAAATAATTGTGCAGATAATAACTGACTGTTGTACGTGGTATCTTTGTCATCTCCTCTATCCTTCTGAGTGATGCTCTTGGGTCTTCATCTAGCGCTTGAAGAATTGCTTTGATTTTTCTTTGATCCGGCGATTTTTTGTCAATTTTTATGATGGGCGCCTTTTTGTTCATGAAGTGATACATCCTAACATGATACGTTACAGTGGAATAGCTAGGAGCATCCATACCGAAGCATTTTACCAATGTCTCGTAGATTTTTTTACAGTCTTTGCATTTTTTTGCAAGAGCGAGGATGTTTTCTTTATGATTCATTAAAAAAATGAAAAAAATCCCGCCAAAATTTCCCGCGAAACCGCCTCTTGTCTCAAAATTCATTTTATATTCCGGCATGGCGCCAAAATACAACATACTCATCATATACATATATTCATATTTTTTATTATATATTTATAATCAGCATATATCTCCTTTAATAGTCTCATATAGAGCGCTGTGCTAAACGCACCTTTGGACACCCTATATATAGTTGTTGTAGATATCTAATTATTATTTCAACATTTGCCAATCAATTAAAGATGATAACGATAAAGTTTTCAACAATTATTGAGAATTTGAATGAATAAAATGAAAATGAAAATTGAATGTATCGGCCAGTAAAATAGTAAGAACAAATAGAGATGCATATATATAGTTTAATTCGCCAAAATTGAATAGATAATTGATAGGATTTCAAAATATTAATATTTGATATTTCGGTTTTATATTTAAATTAATATTGTATTTTTGATTTTTTTAACAGTCAGATATGTTTTGAATAATCTATTTTTGAATTGAATTCAAAACTATGAGAATTTATTTTTAGCAAATATTAATATATGCCTAACATTACTAATATTCTAAGAATTGAAAAGAATATTTCCGTTTAATAAATTGGCGATAAAATCGTAACGTTTATCACATGGAGATATGATGGCCGTTTTTATTTTGATTATTTGAATACTCATTCAATTTTGTTTTCATATTGAGAAATTTACATTTTTATGAAGTTCTCAATTTACTTCTGTTTGCTTTCAAAATATTTTGAATCAATAATAAAGATGCTTTATTTACCTTACTTATTAAAATTTATCAAGTGAAAAATCTATCTTCAAATCAATTTATTTTTCATTGATTTTTTCTATTCAAAATCATGATGCTGAACAATCAATGTGTTGAAGAGTTAAAATCAAGGAAGTATGATCTCATTAAATTTTGAGGGCGTGGTGGATTTGGAAGCTGCTGGTTAGTTCATAGCTCCCAATACGATATTGATTTTGTATGTAAAATTATCACAAAAACAGATCTTAGCCCTGCATTTATGATATCGTACAAAAGAGAAGTTGAATCTTTAGTCCAATTCGACCATCCCCATATTGTTAAAGTTTATGACGTCTTTTCTTCAGAGACCGAAATGTTTATTATTCTTGAATATTGTTCGGGTGGCAGTCTTGAAAGTATTGTAAAGTCTGGCAAGAAGATAACTCCTAAAGCCCTTTTCCAGTACAGCAAAGAGATTTCAGACGCAATTTACTATATTCATAGTAATGGGTATGAACATTGCGACATCAAGCCATCAAACATATTACTTGATCAGTTTGGACGTATTAAGTTAGCAGATTTTGGACTTTGCTGCCCCTGTGACGATACGACTACCAAGAAACAATATTGCGGATCATTAAGCTTTATGTCCCCAGAATCATTAGTAGGTAAATCATGTGATCCATTCAAGAATGATGTATGGGCATTTGGTGTTACCCTTTATTACATTATTAAAAGAAAATTGCCATTCAAAGGTGATAACCTTCCTGATTTACTCAGAGATATTGATTTAGGCTATGAACTTCCTTCAACCACTCCATTCCAGATTCGCGAAAAGGTGACCAAACTATTTTTTGAAAGTCCGCCATAACTTTAATGGTACTATTTCAGCGTGTACAATGAATACAAAAATTCTAAGAGTGCCACATAAAATAGTACTTTAGACTTGAGTTAATGCTACCAAGCAAATGTTAAAAAGATGACTTTAGTGTTTTGATAATCAAAGATTAAAATCATTATTGTCTAAATCAATAATCATAACGACAGAAGTTAATGTTTTTTCATCAGTGCTTTAAATCCACTTTTAAAAGTATACCTCAAAAATCAAAATATCAAAAAAATTGGCCGATAGGTTTGGCTTTAATTTTTGTCTGCTTTTATGATTTGATATGGATGTTATAATTTTAAAAGTTGAGCCAAATTCACCAATAGATTTTTGAGATTTGCAAATACTCAATAATTTTCAGCGTGTTATCTTTTATTAAAAGAACTATTTGGTTTCAGTATCATATAAATTGATATTTACTTTCTATTTGAACCTTCATTTAGCTAATGATTTAATAATACAGATTTCATCTAGTCCTTATAAGAGAATTTTGAATTTGTTATAATAAAAAAACAAACAGATATAGCTTACACTTCTATAATAAAGATACCTTTTATAGAAATCAGTATGAAATGTGTTTTGGCTTATTGGAAGCATATCAGACATAATCGCCATAATCAAAAAAATCTATATACCCAATAAGTAATAAATTTGTCGATATAGATTTTCCATAAAATTAGTTTTTAGTCTGATCTTAAAATAAATTTAATTTTTTATAAAAAAAATCACATTTAAAAGTACCTTTTTAGTAGCTCGAAATCCTGTTGGTGGATTTGGGGCGTACTTCAAAATTAGCTTTTCTTCTACATATGCAAGCTATATTTTAAATATGGGGCAAATCGGATCGGCGAAAGGAGTTTAGTTACCTTTATTCGCGATTTAATTGATCGTTGCCTTATCGTAGATCCGATGCAAAGACCAACCATGATAACTGTCAGGAATTATATTATTGAGAACTCTCCAGATTTCGCTCATTGCAGATCAAGGTCATTTAACAAGTGCTTAGTTCACTGTGCAACCAGAACAATCTTAGAGATGTCTGGACGCAAATTCATGCAGCAGTTTATATTAATTAATATAAGGTAGTCACAAAATCTCAGTAGTGAGGCTCTTAAAAATTGAACCGTACTCCATACAAAATTTGTGTACCCTCACTACTTAGATTTTGTGGCCTTCAATTGAGAGGTTAGTTTTGATAGAGCACGTTATAAAATTAAAAGGGAAAAATAAATAAAATTTAAACATTTAATTATATATAATGTAAGGAGTGTAATTCCAAATTTTCTAAAAACTATTCAAATTTGAGCATTTTTTGGAAATAGTAAATCTAATATGTACATCTAATAACAACATGATTCATCACCTTTTCAAGCTCTGCAGTCAATTTTTGAAATTTGATTGAAATAAATGTAGCAAAAATTACATTTCATTAGGGAATATATGAGTTTCTCTAGAAACAGGCTGATAAATTTTAAATTTTGTCCAATCAACATGAATGCATTGAGAAATTTGGATTGATTTTCTGGTAGAATCTGGAACAATTCAACCATGTACAAATGGATCATGTAATCATCATGAAATGTTAGTGTTAGAGTTCAAAAGAAACAGAATGAGTGGAAATCAAACACAATCTGAATAATTTTAAACGTATACAATCTTTAAGTTTGTATTTTGAATTCTACATATATGATTGTGTAATTCGTTCTTTCAAATTTTCGGATTCAGGCATGTTTTGATAAAATTCATTCCCAAAAACGTCAATTAACAATTAAATTTAGTGTATTTTAAATATATATACGTATTATATTTTATAAATTATATTAAATTCGCAAAATTTTAAGTTTTAAACAAAAATAAAAACTGTTCAAAATATGAAATCATGCATAGGATATTAAAATTTACATGTTAGCAATTTTTTTGAATTGCTTTCAATTTTCATATTGAAATTTTTAAGATTTTTTTCTGAAATAATAAGCAAGAATATCAACCTAAATAATATTAAATTCCATGCGTTAATTTCCCCTCAAAAGTCATTGACCGCCTCTCAATCTAGATTTTGTGAGTACTTTAGATTTTTGTTTGTTTGAAATTAGAAAATAAAGAATTGTAACTTTTACTGTCACTTAATTAACAAAATGATATCTCGATTAAAGATAGAGAAAGAGAAAATATTATTTGCAATTAGTTTAAAGTAAGTCAAATTAAATTGCGGAAATATCATAGCACATAGAGTTACAAAAGAAAACAAAATCAAAAATGAAAAATAATAGAAATATAAAATTTGTAATTAAACAATGGAATAATTATCATTCCTTGTATGAATCATGATTCAAAATCTTTAGTAATATGATTTGAAACAATTGAATTTTAAAGTTACGAATATCATAAATTTTTTTGAATAAGTACGAATAAGATATGATATCAATATATTATCTAGATGGAAGAGATGATAATATCATGTAAAAAATGTTTAAAATGGAAAACATATTTATGATTAAAACGTTGTTGTTCATGGACAAGAATTTCTTGAAATACATTAGTTATTGAATAGCAAATAAAGAATTAATGCGTTGAATATTATTTGATAATTTTTCAACAATAAAAAAAATATGAAGATCAAAAATTAAAAAAAGTTCAGCAGGTTGTGGTAATGCAAGATAATCTAATTAAATTTCAACTGGGCTCCAACAAATGTTCATTCTATAGGTGTATTGCCGATTCCTAAGAATGCTATTACTGAATTGAATTATTGAAATAAATTCAATTTTAATTGTCCTAAATTTCCTTTTGAAAAATAAACACTTATGAGTTATGTATATAATTCGAAAGCACAGTAAAATAAAACGATTATTCCTTTCAATTTTTTTACATCTCCTGTCAAATGAATTTTTGTATGATTTATATCATATTCTCTGAGATCCAAAACCTTTTAATCTAAATTTTGCTCTCAAAATTTTTGACATATCCATGTCGTTAGGGTTTCAATAATATTGATGTTGTAGTTGTTTATAATATTATTAATTAAAAGATTTTACTAAAAACCGTTTGCATCTTCTCTCAAAAAACATCTAACGTTTTCTATGCTCCACTGTTTATTAAAAATACGATTTTTAAATTTTTAAAAAGCACGTTTTGCGATTTAAGATCCTCTCAAATTTTAATTGTCAAATGTTTTCTTTGATTTTTCCCCGTATTGCTAAATCTCTTGTAGATGTCCCCTCTCGATATACAACACTCCCTGACTCATGCACAGATGCAGGATATACATCAGATCTTTCATTTTCATTGCGAGCAAATAAAGAAACCTGTTTTTTCACAAAACCTGGCTTTTTCTTCGGAACTGGCCTTATAATTGAAGTATATTGGCAAGACAAAGGCGAAACAGATGGATTTTATCAACTCGGTCCTGTTAAATCAGGTTGTGTCGTAAATGTTCAAGCAGATTTTGCTTATATAGTCATAACTTCTCCAACGAATCAGACAATCCAATACTTCCCGTCAACATCTCTCTCATATTCTTCCTCAAATTATGCAGGAACTACGTACCAATACACAACATATTTCTCCACGAAGAATGTGACACAGTATAATCTTTCAATGTACTATACGACATCGCCAAATGCAACCTCTTATTCATATCAATACCTTCTACTCCTTGGAGATAACGTTTCAGTAACAGATCAATTAAAACAAAGTATTAACGATGGTGAATCAAACAAAACAAGAAATCCTTATCCAACTAAAGTTGCCAATGATGGTTCCATGAATTTTGTATCATTTGGAACAATAACTTTCGCAAATGATATCAAAATATCCATTCTTTATCAAACCCCCGTCAATGCAACTCTAAAGTGCAAGTCCGGTGTCCCTGAGTTCTCTGGAGTCATCCCGAACTCTCCTTCCCTTGCAACCATAAATGACATTGATAATTCATACAAAGAAGCTGTCATTGTCAATCCAAAGGAGTTTGGTTCGCCAACGAACTCATCCGCATCCAATAATTCTGGATCGCTCAGCTACGTCTTCATAATTGGAGTCGCAATTGGAGTATTAGCTATCGTTGCTCTTGTATCTGTCCTTGTAATCATCAGGAAGAGAAACAGACCACATATTGAAGGTGCTGATCAGAGTTACGATGAATCTGTGGAAGAAACCGAAATTGTTCCTTCAGAAGCCTCCGAACAGAGTAGTTCTTACGAGGAATCTTATTATGAGAGCAGTTCTCAGATAAATTTCTCTGAATCTTCTGATCCTGAAATTTCAATTGCATCCACGGAGCAAACTAATACTAATACTTGCGGTGATGCTACTGCTACACAAGGAGACCTCCCTGCTCCTCAGTAATTTGATATTTATTAATAGATATGTTATATTTTTTTGTTTGTTTGTTATTGTTTTAAATTTTATACATGTTTGTTAATTTTCTTATCTTTTCAATGCTCCATCCGTACTAATCACATAAATTATCTTGATATCATTATCCATAAAATTTTTTTCTCTGGGCATTATAATGTTTCTAAAAAGGCTTAAACTCAAGCTAACATAAATGAGTACTTTGGCATATTCTCATTTTTTTTAGATAATCAATAAAAATAATATTTGGCTTTTCAAGGAAAATCATTGTATCTGTTGTGTAAAAAGGAAATACCATAGTCTAAATAATACATAAATAATACAAACAGTTTACTCTATTTGGACATATCATGATATATTTCATATAACAAATTCATTTGTGGATAAGCATAGATGGAGAGTGCTAGATCCGCCCCTTAATTGGCTGTTATCACTTCCTAAATCCGATTTGTTGCTCACATGATAATATGGTTCTTCACTTTCCTTTTCGATTTTGATTAATACGCAGTATGTCATTATTGCCAATGAAACAGCAAATACCATCACCATAGCAATCAGAATTCCAGCAGTTAGGTTAACAGATAGCTGCATCTTTATTTCAAAATGATTATTTTATATTTGGACAATGAAGAATTTAATGATCATATATGTTGATTCTAGGATATGTGCAAACATAGAATATCTCCTGTCTTTTACAATAATTGGAAACGATAGATAAGTGGATGATAATTGAAAGATTACAAAAATGCTTGTAATGAGATTTATGATAGATAGAAACTACAGATCATTGACAGAAGAAAAAGATTAAGGAAAAGTCTACAAACATATGATAACGCAATGCTTTTAATAGTAGAAAACTTCTATTTATCTGTGAGGTGGAGCAATACGCATGATATATAGGTATAACAACTAATATTTAAAACAAAATATACGATTTCATTATAAGGATATTTCTAATCAAATACTATATTTAAAAACAAATTGTATTAGCATTTCATAATCATATGATCCCTTGCTTCGATGAGTTTTCAATTTGAATTTAAAAAATGCTATAATGGCTTGGATAACATATATATTTGATCGCCAATTGAATAAGAATGATAAATTGGAGTATTAAATTTTGGTTTGTTTAAAATAGAACCATCTGTCTGGAAAAGTTAGAGAGTAACAGGGCTTCAAAAAGAAAATTATGTAATAATTCTATAATAAATGTCTCCATTGACTCAGGAACTATTGAATTAAGGCAAAAATACTAAATAAACTAAATTTCAAAAATCTTGGCAGGATTTATGTTATTTTATTATATGTACAATACTATTCCTTTTTAAATTATCACTAAATTATCATGAAAATCCTAAAAAATCAATGTTGTAATTTCAAAAATGAGTTATTTTCTATAGAAAGCTTGTCAGCTGTCTTTTTGTCTGACACCTAAATGATTTATGATATTTTAAAAAATTTAACACCTTTATAAATTTTTTGTCCTATAATTTATAGGAATCATATGCTATTGATTTCCTCCACATTTACACTAAAAAAGATCCATTAAACTAATTGAATAAATTTCCTGCTACTTTCAATTCGATTATAGCAAAAAGAAATGGATAGGAATGACAAAGAAGTAAATGTCATTACAGAAATTGAATCGAAGTATTTAAAACTCCCGGAAAAAACGGTCTAGAAATGGGCAAAAAAAATCAAGGAAATTTTTATGTATTTGAATAGAAATTTCGCTCGATCCTAAAATAATTTATTGTATTCATGTATCAAGCATAAATGTGAAAGGAAGTTTGAAATGCAATGGATTATTTCAATATTTAAAACATCCCAAGTATTGAAATTCATTGAAATTCCAGAGCAACAATTTTCAAATAGCATGTTCCCCAATATCCATAAGCTGTTTTAAATTTGAATCACCGCACAAAATTCAATTAGGATAATTGAATCCACATATAAGTTTTGACATAAAAAAATTATTATTGTGAACTTTATTATTTATTTGTTTCAACTTAATCTTGAAGCAAACAAATATTATATTTATTATTTAAAAATTATTGTGAAATTTTTATCTCTATTCAATAAATTGAGAAAAACATTCAAATAATAGATTACTAAATGAATATCGATGTTTCTTATGACCCAGACCATGATTTCTTTGATGCTTATGGTATAAGCGGTTTACATAAAGGACTAGAGAAGCCATCTGCCTTCAAAAATTCAACTCTCGCTTTCATTGAAAATTGCAAAAGCAAACCAGACATGAGATACGACATAAGAACAACTTCGGATCAATTAGGATTCAAGCAAAGACGATTTTACGAGGTTATTAATGTCTTCGAAACGATCGGTTGCTGCCCCAAAGTAGATTCGGAAACATTCGTTTGGATAGGATTTGATCAAACGAGATATACAATAGAACGAATAGCCAACGAACATGGGGTTTTCTACCCTAACTATACGCTTGAAGATATCTTTTGCAATCATGGCTGCATCTCTGTACAAAGAGTTACGGAAGAATTTTTACTACTCTTCATATCCCTGGAACGCCGAAAAATAAATATATTAGAAGCTTCTTCGTTTTTATCAAGAGATAATGACCGAGAAAAAACTACAAGATGTAAACTATATCAAGTAGCAGCAATCTTGGAAATTGCCAAAATTATAAGAAAAACAGAAAAACCAAGTGAATTCGAATTACTCCCTGAATATTTTATCAAAGCTTCCGATAAAATGAAGAAAGGAGAGAACGATCCCATATCATTGCTTGCACTTTTGAATCGACCAGAACCATTTTGCCTGGATATGGTTTGCCCAGCCATTAATTCAAGGATTAGAGAATATTATTCATTTAATGAATGAGATATACTTTGTTGTAAATAAATTTTCTTGCTGTTTTTGTTTTCCTATATGTTGATATCTATTTTTTTAAGTTTAAAAAATTGCTATTATAATCATTCGATCAAAAGCGATTTGATGGTATAAAAACAATAAACATAACCTGTTAATTTCAATCACCATAATAAAAGGATTGCTTTCTCTGAAAATCATTCATGGATTTTTCCGATGAGATGGTTAAATAGAAATATCAAGTATTATTTATTTGCGATACTGAATCATATGATATTTACTAGTCTCTGGATATGGAATTGAGAAAAAAAAATCATAACTTATTCAAAAGTATCTTTCTAACCTATTCTTCCAATACTATCAATTAGATATTTGGCATTTTAACTGGAATAAACATCGTGCATATGCAATTATAATAATGAGCACCCTATATTGGGAAATATAAATAAAGTTTCAATAATAGATGAAATGAATATGCAAACAATCATGTACGGTCTGTTTTTTCCAATAAAACTTGATGTGAGTCAACAACACATATATATTAATAAAATCTGAAATTAATATAAGCATAGATGTTATATCATCATGAATAAATACATTTTTATTATTTTAGTGATTATCTCAAGCGATTGTTTGTTAATTATATCTAGAATTCAATTCGAGACCTTCAATTCATAGATCAGTGAGTGTTTATTTAAGCAAGTGAAGTGGAGATTCTCTGTATGCAAGATGTTGTGATGATATTTTAATCGGGAAAATGAATCTATTTGTATATGAATTTTGTAATTTTAAATTTCGGCATAAACTATAGATGAAGCGAGTATAACTATAGCAGAAAAATGATATGGGAAAACTATTTATCATGGTAAATCATTTAATTACAAACAAAAACATTCTATTAAAGAAAAAATTAAGATTTGGTTAATATATAGCTAATAAAAACATACAGCATTGTAATTGCAATAAATCCTACTGCAACCACAATTAAGAGTGGTGTAGATACCGAGAAAAATGATTTTTTGAATTTATAATCGCATTTGTTGCCATTTGATAGTTCTTCAATGTATTTTGTAACATTCACGGCGCTTACGTTGTGAATTATTGAATAGCACTCTGTTTTCTTATTTAATCCAACAACATAATCGTGAACAAATGAATTTCGTCCCGTTAAAGAAGCAATGTAACGATTTGACTTTATAGATGAAAACCCTATTCTCAAATTTGGCTTGCACCAATCGTTATTTGCTAATGCTGATAATATTGTCTCTTTCTGTTCAGTTTTTGATTCGTGGCCAACATAAAGCATGAGTGTGACATTTGGAAGCTCCATTAACTCTTCATTAAAGTAATGATGATAATAACTAAAGAGTTTATCTTGTAAAATCGAAGAAATTGATGTATTATTGACTAATCTGGATTCTTTGCATGACGAAGAGTAATATATTGTTAATTTACACAACTGAGCCTCTACTATCGAATAAATGAAATTTACATCAAAAATTTTGTAAATTATAGATAATCTCTGTATAATAGGAAGTGTTTTGGTGTCATTTGATGGTATTTCAACAAAAACTAGTATGCCACCTCCTTTAACATATTCCGCAGCTGAAAATGAATATAAATTTTTTTGAATAATGTTTCCTTGAAGTTCATATTTAAAATAATTTAGAATTCCTGGTATATCTATTTCATCTGTACATCTCCAATATTGCCAATGATTTGTCCTTAACAGACATATTTTTGGAGATCGACCAATTTTGTAATTATCGCAAAAATGTGAACGTGAACAATCAATTTGTGTATGAATTAGTGGTAATTTTGACTCTAAAAGCTCTGCAACAATATGAAACGTATTGTTAATTTGATGACTTCTGTATCCTCTATGAGAAACAATAGCAGCGAGTATTGGAGTTTCCAATGATTCTTCTAATTTTGTAGGAATTGTATATGGACTGTAAATCCATTTCTCAGCAAGAATAGTAAATATGATGACATCAAGCATAAATGAATCTTAAAAAAGGAAATTTGAATTAAAAAGATACCCCTTAATACAATAATGGAATTTCGGATATCTTGGATTTTATATTTTATTTCAGAATTTTAGAGATTAACAAAAGCTTCAATAAAAAGAGTTTAATTCATTAGTCAATATTCATTAGCATGCTTCCTTAATATATGGTTGTACATGCAAGAGCTTTGTATTTTGTATCTATCTCTAAGTCCTTTTATATGCTTGTTTTTAAGGTACATTTTGATCCTTTTAAAAATTCATGAAAAAAAAAATTCGATTTGGATCTTCAATAACTAATTCTGTTGAGCTTCTTGGTTGGATAGCTAACATTTTCAATAATATTTTTAGCAACTGCGATATGTATGTCTTGGGAAATAGGAAATTAAAGATGTATTACATCGATATTCCAAAAGGAAGAGATTTTCAGCCTAAATTGGCTATTGCAGCTAGATCTTGGCAAGTTAGTGAAATAATAAAATGATATTAAAAGTATTATTGAACATTTGTGAAAATATCTCTAAATTATTAAGGAAAGAATCCCAAATGAATTGGAGCAATAAGATTGGCACATGCAATATAATTATAATTCCAAACATTAGAGAATAAACTCGAGGAAAATGAAAATTATGACAATCCCAACCAAAAAAATAAACTTGAATTAATTTCATCAAGCTTAAAGTTGCATCCTTATAATGATAAATTTTTATTTAGAAGAAAAAAAAAGTTAAACTTGTCTCAATAAAAAAAAGATTAACATGAAGTGCCACGAGGAGGTGTGCCTGGTCTCTCTTCTGGCAGCTCAGCAAACTGCCATTTGTATGGTTCGATTGTTGTGAAAGAGCAGTAAAGGTTCTCGTCGACATTAAGTACTGAACCGCGGTTATCGTATTCGTAGCAATAGTTAGGAGCGGAGAAAACAGTTACAAGGCATTGGTTATTCGGGTATGGGAACTCGAAGCCGTCCATGACAGCTTGATGTGCTCTGCAGATAAGGTCGAAACCGAATTTGATCAGGAACTCGTCGACCTTAGCAGCTCCGAAGCACCATGATGTACCACGCTCGTTCTCGCCCCAGTCATCGAAGTCGGCGTTTGGATCGGACCAAAGAAGGTCGCAAAGGAGGCCTTCTTCTGGGACTTCTGTTGGGCGCTTGATGTTCTTGATCTGATCAAGGGTATGAAGATCTGGGGAGATGCCGCCGTGGATGCAGAAGATCTTTTCATCAATTGTTGCGGCGATTGGGAGGCAGTTGAAAACGCGACCGTATTCGCGCCATGTATCATTGTCGAAACGGCGGAGGCACTCATCGTAGAAGCCATAAAGACGGTTGATGTATGAGCATTCGTGATTTCCACGAAGCATGAATACGCGATTAGGGTATAAGAGCTTGTAGCAGAAGAGTAAGCTGATTGTTTCAATACTCTGGCAGCCACGATCTACGTAGTCGCCGAGGAATAAGAATTTGCCGTTCGGCGGGTATCCAGTCTTTTCGAAGAAACGAATGAGGTCGTGGAATTGGCCGTGAATATCACCGAAAATAATGAGTGGTGCCTTAAGCTCAAGGAGTACTGGTTGGCTCATATAGACATTTGTGACGTTCTGGCAAAGGAAAACAATATCATCGTGTGTAATTTTAGATGGTGTGCCTGGAAGTTCTGGACGGATTGCAAGAATTGTATCGATGATTCCTTGAACGCGTTTGCGATCTTCTTGGGAAAGGATGCAGCCTTCCTCAGCTTCCTGGGTTCCGGATTGCTCCTGGATTGCTGGCATTTCAACCTCACTAGCTGGCTTTCCGGCTGGTGCATCACCGCCAGATGGAGCTGCTGGTGCATTCGCTGCAGCTCCGGAGTTTCCCTGTGGAACTGGAGCAGCAGCTGGTGCGGCAGCATCGGTCGATGTAGCTGTTTTTGTCTGGTCTTGGGCGTCGCCCTGATTGGGAGGGACTGAGCTCATTTATCAATTGTAGAGACTTTACTTCATCTCAAAAAAATTAATTCTTGATATTTATGACGATTTAGATTATACACTATATTTTATAAGAATTGTTTATTTTATGAATTTATATCTTTTTTTTCGAATGTTTTTGTGGGGATCGCTTTCTGGAATAGTTTTATATTTATATCATTGATACATATGTGAAACAGAAAAACGGATAATCGCTTGAAATTGCTGAAAATAAAATTTGTATAAAAAAAACAAAATGTTTTTCTTAGACCAAATCTGTAACATCAAACTGGAAATTTGGAAATTGCTTGCGGAAGTTTATGTGTTTTTGATTACAGTATTGAAGTTGTTCAGTCATAATCAAACACTTTTAAAAATCTAATAAAAATTAATCATGAAATAATGCTCTTTTATTGTTCATTTTTAATTTCCATTTCATGTTGTTTACTGTGCAATGTTAGCAGTTCTCAAAATATCAAAAAATATCATAATAAAAAATCTATGAACTTTTGTTTGTTGTAAAGTTCTCAAAAGTTTTGTAAAACGCTCAAGTTGGTCAGTTCAATGATAATTTGGAAGTAAATGCTTTAACTTCAGCTTGTAATTGAGGAGAATACCAAAACCAAAGATAAAAAGGAATTTTAAAAGAAAGCAAAATTATTCATGTAAAATTTTATTTGTCACTTTTATTTAAAATTCTGACAAATAAATGTCAATGAAAAAATGATAATTAATAATTCCAATAAGTATTATATAAGGAATAAAAATGAATAAGTCGGGTTTGGTGCGGATTTTCAAAAGGAGATTAGTCGTGGTCAATGAATAAGCAAATATAATCTTCGTCTGTAAGTTAAAAATAATCCAAAGTAAATTTTCTATTTTTTTCAAACTTTTTTGAATAAAATTATTATATTTGTCATTATTAATTATAAAAAGTGATTTATATGGCACGTAATATAATGGTTAAGACAATGCAACTTGAATTGCACAGATAAATCTCAAATTGCAAAATTCCGATATAGATTTTCTGAAAGATATCAATAAACTAATTGTAATTGCAATACACAATTAGCATTATAAAAGAAAGTGCTTAGAATATTGATTTTTGAAACAATTTTTTTGAATCTGAATCTATAATAGAAATAAAACGGCAGAGAGCATAATCATAAGCTAGTTTTACATTAGTATATTTCCTAATATAGCTTTAAATTAAATGAATTGAAGAAATAAATGATTATCTGTGATTTTAAAACCTTTGGTCATTTGGTTGTTTAATTTTGTTTTTAGGTTTTTCAAGAAAGCATTCAAATGAAATAAAACATCCGAAATATATAGAATTCATCTTTTTTTTTCATCAATATAACTGACAGGATTTTTTGTTATGGTATTTCATCTTTTCTTCATTATGTTTCCCAGAAAATCGCAAACAGTCAAATAGAATTTATAAAAACACTATTTCAAAAGCATGCAACCAACAAATTATGTTGGTATATTCTACTTCTGTCAAGAAATAATAAAAAATAATTGAAACAACAAAAAATGAAGATTTTTGAAGAATTTTTTCTTTCTGTTGAAATATATGATTTCAGTTTCCTCTTCATTCTTTGATTTAGGAATATCAAATTCACACGTTAAATTTGGAAATTCTATTTTGAATGGATTTGTTTCATTGTTTTTGAAAATAACTTCTCCTAATATTTTTGGATTTCTTTCATCAATGTAACATCCATCAATTGTAGTTTTACCTGGATCGGCTTGACCAATATATAAAATTCTTCCTGTGTTATTGATGAAATTGCAATTAACAACATGAACATATGAATTAGAACTTATTATTACATGGAAATTGTTACTTAAGTAGTTACATGACTTAATCAAAAATGTTTCTGATGAATAATAAAAATAAATAGTATAAGTAAATCGTGATGAATATGCATCAGTATTATTACTAAATGTTGACAATGATGCTCTGGATGAAGAATTACAATAGCATATATCAAATAAACTACTACTATATATATTAGTATAAGAAATATTTATAGAATTCATTTCAATTTCTCCATTTTGTAAACGAATATTATATTCTTTATTTTTATATAAATTTCCGCTTTCAGAAATAGAAGCACCAAGAAGTTTATTCTGAAATTTAGCAATATCACTAACATCAACAAAACAATACATATCACCTTGAGCAGAATTAGAATTTAAACTACAAATTCGATTTTGGATGCATTCGCCTTCTGTGGAGAAGTATATGCTTCCTCCTTGTCCTTTACTATTGGAGCAATTATGAAAATTTGTTGTTTCAATAAGAGTTTTCGTTGTTTCTTTCGAAGTTTCAAAGTAAATGGCACCTTCTGTGAGCAATGTGCCAAAATTACAAAAACTAATATAATAATTTTGATCTTCTGAACTAAGTTTTTGACTTTCCGAAAAGTATTTTGTACTTTGTCCTGAATTTTGGAAAAACTCTATCCATTCTTGATGGAGCAATTCTAGTATTATGACTTTCTTTTATTACTTCAAATTGGTTGTTGATTGTTTGAAGTAATGAAGTTAAAATAGTCGTTCGACTCGAAACGAAAAAAGAGAAATAAAAATGTAAACTTCAGAAAATAATTCGTTTTTTGACAGCATTATTATTGAGAATAATGATTTACATCTTTTTTAAAGTATATTTGAGTCGGTAATTTGGATATTTATGTGTATATCTTCTGGAGATTTATTGAATTATAGATAAATTTAAAACAATAAAGGTTTGAAAAGTTCAAATATACAGAGAACAACAATAGTTTCTTACAAAATATACTCAGTCTCATAAAACATACTGAACAAAATGTATAGATATATGTATATGTATATATATACCAAGAACGTCACTAGATGGGTTCTGTGTGGCGACGCTCCAGCCGGCGGGAACGCCAAACTGCATCTTGAAGTTGTGAAGTGCTTTAGAACCAAGACCGAATGTAGTAGAACGAACCATGAGACGTGGAAGACCTTTCACTGGTGCAATCTCGAAGTAGACAACGTAATCTTGTGTACGAGCAGCTTCAACGGAATTCTTAGGTGGTGTAATACTATCTTGCTTAACTTCGACTTTTTGTGCAGCTGGAGATTTGGCTGTTCCTTCCTGTGATGGAGATGGAGATGTTGATGAAGGAGATGTGTTGAGAAGAAGATCGATGCCGTTGAATTTGTAGATAATTTCTTGCCGATTTCGTTGATGCCAAATGCACGCAATGTATCCTTCTGAGCGCAGTTAGATGCGGCGTCGATCGCGGACTGAAGGATTGAAATGCCCTTCTGATTGCCCGTAGATAATGACGTGATGTATTTGGTGAGAAGCTCGTCAACTTCACCGGACTTTTCGCCGATGATGCCGAGGAAGTCAAGTAACTTGATCTTTAAGAAGGGATCGTTGATGCCAACGTGAATGTATTCGCTCGATGAAAGTTGTGAAACGAGGCCACGAAGGTTCTTAACAATCTGTGGAACAAGTTGAACTCATGACAACTCCTTTTAAGAAACAATAACAAATAATATAAACAACAATAAATGAAGAATTTTAAAAATTCTTATCTTTCTTTAGAAATATGTCATATGAAAATATTGCATTTTCTTCTTCGTTCACATGTGAACAAAAACTTATATAATAACTATGATCTCCTGAACTAAGTTTTTGGCATTTCGATGAGTGTTTTGTTCCTTGTTCTGAACTTTGGAAAAACTATCTCCATTCTTGATGGAACAATTCTTGTATTATAGTTTTCTTTTGTCATCTCAAATTGGTTATTGATTGCCTAAAATTATGAAGTTAAATGCGTTCTTCGACTTGAAACTAAAAAAGTGAAGTCAAAATGTAAACTTCAGAAAATCATTATTATGATAATTCTTCTGATTTGAAAAGTTTTATCAGAAGAATGATTTACATCATTTTTAATGGAAGCATGAACTAGTTAGCTGGATATTAATTTCTTGCCTTCTAGTTAAATGAAGTTTTTTTTTCATTGAGGGGGGTGTCAGAATGTAAACTATAGAAATATCAGAAGTTGACATATTAAATTTGAGAGGTTTCCACGTTTCTCGAAAGAAATTTGAATATGTTTCGAGCCACAAACTAAGTCTTCCATGTTGAAGCATAAAAGAAGCTTGTATCATCCTTCCCTCGACATTTCTTTTCGCATTTAATTGATCCATGCATTTCTAATATTTCATCTCTAACAATCTTATTAGAAATGTGATGCGCTCGCAGGCATAATGTACTACATTCATATCCCTAAAGATTCTGAATCTGATTGCGAGAAAAGACGTAAACCTTGTAAATGAGTGCAATAATATGAAGATCCATACATGAATGGTATATGTCCTGATTGATATGTCTATAGAATCTAATTGTAGGAGAAAAAAAAGCATACATTTAAAAGAATGGATGCTTCCCGAACAATCTGAACGTGAGAATTTGGAATTCAATTTTTTGTGATGCTATACTACATTTTCTTCATCTGTTTCACAGGAAATCTTGTAATGAAATATATAAAAGATGATTGATGCTTTTTTCGCCTACCCAAAACAATTATCTATGTGTTATATTACCGCACCTAATGAATTTCAATCCTTGCATATAATAAAATAAAAAATTTGATTTCAAAAGGCATAGAAACAGTGAATTATGTTGTTGTAATTTACTTCTTTCAAGATATAATAAAAAATAATTGAAACAACAAAAAATGAAGATTTTTGAAGAATTTTTCCTTTCTGTTGAAATAAATGATTTCATTTTCTTCTTCACTCTTTGGATTAGGAATATCAAATTCACCTATTTTGATTGGTATTGTTACATTGTTTATGAAATAAACATCTCCAATACATTTTGGATTACTTATATCAATGTAACATCCTTCAATGGTAATATTATATAATTGAAAATGATAAAAATAACAATTTCTACCAATGTTTTTGAAGAAATTACAATTAACAACATAAACATATGCAGTTTTAGAAGTTACTATTGTACTTAAATTGTTTCTTAAGTAGTTACATGACTTAATCAGTAATGTTTTTGTTGATTCACGAAAAAAAGCATAACAAGTATTTTCTGGAAAAGTTTCAGTATTATTACTAAATGTTGAAAATGATGCTCTTGATGAAGAATTATATTTGTGAATGTAGAATAAACTATTAAGATATATATCAGTATTAGAAATATTTATAGAATTTAATTCAATTTCTCCATATTGTAGACCAATATTTCCTTCTTTCTTTTTATATAAATTTCCACTTTCAGAAATAGAAGAATTAAGAAGTTTATTCTTATATTTAGCAATATTACTGACACTAACATAACAATACATACAATTTGAAGCAGAATTAGAATTTAAACTACAAATTCGATTTTGGACACATTCGCCTTCTGTGAAGAAGTATAAACTTCCTCCCCAACCTTTAGTATTGGAGCAATTATTAAAATTCGTTGTTTCAATAAGAGTTTTCGTTGTATCTTTCGAAGTTCTAAAGAAAATGGCACCTTCTGTGAGTAATGTGCCAAAGTTACAAAAGCTTATATAATAATTCTGATCGTTTGAAATAAGTTTTTCGTTTTTCATAAAGTATTTTGTTCCTTGTTCTGAAATTTGGAAAAACTCGATCCATTCTTGATGTAGCAATCCTAGAATTATCTTCTTCTTTTATCATTTCAAAATGATCATTGATTTTTTGAAGTAATGATGTTAAAATCGCTCTTAGAATAGAATCTTAAAAAAAGAAAGTAAAAATGTAAACTTCAGAAAATAAATCATATTTTGACAGAAAACAACCTTAAACTGTGAGTCAAAAGGTGTACGTACAAGCTTGAACTTTTTGAGAGAAGACATACAATTAATTATATGAAGATTATGCCTGCGAGAAACAAGTAAACCTTGTAAATGAGTGCAATTATATGAAGATTTCTGGCACATAAGTTTTGAATGATGTGTCTTTTTGAATTTAATAGTATAAAAAAGGAATACATTTACAAGAATAGATGCTTCTTGAACAATCTGGACGTGAGGATTTGGAATTCAATTATTTGTGATGGTATACTACTTTCTTCATTGTGTTTCACAGGAAATATTGTAATGAAATAAATAAATGGTGATTGATGCTTTTTTGGCTACCGGAATCGACTATATATGAATATAAAAATTTGATTTCAAAGGCATAGGAACAATGAATTATGTTGTTGTTTTTTACCTCTTTCAAGAAATAATTAAAAATAATTGAAACATCAAAAAATGAAGATTTTTGAAAATTTTTTTCTTTCTGTTGAAATATATGATTTCAGTTTCCTCTTCATTCTTTGATTTAGGAATATCAAATTCACACGTTAAATTTGGAAATTCTATTTTGAATGGATTTGTTTCATTGTTTTTGAAAATAACTTCTCCTAATATTTTTGGATTTCTTTCATCAATGTAACATCCATCAATTGTCATATTACCTGGAGAATATTGATTATGAACAAAATAATAATATCTATCTGTGTTATTGATGAAATTACAATTAATTACATTAGCATATGCATCACCAGAATTTAAAATAACAATTAAATTGTTACTTAAGTAGTTACATGTCTTCATCAAAAATGCTTCTGATGAACAATAAAAATTATTAACCCAACTTGATTCAGCTGTATCAGTATTATTACTAAATGTTGAAAATGATGCTCTAGATGAAGAATTATAGGAGGATGCGCTGAATAAACTACTAATATATAAATCAGTATTAGAAATATTTATAGAATTTATTTCAATTTCTCCATTTTTTAGATCAATATTCCCAAGGCTATATTTAATTAAATTTACACTTTGCAAAATAATAGAATCAAGGATTTTATTCTTATATTCAGCAATATTACTGACATCTACCCAACAATACATATTTGCTAAAGCATTAGAATTTAAACTACAAATTCGATTTTGGATGCATTCGCCTTCTGTGGAGAAGTATATGCTTCCTCCTTGTCCTTTACTATTGGAGCAATTATGAAAATTTGTTGTTTCAATAAGAGTTTTCGTTGTTTCTTTCGAAGTTTCAAAGTAAATGGCACCTTCTGTGAGCAATGTGCCAAAATTACAAAAACTTATGTAATAATTTTGATCTTCTGAACTAAGTTTTTGACTTTCCGAAAAGTATTTTGTACTTTGTCCTGAATTTTGGAAAAACTCTGTCCATTCTTGATGGAGCAATTCTAGTATTATGACTTTCTTTTATTACTTCAAATTGGTTGTTGATCGTTTGAAGTAATGAAGTTAAGATAGTCGTTCGACTCGAACCTAAAAAATGGATATACAAACGTAAACTTCAGAAATAATTGATTTTTGACAGTAACTCTTATCGAACAATTATTATATCTCACAAAATATATTCACTCTCATAAAAAGTACTGAACAATATGTATAAAAATATGCACAACTTGATCAACGGAAGCTATTCTAATAATATCCGAAGTAAACTATTTATCTCAAAGGCACATCAAAAAATAATCCGATAGCAATAATAATTAAAAAAAAAGATAAATTTTAGTGCAAGAATATAATTTGGATCTTCAAACACCGAACTTTTCGAAAATATTGTTGAATGTGATTGTGTCTTGAAGTGGCTGTGAACCATAAAGGTACTGAACTAAACCTTTAACAACTAACTTAACTTTAGTACGCATCTCCAAGCAGACAAGTTGAACAATAGGTTTACCACCAATTGGATCAAGAACGTCACTAGATGGGTTCTGTGTGGCGACGCTCCAGCCGGCGGGAACGCCAAACTGCATCTTGAAGTTGTGAAGTGCTTTAGAACCAAGACCGAATGTAGTAGAACGAACCATGAGACGTGGAAGACCTTTCACTGGTGCAATCTCGAAGTAGACAACGTAATCTTGTGTACGAGCAGCTTCAACGGAATTCTTAGGTGGTGTAATACTATCTTGCTTAACTTCGACTTTTTGTGCAGCTGGAGATTTGGCTGTTCCTTCCTGTGATGGAGATGGTGATGGAGATGAAGGAGATGTGTTGAGAAGAAGATCGATGCCGTTAAGTGATGTGTTTGGTGATGTCGTTTGTGCTGATGATGCTGACTGTTCTGTAGATTCTGGAGATTCAACTGGAAGAGGATCTAATAATGGTGTTAAATCTTGACGACGAAGAATACGTGAAAGTTCACCACATCGCTGCTGAGTATCAACTGAGTTAGAGTGAATAACTTCGTCAAGGATCTGGCAAACACGTTGACGTTCATTCAAACGAACACCTAATTTGGCAAGTGCAATGAGAATGTAACCAAGTGTTTCTTCGTTAGAGTGATGGACTTTAGTAAGAGTGTAAAGAGTCTGGATGTCGTTCATGCTAGAGTCGTTTTGTAATTCTCCAATAACAAATGATGCTGCTTGGATAAGTGTTTGGTTCTCTGGGTATGCGATCAATGCATTGGATAAAACACTGATAGCGTGTGGTTGGATTTCTTGGTTAGCAAGGACGAGGTTTGTGAATGTAGATAATGATGATGTTGGGAAGACGCTGCCGGACTTAAGAAGAAGATCAAGTTGCTGGTCGAAGTTCCACATGACGTTTGGTGCGAATTCTTGGATCGCAGAAAGAACTTTTGGAACCATCTCAAGACGGAAGTCAAGATCGACAGATTTAAGGTATCCCGACATCTTAGGGATGATTTCCGCCGCGTTGTCGTGGTTGACAAGAGCGCAGATGACGTCCAGAGCACGACGACGGATTGAATTGTCTGGATTGTCAAGAAGAAGAATGATGGATTCTTGGTAACGTTGAATGGCGACAGCATCAGCACTCTCGCGATTGAAGATCTTGTTACGGAAAAGAAGTCTTGAAAGACATGATAAAGCACTGTAGATAGTAGAATTGGAGTTCGTTGATAATTTCTTGCCGATTTCGTTGATGCCAAGTGCACGCAATGTATCCTTCTGAGCGCAGTTAGATGCGGCGTCGATCGCGGACTGAAGGATTGAAATGCCCTTCTGATTGCCTGTAGATAATGACGTGATGTATTTGGTGAGAAGCTCATCAACTTCACCGGACTTTTCGCCGATGATGCCTAGGAAGTCAAGTAACTTGATCTTTAAGAAGGGATCGTTGATGCCAACGTGAATGTATTCGCTCGATGAAAGTTGTGAAACAAGGCCACGAAGGTTCTTAACAATCTGTGGAACAAGTTGAACCCACTTCTCTTTAGAACTTGGGTCTTTGTGGTAGATTGCCATAGCCAAGTTGATGCCTGCAATGGAAATGCCGTGCTCTTGGTGAAGAACAAGTTTGCCAACAAATGGTTTGAATGATTCTGCTGTGTCGGGTAATAATCGGATAGTATGGACTGCTGCCATGATAGCGGCCTTGAGAATGAGTGGATCTTGTGAATCAAGAAGATTCAGGATATCACCACTAACTGTTTGGCAAAGTGTTGTTTCGCCGGCGTTTGCAATGTATTGTAATGCAATTAAAACAATATGACGGTCGTTACTTTTAAGATCTTTCTGAACTTCTTGTGTAAGCATAACTGCTAATTCACCACCTTCATCAATGATGATAGAAGCGGCTAAATAAGCAATACGCTTGAAGCTGAAATGCGGATTAGAAAATAGTGACATAAGCTGAACTTGACAGAAAGCGGTGTTGTAACCACGAACGGTCAAAAACATAAGTTTAATGATGTCTTCAACGAAGTTGGAACGATCTTCGTTAATAAAACGGTTCCTGATTGCAGCGAGTTCCTCTGTGATGATATCTGCTTGAGTGGAAATCTCGCAGCGAATGACTTTGTCGATAAAGGTCTTCGCAGTTCGACTCATCGTCTAATTTATTCAATAGAATTTTTTATCGTTAAAAAAAGGATATAAAAACTAGAGAGCAATTAGTTATGTGCTTTATTATGCTTTTATAATCTCTTTTCATCTCATTGAATTGCTTTGTTGAAGAGACATCCTACAAAATGAGGAATGCAGAATAGATCATTGTGTGGCTTTCCATGAGAGATAGTTTTTATTTAACTTTAGCGAGTATATATTTGAATCATAACTTTAGATAACGTTATTTAGCTAGATCAAAGGTCTTGGACTGTTATTGACTAGTTTATGTAATATGATTGCCTCTCATTCATGTATATATCCTAGAGTTGGCATTTTATTCCTGGAAAATATGTGTAATAGAATTGATCAATTTTATATATTTCTATATACTTCAAAACAATCAGTATAACATAAGAATTTGTATCAAAAAAGCATGGGTTTGGATAGATAGCATCATAAATTAAGAGAAAGAATTGATCGGAGAAACAATAAGTCATTGTATCATTAGACTGCAATGAAACCTATATTTATGAATTCTATTTCCAAATGTAATTATTAACATTTTCCTGATCATATGATTATGCTATGAAGATCTCATGAATAAATCAAAACTTAATCAAACTAATGAGTTTTCTTGAAATAGAATAATTAGAACTATAGTTGTTGATTATTGTGCTATATTAATGAATTATGCACTTCAAATATGAATCAATAACAATCATCTCAGAATTAGTCACTTATGTTGTAGATCAATGAAACAATTCATCAGTAAATAGGAAGGTATAACTGATTCCTACATCATGTATAAAGTTTATAACGTTGAAAAATCCATTGAATTTAGAAAAAAATCTTATGAATTTAGATAAGAGTTAGCGAAAGTTGTTTAGTTTAAAGATACTTCTCAAGGCGGTGGAAGATATCAGCGCAGCGGCATGAGTACATCCACTCGTTATCGTACCAGGAGAGAACCTTGACGAGTGTGCCCTGGCCTTCTGGGTTTGGAAGAACCTTTGTGGAGAGAGCATCAACGATGGAGGAGTACTGGCAGCCGATGATATCGGATGAAACGATTGGGTCTGTGACGTATGTCATGATGCCCTTGAGGGAGCCTTCCTCTGTAGCCTTCTTGAGGGCGGCGTTGACTTCCTCCTTTGTGACCTTGGCGTTAACGTTGACTGTGAGGTCGACGAGGGAGCCTGTGATTGTTGGGACACGGAGAGCGAAGCCATCGAGGGACTTTGGTGGGAGACCGTGGCAAACCTTTGGAAGAGCGATAGCAGCACCTGTGGATGTTGGGATGATGTTCATGCCAGCAGCACGAGCACGGCGGAGATCCTTGTGCATTGTATCAGCGACAACCTGATCGTTTGTGTAGGAGTGGACTGTTGTCATGAAGCCGTTGCGGATTCCGAAGGCGTTGTTGAGTGTCTTAGCGACTGGGCCAAGGCAGTTTGTTGTGCAGGAAGCGTTGGAGATGCACTTTGTCTCTGGCTTGAGATCTTCATCGTTGACACCGAGAACGAGTGTGCATTCGATCTCATCAGCAGATGGGACGGAAAGGACAACCTTCTTAGCACCAGAAACAAGGTGGCCATCATAACCATCCTTTTTGATCTTGCCTTCAGCATCCTTCTCGGCCTTTGTACGGAAGATACCTGTTGACTCGAGGACAACATCGATGCCGAGCTCCTTCCATGGGAGCTGGGATGGGCCAAGGCGGCCACCGATTGACTTAACAACCCACTTGTCAGCGCCTTCACCGACTGTGAATTCCTGCTTAGCCTCATCGACTGTGACTGGCTCTGGGAATGCACGGTGAGCTGTATCGTACTTAAGGAGGTAAACGTTTGTCTTGATGTCACCAAGATCGTGGATAGCGACAACTTGGATATCCTTTGGATAGAGCTTGCGGCAAGCACGGAAAACAAGACGGCCAATTCTGCCGAAACCGTTGATAGCAACTTTAACTACCATGTTAAGTTGAAAGTGATGTGAGCATTCACCATGCAAATCCTTATCAAAAATTGAGAGAGAAATTTCAATAAAGACTGGTCTAACGATTCTCAATTTTTTATTCTTAAATATTCCAAACTGTATTATAGTCCATCATCAATATTCGGAAATTTATTTTTTCTGAAAATGATCGTCGTTTATCGTTTTCATATTTTATAAGTGGTCAGATAAAAATTAGAATCTATATCAAAAATGACATCGAATGTACGTAATTTTTTCTAACTTTTCATTCAAAATTTTTTCGAAAATTGATTTTTTCTAATCAAATTTGCTATTTTTTTGTCATTTTATTCGATTTCTCCAAATTTTGGAAATTTGATCCATTTATAAAAGAATTGTATGTGAAGTATAGAATCAAGTTTGTTATATTAAATGTCTGAAATTTAATATTCAAGATTTGGGATTTGCGTAATCGGTCCATTCTAGTGAAAAATAATCAACCCATTAACAGGTTTATTGGATACATCTGTAATTCGAAGAAAATAAATTCATAAAAAATGAAACAACTCAAAGTAATTCTTGCACAAACTAAAAAGTTATTCAATATTCCTATACAGAACAAACTCTGCTTTAATGCACCTGTTATGAATAACAACTTCTCTCTTCAATTAGAGAAGCCTTCCCAAAAAGATGTTCAAATGTGCGTAACAACTAACTTGAAATTCAAAAACGGACTCATAGTTGCTACAGCGCACAGTGATAACCCATGCTCAATTTTATTCCAAACAAATGCAATCTATCCAGGCGTTAAATTTACTACAAACATATCAAGTAACGAAAAAAATACTATCATATCTAAAGTATCATATTGCACTATATATAAAAACATGATTTTCACACCAAAAGTTAAAGTTATCCTTCAAGATAAACCTTATAACTATTTAAATACAGATGTTCATTTCAAAACAAATGTTAACTACTACGGCTGCGGATTTACAGCCCTATTTAAGAAACTCGAACAGTCGTTTACGTTGATTCCTTACATTAGAAAATTCGGACACCATGCAATTTCATTAAAGTTCAAGAATTACAAAGTTGTTCCAGAAATTTATACAATATTCCCATATGAAGACTTCCAATTCGCTTTTCATACCTTTTATCCAACAAGATCTCTTTCATTTTATTCAATCTATCATCCAAATCTTAGAAACTTGTTTGGAGCCAACTTTACAATAAGCCATATTGGTCATGGCCCTGAATATCTTTTCATGATCGGCTGTTCACACAATATTGGAAACGATTCCAGCATTCGCTATGTTTTGAGATCAGATTCAAAGGCAAGCTTCGAATTGAATGTACCTTACAAGAACTTTTTGAAGATGACATTTACTGGAAACTTTGAATATTCAAGAGCCAATAAATTGAATTCCAATTTTGGTGCAGTCATTATTTTTGATAAAAAATAAATTGTTTTATGTTTAATTGCTAGTTGTTATTTTTAATTGTTTCTGATATTGAAGAATAAGAAGGAGTAATACTTAAAATAATGTTGCATAATTTCAGCTTTTAGATTATTATTTCAGGTCATACTCAAATTTAGTGGAATTACCTTCCTTTGATCAGTCATATGAATTTCGTCTATCTTAAAGAGTTTTATTCTTAAAATAATGTAAGCTTGCTTGGCCGAGCGGTCCAAGGCGTACGCTTCAGGCGCGTATCCAACAGGGCGTGGGTTCGAACCCCACAGCAAGCATTTTTATTTTTTAAAGACAACTGTAAACTTCACAAAATTCAATTTGATTTTTCCAAGAAGTACAAATGGATTGATCCTATCCACTAATGAAATCATTGATACTTAGAAGATACCTTGTTGATTGTGATATTCATTTTAACTTTTCCTAAGAAAATTGAATCTAAAAATTAAAATATGTTGGATTTTTCTAAATAAAAACAAACATTTTTTTTAGTTTATCATGACACTAATATTAGCTCTATTCATAATTCTATTAAATTCTTTTTCTTTCATTTTGTATAAAATATTTTGAACAAAATATTCATTTCTCTTAAAAGATTATACCATGCATAAACAATAACAATTATTCAGAGTCATCTTGTTCCAAAAATGACTTGAATTCTTCATTTGTCATTCCGCTCAGTTTAATCTTGAATTCTGAGGGAACACACTTTGCAATGAACGCTTCTTCCGGCCATTTGAGATACAATTTATCATTTGCTGGAATTATAAAATCTTTTTTGTGGAAAACTAAATCAAAAGACTTTGGTTCTTCAGGCTGAGACTGTTTATCTTTCCTAAACCTAGAATCATTAGATGCAACGTTCATTCTCCTTTGATTTCTGATTGGCGTCGGTAAATTCGAACGAATTTTTTGTGGGGTATTTACTGACTGTCTTCTCATAAGAGCAGTAACCTTATCAAATGCAAATGCATACATTTGTGGTCCAGATACTGTTAAATTTCTTTTCCCTAAACGAAGCCATCCAGATTTATTTACAATTTGTATCCAGCATCCACTAGGAGATGTAGCTTCGTAAATTTCTTTGTATCGTGTATCGAAAACAACAAAATAAGGATGATTACAATTATTGAAAATGATACTTCTGTAAGTAACATATTCATCTATACAACGTGTACTGAAATATTCTCTTTCGCATATATAGCCAGGATTGTATGAGTATCTTCCAACTTGGAAATTTGGATGTTCAATATATTTTCCGAAAGATATAATCCTAACACTCGGTGTTAGTATATATGGAAGTTCGATCTCTGTTCCGTCCAATAATTTCATTGATCTTTCTCGTTTAAATCTTTGGCACATATTAACTGTGACTTTGCCATCAAAGTAAAATCGATCATTTGTTTGATCATTTTCTTCGTCAGAACTACTTTTATGTTCGTATTCCGAGGATTCTTTTGCTTCAGGTTCACTCATAAAAAGTGTCAAAAATATTTGAAGATCTAAGATTTCTACATTTATTATCAACAAACAAGATATCATTGTCCATGTAAATAAAAATTTCAGACAACGTTTTCATGAAATTCAACTTCTTCTTCATTTGGAGATATTCATGTTTGAATGCATGAATATAGTGCTTTTAAAATCTGCACACGCAATAAATGAACCATTCAGTTATGAAAAACAACGTGATGAGCTTGAATTTAGTTAATATGAATAATTGTCATTCGATAATTCAATCATTATTCATTTATGATAGTACTGTATATAATTATATTTTAGATTGTTGTAAACAGAAATTCATCAAAAGTGACACCTCAGAAAAGCTAAAATATTGAATTTTTGGAACTTTTGATAGAGCACGTTTTTAAATATTAATTAAAGTAAATGTATATTTTGTAAAGATTCTTTTTAATAAAAAAATTTGAAGAAGAACACAAAATCTTCTGAAAAATAATATCACATAAACTCATATTATTTTCTAATATATAACTATTTTATATAAAAATCAAATTCAATGATCTTAAAAGCGAAGGATAAACCTCAAAATTTACGAATATAATGAGTGGGAATATTATTTTTCAGAAGATTTCATTCTATATGCCTATGAAAAGTACTCTCAAAACTAACTTTTTCCTAATTATAATTAAATCTAGAATATTGTATTATGCTTAGTATTATTTCATTTTTCTCATTCAATTTAGAATTTACAAATGTCAAAAAATTGAGAGCTGTCACTTTTGATGAATTTCTGTTTATTACAAGATATTCATTTCCTATTCATGAATCAAACTAAAAGACTAAGTAATTTTTAATGAATATGGTTGTTTGAATGTGTTCGAACTGGAAATAAATTTCTCTAAGCAATCTTTTATTTTAACCCTATTTTTTTGAAAAAATAATATCGAACAAAAACTAAATCTGATGAAAATGTTCACAATTATACTAATTGTTCAATTCATTTTAATCAATTTTAATTGAAAATTTACATAATTCAAAAATCTGCTCATTTCGAAGTCGCAAATAATGATTCAAACTACATTCTTTAAGAAAAGTGGGATACTCCTATCACTTGTATCAATTCGATGGCTTTATTACTCATAACCCATCAATCATCCAAAATAATAAATTATTATTACTTATTATTGATTGGCTATTTCGATTTTCTAGGCTTATGTGATGGTAATGTTAGAGATACTTCGATTCGTATCGGAACCGCATATTTTCCATTCAAATTTTCGATGGAAATTTATTGAGTTTGAATCAAACGGTGGATTTTCAGTGGTTTATACAATGTAATTGAATATAACAAAATCAACCAAACTAACTTTTGTCATAACGTTCATTAGCGTTTAAATAAAATGAACCAGAAAGTGTAAAAATCATACCAGCATAGGAAGGTATTTCTGTTTTACAGTTCGAGTTTGTCTAAATTTATAGTTGAAAAGAATCTCATTATTGAAAGGAATTCGTTAGGTATAATTCATTGTCCTACTTTGATTTGTAACCATTAATATGGCTAATGACGCAGAATTTAATTCAATATTTCTTTAAAATCTAAGCTTCTCAATTTTTTTCACCGTCTGCCAATTTTTCTCTGAAAAAATTATTGTTTATTTATAATTTTATTCTAAATACAGTATACAACAATTTTATCACTGTTTTAAATTTCTGACTATTGAATTGAAATTGAATGGGATTCAATCAACAATTCAATGCGATGTTTATATCATAAAAATGATTGCGCTGATAATAATCATGGTTAATTCGGTTGCTTTAGACTTCAAATTACAAGATGCCACAGTTGGAACTCCTAATATTACTTCGAACAAGACATGCTACATATTTTATTTCCCATGTAATAATTATTCCCATTGTACATCATATGAAGGGATCTTACCAAAGGGAAGATATAGATTAGAAGTATGGGGAGCTGAAGGTGGAATGATGCACTCAGATTCAGCAGCCAAACCAGGAAAAGGAGGATATGCAAGAGGAATAATCAATATAACATCGCCTACAAAAATTTTCATTCATTTGGGAGGATCTCCGCCGAGAAGAAATGATTCTGAAAAGAAGATAATATATGGTGGATATAATGGAGGAGGAATGAATATCAATCCTCAAGGAAGTATTCAAAATGGTGGTGGCGGGGCTTCTGATATTCGTATTGAAAATGACGATCTTTATTCAAGAGTGTTGGTTGCGGGTGGAGGCGGGTATGGAGGTAAAATATCTGATATTATAAGCAACCAAGGAAGATCTGGAGGGGGTCTCTATGGAGAGTCAGCAGATTTTTACGGGATTAGTGGAAGCACACAATATTCAGCAGGTTCGTGCAATTATCCAGCTCACGCGGGAAGTTTTGGCTTCGGTGGTAATAATAGCTTTCTTGGAGGAGGTGCAGGAGGTGGTTGGTTTGGAGGAGCATCAGCAGATCCAAGTTCATATGAAATTGGAAGTTCTGGAGGTGGCTCTGGTTTTGTTTATAACTATTCTTTTTACCCGGGTTTCCAATACAAAGTAGATTCAAAGTATATGCTATCCAAAGCAAATTTGATTCCAGGAAATGAGAGTTTGCCTGAATGGGATGGATCTCATAGCATTGGACATTCTGGTCATGGAGTTGCAAAAATTACTTTATTATTACCTCCCAAAAAAACTGAATTCATTGATCCATATCATGATAAGTTTTTTCGTCAAATTCGAAGAAGATAAATGCATGAAAAGAAGACAATACTTGTTCACTTTAAATATTTTGACTCTTGTTTGATCTATAAAAAAAAAATCATCTTATATATTTTTACGAGAATAATTAACAAATTCATAGTAATACTTTACAATATCATGCACCATATTTAAACTGTTGTTTTCCATCAAAAACTTCTCTATTTTTTCCGAAATTTTGTTTTTATTTAATGAATACATAATAATATATGATAAAAGACTCGGTTGTTTTGTATGTTAAATAGATTAGTATTGTGTAATTGGTATTTTTACATATTTTTTACTATCCGCAAATTATGCAATTGTGCAGCATCCTTTATCTTCCTTTTCTCCTTTCTTCTTGATTTGGTATTTCTCTATTCTGTTACCGTTGGCATCTAAAACACCACAGTCGGCGATAAGAATTTGTTTTGAAGTTTCTCCTTTCTTTGATCCAAGTTTCTCGAGTTGTAAGACGACTTCATCGAAACCTTCAACAACCTTACCGAAAACGACGTGTTTTCCGTCAAGGCTTGGTTGTGCCTTGAAACAAATAAAGAATTGGCTACGATTCTTATTTGGACCACTGTTTGCCATTGAAAGAACGCCAGGGCCTTCATGCTTGAGTTCAAAATTCTCGTCATCGAAGTATTGGCCGTAAATAGATTCACCACCTTTTCCATTTCCCATTGTAAAGTCACCACCTTGCGCCATGAATCCTGGGATAATTCTATGGAATGGGCAGCCTTTGTAATGGAGTGGTTTACGGCTAATTTTACTGTTTCCTCTTTGACCTGTACATAACATTAAGAAGTTTGTGCATGTTTTTGGACATACATCTGTTCTAAGTTCCATGACGATTCTGCCAAGCTTCTCACCATCAGCTTCTACATCAAAGAAAGCTCTTGGAAGTGGTTCACTCATTTTATTTTTTACTTTTTCAATTTTCAGTCAATTGTATCGGCGCTGCGCGCCAATAGAACTCAACTATTTCCTTGCATATTTAGTATTAGTAATCTATAAGACTATGACATAATTTTTATTGAGTCTTTATTAATTTGAATCTCTTGAGATAGATGTTCTATTTTTATAGTTTATTTTATCAACCCCCATAAAAATGTAGTCTTCTCCTGTAATTCAATTTTGAGACTAACGATATTTTTAACGTACTTTTTCTCGAAAATGATATATTGTTGCATGCTAAGTTCGGTCAACGATAGAAATTGAGTGGAAATTAATCGTCGAGGAAGTACGATTATGTAAAGTAAAAAAATGTTGTGGGATTTTTAATATTATATATTATTTTATAATAAAATTTTTTTGAGTCATTTTAAGAAGCACATATAATTTTTTGAATTTAAAAATTAAAGTAGTGTCAAACGAATTTATCACTTAATTTAATACTCAGATTTCTTAAAATTAATGAAAAAAAGGTTTTCTGAGAACTTTTGAGAATGGTTTTCAAATTCCATTATTGAAAATATATAGGTATTGTATGAAATTCAAACTCTATATTATTAAAATTCTAAATTTTTAATAAAATAACTTTTCAGAGGAATATGATTTTGAATGGTTGATTAATAAGTATAAAAATGTCTACGATTTTAAGGAGGGAATTGTTCCTTATGAGGTATACATCATAACTATATACCTCATAAGGAACAATTCCCTCTTGATAGCTGGGAAACTTTCTCTGAATAACTTATCATTTGGAGAAAGTTTCCCAGCTATCTATTAGAAACTAAAGGCTGTGAGGCACTAATATATAATCAGTGCCTCATAGCCTTTAGTTTCTTATTAAAAACGAGAAAACTTGTTCGAAATTGTTTATCATTTCGAACAAGTTTTCTCGTTTTAAGGAGGGAATTGTTCCTTATGAGGTATACATCATAATATATACCTCATAAGGAACAATTCCCTCTTGATATCCTGGATATTTTTGAATATATTTTTTAATTAAAGTTCTCAAAAGTATTATCAAAAGTGATTTTTTAAAAATATCTCCAATTAATTAACTAATTAAAAGTATTATATTTTTAAAATTAAATAGTTTTTCAATTTTTTTGAAGGAATTGAGATACTTCCGAGGGGGGCACAAACTTGCCCAGTGAGGTGAAGTGAAAAGTGACGGGTTTACATGTCAGAAATGTAAAGTGTCGGATTTGAAACAAAAAATGGATTAATTTATTATTATATGATAGAGAGATTTGGTAAGTTACTATCAAATTTGTAAGTAAGGGGAAAAAAAAGTAAGAAAGAAAAAAAATTTTAAAAAATAAAAAGCCACTCGCTTCGCTCGCGGGAGACAAAAAGAACAAATTCGAAAAAAGATTGTATGAAATTACGAAACTAAGCCACTCGCTTCGCTCGCGGCTTAAGAAAAGAACAGATTCGAAAAAAGATTGTATGAAATTTTAATTCTTTATTTTTTAGGATTGTTAGCTTTGTAAGATTGCTTTCTCACAAGAGAAAACAAGTATAAGGTTTAAGCTGTATGTATTAAAGTTATAAATATTTGATTTTAAAAAAAATCAAGATTTTAAACTTTAAAGGTATTAATTATAATTATCTTTCTTTAGCTTTGCATGCTATATGCTACTTTTGGAAACTGCTCTATTGTATTAGAATGTTTTTAAATTTTGCACCTAAAAATGCGTAATATTAAAAATTAAGGTATTAATTATGATTATCTTTCTTTAGCTTTACATGCTGTATGCTACTTTTGGAAACTGCTCTATTGTATTAGAATGTTTTTAAATTTTGCACCTAAAAATGCGTAATATTAAAAAATAAGGTATTAATTATGATTATCTTTCTTTAGCTTTACATGCTGTATGCTACTTTTGTCTTTGAGACATTCCATGATTTAAGTTAAGAAGCTTTAAAAAAAATGCAAAAAAAAATTGAATACTTTACTGGCTGGGCAAATTTGTCGCCGCCCCAGATACTTCCCACGACAATAAAATTGAGAGGTTTACATTATGACTGATCTTAGCATGCAACAATATTACTATTCACATGTATTATAGGGTCTATTTTTCAACTTTTTAATTTATTGTAAATTTTATGTAATGTGAGTGAAACCTTAAACCACTATTTCGATTTTCTGAAGTTTACATTCTTTCAAATTTTTTTTATTTTCGAGTCGAATAACAATCTTCACTTCATTCTTTCAAAAAATCAACAATAATTTTGATATAATACAAGAAAAATATAATCTAAGAATTGTTACTTCTCGAATGGACAGAGTTTTTCCAAAGTTCAGAACAAAGAACAAATTACTCGATGAAAAACGAAAAACTTAGTTCAAACGATCATAACTACTACATCTACTTTTGTAATTTTGTCACATTACTCACAGAAGGTGCCATTAACTTTATGACTTCGAAAGATACAACGAAAACTCTTATTGAAACAACAAATTTTAATAATTGTACTAATACTAAAGGAAAAGGAGGAAGTTTATACTTCTCCACAGAAGGCGAATGTGTCCAAAATCGAATTTGTAATTTAAATTCTAATTCTGCTTTAAGAGGTATGTATTGTTGGGTTGATGTCAGTAACATTGCTAAACATAAAAATAAAATATTAAACTCTTCTATTTCTCAAAGTGGAAATTTATATAAAGATAAAGAATCGAATATTGTTCTAATCAATGGAGAAATTGAAATAAATTCTATAAATATCTCTTTTGCTGATATATATAGTAATTCTTTATTCGGCGCATCCTCCTATAGTTCTTCATCGAGAGCATTATTTTCTACATTTAGTAATAATACTGATCATGAACCATTGAATAGCTATCTTGATTATTTTTCTGATTCATCAGAAACATTTTTGATTAAGTCATGTAACTACTTAAGTAACAATTTACATGTAATAGTAAGTTCTTGGAATGCATATGTTAATGTAGTTAATTGTAATTTCATCAATAACACAGTTAGAAATGAGTATTTTCGTCAAAATTCTGATGACTTTGGTAGTATTATAATTGATGGATGTTATTTTGATGAAAGGAATCTTAAAACAGATGGACAAGTTAATATCAAAAACAATGAAGCAAATCCAATTAAAATAGAATTTCCAAAATTATCTTGTGAATTTGATATTCCTAAATCAAAGAATGAAGTAGGAAATAAAACCATATATTTCAAGAGAAAGAAAAAATTCTTCAAAAATCTTCATTTTATGTTCTTTCAATCATTTTTTATTATTTCGTGAAAGAAGTAAAATATATCAATATAATTTGATGCTTCTATGTTTTCTGAAGTTTATCTTTATAATGCCTTTATCATTTTATGATTTCCCATTGAATCACAGCGAATAAAAGATGATAAAGGACTAGAGTCTATATAATTCAAATTAGATAAGGGTTTGTTTCATGAATGAATATTCAAGATACAATATTTCATATATGATATGAGTGTGTAAGATAATATATATCACAAGATTTATTTACAAAACTTGGATCTGAGCCATCTTTAAGCTTTCAGATTGAACTGTTGCAGAATTATCATTGAGTTCTCTTGGTGGAACTGCAACGCGTAATTTTAATGTGGATGGTCTGTGTTGTGGGCTCAATTGAGAGATATAATTCTTAACATCTCCAATTGTAGCAGAAAGGTTAACAGTAAGTGTAAGAACCGATCTATCTGGAAGAAGGACGCGAAGTTTTGTTGTTGGTTCGCCACCAGAAGCGAAACTCTTCGATTGATTTCCTGCTGGAGCAGCTGCTGGCATTGCAGCTGGTGCTGGTCTAGCTGTACCATCGCCAATGGAATATCCCTTGCCTTGGAATGGATTAAATGGCTTTGGTGGAGCCTTGAAATCTTTTTCACGCTGATCATCGACTTCGACATCGACAGCTTGGCGGCCATTCATCAATTCACGAGGGACTTGACCTTTCTCAACAGCTGCGAGGAACTCAGCGTTTGCTGGATCATCATTTGGACGAAATTCGCCATCATCAACAATGAAACCATTCTTGTAGAATGTAATTTTGTGCTTATCGACGCCTTCTTCGTCTTCATCTGGGTTTCCTCCTTGAGGTTTCTGAGCATTGTTGAAAATGTTGTCAACAATACTTGCTGCATCCTTTTTCGGAGGAGCCTTAGAACCACTACGTGGACCGGAACCGTGCTGTGGGCCTGCTCTTTGGGCAGCTGGTTTTCGGACATCAGCGCCTGAAAAATATAAGTCAATGGCGCGTGCAACATCTCCATTTGCCATCTGGAGATATTGGCGTGCTGTTTCTGGATCGAGACCAGTAATTTGGCATATTTGGGCTTCTGCCATTTATAAAAATTGTAAAAAATTTTCCTACGAAAAAGTGCCAAAATTTTTCCTTTTGACTATTGTCAAAAATAATTTTCATAAAAGTGAAGTATCAATACCAAAAAAAAGTTTCTCTCTCTTTATTGAAGACAACTTTATGAACATAATAATTATTACAAGTCTCTCTCTTTATTGAACACACACTCATAAATGTCTGTTCTAAAATATTTTGAATTAACAAATCCAATATGAGAGTTTAATACTATTGGCATGTGAGCATCTCAATTCTCTCAATTTTTGAGAACAAGATGCGAGAAATACAAAAAACACGTTTAATTCTGAATAAAAATCAAAAATTAAGCTTTTTAGTTAATTGTCAATATCTAACAAGAAAGGAGTTTTTCTATTTCAGAAAATCCTTTTCTTTTAGCAATATCAAGAGCTGTCTCACTATGTTTATTTTTTGTTTTGGTATCTGCACGAGATGAAATAAGGAATTTGACTATTTCAGCATCTCCGCGTTCTGCAGCATTATGAATCGGAGTTTTTCCATTTCCATCAATTGCATTGACATTTGCACCTTTTGAAATAAGAAACTGTATTGTTTCAATACTTCCGTACATTGCTGAAAAATGAAGAGCAGTTTCTCCATTTTCATCTTTATAATTAACCTTTGCACCATGTATCATGAAATAAATATTAAGTAGTTTTATGTTGAATAATGATGCATAAATAAAGCATTTGCTGATATTATTATTTTTTTCTAAGCCAAGAAACAATGCTTGAAGGTTTTTATGAAGACTGCATTGGAGTAAATCAATTTCAATGTCATAGTCATAAGCAAGATGTATGACACGATTCATATTGTGTGTAATAATGGCATAATTCATGCATTGTTTGTTTGGTTTTTGTGATTTCCAACATTCCTTTGAAATACTTGAATTTTCATTTAAATATGAAAAACAAAGACATGTTTCTGTTATTTCTGAATTGAATTGGGTCCTTAAATACTTAAAACAATTAGCAGAACCATGATAACAACATATTTCAAGTAATGAATATCTATCAGAACTTACTGGATAAAAATCACTTTTTAGTTTTTGATCTTTATCAAACTCTTCTTTTTCTGTGAATGTGATTAACTTTTCTTTGTCATCATTCATGATTGCATTGTATATCGTGTTTTCTTCATGAACTTCAAATGAAATATCAATGGAATCATTATTTTTGAAATAATTATGTTCCGAATCCAAGATAACACCATATTGTTTATAAATATAGTAGTCAAAAAGTGTTGAAATGCCTTTGCACTCTCGTGGATGATAATCCTCGTAAATTAGTTTGGCAAATGTTAAATATGACTTGAGAAAGCGATTATTATACCGAACAATTTCCGAGACGTCTTTTAGAATATTTTTCGGAGAATATTTCATTGATTCAAGTACAGCTGATTTGAATTCTGTGTAAATAAATTTTATCTCTGCTTCGTTATTGGTTTTTAGACGGTAAAGCATTTCATATGAGTTCATAAAGGGGATAAAATTACACATCAATTCATCATATCGATCTGAGGGTCTAAATTCTCGGACATCTGAAAAATTTGAATCTGATATTCAATACAAATTAGCAATTTGATTAAAACACTATCTTCTTCTTCCTCCACATTATTTTTTTTTAAATAATTTTTTGAGTTTTAAAAAGTGACATTAGAAATATTCTCATTTTACAAGCATTAATATTGGAGATAGCATTTTGCCTCATATGAGTTAATTTTTACTACAAAAAAAGGTACATTCACTATTTTTGACAAAATTTTAAATTTTCATGGGGTTGTAAATCTTATAATAACTAGATGAATAAGGAATGAATCCCAGTATAATGTGCATCATTATATTAAACACTATATGTAAGGCTAATGATTCTATTAACACTTATGAAGATCTATAGTATTTGAGCAGATAAATTTGATAATTTCCAAAACTCTTATATTTCAAAATTAAAGTGTGCGAATGCATTTAAATGAGAGCAAAAAGAGATTGATGCTGTTAAAACTAGGTGTTAATTTGCAATTATTTCGCATCACAAGAACTACCCAGTAAATTCGGCTATCTTTCTTTGCAATTATTCTCCATTATACATATAATATAATGGTTAGGGTTTGAAGAAAAGTTACTAGAGAATTATTGACTTTTGAAATAATGCAGAATTTTACTTGAAGAAATCATTAATTTATGAGTTCCAAATTGCTAAGCATGACGAAGGATCATTAAATTTGCTACAATTAAATACACTTATTGCAGAATTAAGATTTTTGAAATTAAAGTTTGAAATATTGCCTTTTGAATAAAAATTAAATTTTTATATAATCATGATAATATCTTATAGAAATTAAAAGAAAATATTTTAAACCATTCAAATATTTTGAATGTCTTATCAATTTAAAATATTAAAAGATAGCTTGATTTTATCATCATTAGTTGTTATCAAAGTTTTCTTCTTTTGATGAACAACAGTAAATGATTTGTTAATTACTTGTCTTCCTTTTTCGCAGCAAAATCGAAAGTTATGATGATAATCTTGCTGTCAATTTTGAAACTCTCTGATTTACAAGTAAGCATTCCTTTGGAAAAGCAGTCCTATTCTGTTTTCAAGATATTTTAAAGCCTCCATTTCATACAATGCGCAGATCTATTCGAAATTGCAAGAACTCTCAAGAAAAATGCAGCAGCAAAGAAGATTCCATAGTTTCTAGCATCAAAAATTTACAACCTTAATACAACAGTTAAAGAGAAGCTCGAAAAGAAAATATTTAACCATAAAGCTGGAAACCATTCGATATCTACTATTGGATCTAATAAAAAGTTAATTATAACATATTTAACATGCTATTTGTTGACTTTGTTCCATTATATTACCATATATATCTTTTTGAAATCTAAAATATTTTTACGATTTTAACCATGTGTTGTTGAAACCATATATCAATCTTAGCTAAAGTATAGTTTATGAGTCTGTCACCATCTAACGTATGAATTTTCAAAAATGTCAAATATGTTCATTTTTTCTGTAGATTCAGCCATAATTTCACGTTGTTATACTATTCAACTATTATTTAATATTTTTATCGATTTAAATATATGATGAGATGCTTAGTTCTCCTGGAAATCGATTTTTAATCGCAATTTTAACTTTCCAAAAAAAATTCAAAAATAAAAATCCCTCTCAATTTTCTAAGTTTTATAACTCGCCAAATCTCTAGCCAAATTTTTTTTGGCCCGTATAAATATTGTTAGGCACTATATAGGGATGCTATTTATCCTATTTTCATCCCATTTTACTGTTATCGCCTAGTGAATGTACCTTTCTACAAAAACATGAACATTGCGTCAAATGTTGTCTGTTAAAACTGTGTTAGTGATTATAGGCCATGATTGCAAAAATACAGAGACTTTCACTAAGTTTTACGGTATCATACATTTTTTACTAAATGAAAAAGTGACAAATATTTTATTATGAATAAAGATCAATATTATGAAGTTATGGCATTATGCAAAGATTATTACGAAATATTCAATACATTATACAGACTAAATACAACTAACCAATCCGAACTTACCAAAATTTATCAAGATATCAATAGCATATTAATTAAAACTAAATTATTAGAGCCCTCTGAGCGTCTTGATATAATATCAACTGCATCTGAATACAATTGTCGTTATTTTAAATCGTATTGGACTTTATACAAAATGATTTATGAAAATGATCCAGAAAAAGTGTTATCTAACTCATTTCTTTTCAATTACTTTGCTAATAAAGAGTATGAACTCGGAATAGATGAAGAACTTAACGAATATGATTCCAAAGACTATATTTTAGATGTTCATGAAGAAAACACAATTTTCAGAGCTATAATGGATGATGACGCAAAATCATTTGAAACATTTATTAATAGTGATGGATTTAATATAAATCAAAAACTAAAAAGCAAATTTTATCCTTATAATATACAAAATGATAATCAATACTCATTACTCGAGTTATGTTGTTTTCATGGTTCTGTAAATTGTTTTAAGATATTAAGATCAAAATTTCAATCAGAAATCACGTACAGCTGTCTTCAATTTTCATTTCTTGGGAGAAATAATGAAATCATAAGTGAATGCTTGAAATGTCAAACACCAGATAAATATTGTATGGAATATGCAATTATTTCCCACAATATTGAATATATAAAATTTCTAATGAACGAATATAAAATAGAAATTGATGAAAGAGAATGCAGATATAACAATAATCTTCAAGCACTCTTACTATGCATAGAGCAAATTGATGATATCAATATTTCTTTTATTTATTCATTAGAGATTGATTTTCCTCCTCTTTGGGAATATTTTTTAAATCATGATGCAGACATTAATGCACGTGATAATAATGGAAGTCCAGCACTATTTCGACAAGTTATGTATAACAGAAAGAAAGCAGTAGAATTTCTTCTTATTCATGGTGCTGATGTTAACATAATTGATAAAGATTCTAGCCTAACATCAATTAATGAAACAGCATTTGGGAACAGATTTGACATCGCAAAAATTCTCATCTCTTTTGGTGCCGATCTTAATTCTAAAGATTTAAACGGAAGAACGGCTCTCATTACTTCTGCTTTATATAATTCCTTTGAAATATCAGAACTATATGTAAAATCTGGAATAGATATAAATGCTAAAGATGATTCCGGTAATACAGCTCTTGATTGGGCCATTTACAATTATTCTGAAAAGTTAATGATTTTTTTGCTTGATAATGGAGCCGATGCTAATTCCAAAGATTCTCGAGGCTGCACAGCTCTTCATTATTGCTCATCTAATGGATATAATGAACAAATAGAGATTCTTCTTTCTTATGGTGCAGATATCAATTCAAAAAACAATTATGGAGAAAGCGTTCTTCATAGCGCTGCAGAATATGAGCATCCTAAAACAATTGAACTTCTCATTTCACATGGAGCAGAAGTCACGGCAACTGATTGCAATGGGAAAACTGCACTTCACGTTGCAGCAGAACATGGATGTGTAGAAAATGCAGAAATCCTAATTCTACATGGCATAGATATTAATGCTAAAGACTATAATGTAAAGACGTCTCTACATAAAGCAACAGAAAAGGACAGAGTTCAAATGATACGATTCCTCATTTCTCATGGTACTGATATTAATTCAAAAGATAATAATGGTGATACTGCTCTTCATTATGCAGCAGCAAAATAGGCGAAAGATGTTGTTGAACTTATATTATCAAATGGCGCAGATATCAACTCAAAAGATTATAATGGGGCCACAGCTCTTCATTATGCTGTTTCTTCTTTTTCATTAGAAAGTGTCAAAATTCTAATTCTACAAGGGGCAGAGGTCAATTCCAAAGATAATAATGGAAATACCCCTCTTCATTATTCAGCTTCTTCTTCTACCATAGCTACTCGTTATATAGCTTCTTTAATACCAGAAATAGTTGAATTTCTTCTTTTACATGGTGTTGATATCAATGAAAGAAATAACGAATGGAAAACTCCATTGAATATTGCATCATCAAATAGCAATGAAAAACTGGTCAATTTATTCCTTTCACATATTTCATCAATCAATGAACAAAAATAAATGAAGTATTTAACAGAGACAATATAACATTTCTTAATACATCAAATGAAATTTTCAAGAAAACAAGGATTTGCCAAATTTAGAAGAAACCTCCTTTCCACAAATATCCAATATATTCTTGTGTTTGTTTTATATCATAAGATATTCATACATAGACCTTTAATAAACATATATAGATCAAAAATATTTAAAATTTCAATGTTCTGAAAATTTTCAAACTCTTTTTCATGATTAGAACCTAATGAAAACGTAAATTAAATATTAATTATTAATTTCTGTTCAGCAATAGATGTTGTTTATAATGCATGGATACAGAACGTGTTTTGAATTTATTTTAACTCAATTTATTTCATTATTTATGATGAATATTTCTCTGAAGCATCTAACTTTACAAAATTTATATGGACACTCCGATTTCATTAGCACATCTGCGTATAAAAACGCTGTTTTTAGTAGATGCAATGTTAGAAATTCATTTCGAGGCTTTTTATTAGATTCAAAATTATCAAAAACAGAATTTTCATCAAGTATATTCAAAAACTTTCTTACAACAGTCGTAAAAACTCAAGAACAAGATTATTATAATCAAACAATTAATAAATACTTAGTTAATATTGAAAACCCATTAAATTTCACGAAATGCACATTTTACGGTATCAAATCATTAACCTATGGTAGTTGCATAAACACTTGCAAGCCATTATACTTAGATTCTTGTTTATTTTATGATCTTCAAGCTCTTAACGGAGGAGTTATTTATTCGATGTCTAATGTAGACATCAAACACAGTACTTTCAATTCGTGTTCTGCATTCGAAACGGCCGGAGTCCTTAAGCAAGTTGGAGATAACACTACATCTCTCTTAATTACTTCATCTTCTTTTGATAAAAATGAGGCGAAGACATTTGGATGCCTGTACAGATGGTCACATAAATGGTGCAATATTCAAATGTCAAACTATACAAATATAAAAGCTTCAGATTGCGTTGGCGTTATGGAGATCGCAAGCACAGATTTCGATATGTACTATTGCACCTTTCGAAAATGTCAGGCATTGGTCAATAATGGCTGTGTTTTGGTTCGTGGACCACATCATTGCGAAATTTGGCGAAATATTTTTGTTTCTGTCAAACACAATTCAGAATCATATGTCACTGCAGCTGCTGTTTATATTGCTGATGCTGTTGTAACGTCCAGAGTAGCTTATTCGATATTCCAAGATACATCTAGCACTTATGTCGTATCTGCAGGCAACAATGGTAAATTAAATGTATTAGGATGCATATTCTCATCATCTCGTAGCGTCATTTGGGTATTTAAGAGAGTTATGATCACAGATTGCAAATTTAATACAAGAGTTCTTTATCCAACCTTTATTCCCGATGTTCTCTTGAATGCAATGCAAACTCCCTCTGATACCAATATGAATATCTCATTTTTGAATATAAGTTACAATAATCTCGGAATTGCGTTCTTATTATCCGTTGCAGGAACAATAGCTTTGTCAATTATTCAGCATAAAGCTGTCCAATATATTAATCATCATAAGAAATCTTTGTAATTTTTGTTTTTTATATAAAAAAATTGTGTTTTTTTAAAATAATATTACAAACATTTTTTATACAAACAATTTTTCAACATACTCGAAAGCTTGGTTGAGCCACTTTGGAGCTCCAATGAATTTCTTTCCAAATCTGACGTTTGTAACGTCATGGAAGTAGAAGTAGAGATGGCCTAAAACAATACCGATGACATTTGGAATCATGCCCCAGAAGCCCTGGCGATAATAGTTCATAGCAGTGTAGGCAAATGGAGCGTAGGCGGCCTTGATGTTAATTGGAAGGCCCATGATCTGCATGGACATGTTGCCATGATGCTTTGTCCAATAATAGAGGCAAGTCAAAGTAATGATTGGACCGAAGAAGACTTCACGTGTGAAAACGGAAGAAAGGATACTTGAGATAGATACGTAAAGGAGGAATACAACGAATTCAGCTGGCTTTCTTCCGAAAAGATCAACTTCAATAAGTGAAGCAAAGTTAGCGAAGGATAACAAGCTGAAGAGTGTTGCTGGTACAGCTGGACCGAAGTATAAGAGGCTTGTTATGAGTCTATAGTATTCTTGGTTCTTCATCATAAGATTGAAATCGAAGTAGAGATCTAATGGGCTAGCAAGCTTTATAACTTGAAGATACATGATAAAGAGTGTACCAAGTAACCATGCGACAGTAATGGGAGCACGGGTAAGATCCATACTTGTGAAAATATTGACAAAATTTCCCGACATCGCATTTTGAGAGATCCGGCTAAACAGCCGGAGGTTTTCCCCTCAAAATAAATTGAATAGTTGTAATTATATTTTATAGAAAAATGTTTTTTTATTCGGTCGCATGGTAGGCTAAAAATCTTTTTTATCATACATATGAAGAACAATAAAATTACAAGATTTTGGGTTGATTTTGTAGATTGTTTGATTTTTTTGAAAGAGTATACTCAAATTTTATATCAAAATTTTCAGTCAGGTTAACAGTAATTCTCTTAGTTTAGATTCACCTACTAGAGATAATCAAAATTAGCTGGACAATTTGAGTTTTTAAATAAAAATCACCGTTGTGATATGAGGTTACTAAAATTAATTCTCTTTCTTATATTTGCCTTCTCGGCATCGATAGAATAAAAAGAAATGCTCCAATTCAAGAAAATGAAGGCTTTATAAATTTGAAAATTTGAAATCTTTCTTTTACTCAATCTAAAATAATAATTTATAATATACATCACCTATACCTAAGAAAACAGAGTGAAAACATGAAGGAAATGCATCAAAATTGAGGGAAATATTTCGGTTATCTTCTCAAGGCGTCAATTGGACCTAGGAAATGTTGTTTTCTACCTATGAAAATTTGCTCAACCATTTGCGTTTATAATAAAAAGGAAAAAATTAATTGTCATTATTTCAATATTCGCCATTTTTAAGAGAATAAAAACCATAATTTAATCTAACAAAAACAAAATATCTTTATCATACATACGCTGGATTTCTGCTTCAAAATATTCCTAACAGGAACATTTATTTTCTTTCTCTGAAGCAAACACTTGGATTTGTGCTCCTGAATTACCTCCATTAAGAGTAGTTTGTTGTCGCAATATCGTTGTTGCGAGTTCCATGAATAAATCGCTAATTCCTTCTCCTTCTTTTGCAGAAGTTTCTCTGATCAAATATTTGTTCTGGTCAGCCCATTGTTTAGCCTTTCCGAAAGCTACTTGCTTCTGATCAGTGCAATCCGATTTATTTGCAGCAACAGCAATAACTGTATTTGGACCTGCGACATCTCTAAAAGATTTTATCCATTCGGAAAGGTTTTCAAATGATTTCGCGTTGGTCTCATCGTACACGGCAATAGCGCCAGAAGAATTTCTGAAATAAATTGGACCTAACGATTTAAACTTTTCTTGTCCTGCAGTATCCCATATCTGTACCTGCAGTATGCGTCCGTCTATTTCTTTCGTAATGATCTGATGAGTTGCACCAATCGTAGAAGCCTGGTTTTCGTTGAAAATACCGAAAACTAGACGATTTAGGAGACAAGTTTTACCAACAAGTGTGTCTCCTATAACAATAATTCGGCAATTCACAATTGATGAATCGACAAACATTTTTTTTTATCCACAAAAGTGTCAAAATTGAATAATTTTGGAACCTCAAAAATCGAAATATCCTTCTGTCCATATTATTTGAGATATTTTAGTAATATATCCATATAAATCTCATCAGGTTCAGGAAAACTCCTCAATAAATCCAATATGAAATCTGATAACTAAAAAGTAAGCGAATTAGACGAAGTCTATTTATTATCATTGCCGAATGTAATAATTTGGCATTGAATTAGAACAATATTTTAAAAATGAAATAAAAAATTCCGAAAAATAATTCCAATATGAAATCTTATGTATAAGTTGTATTCTGTGTAATCAATGTTGCCTCATCCAATGGAGATTCTTTCTTCTTGCAGCAAGATTTTCCTGTTGGGTCCCTTGAAATTGCAGCAGCGATACCAGAAACAGCGAATGAGACGCAGCTGAAGAGCCAAACGCCATTTCTGTAGCCTTCCCATGTATATTTCGGAATTCCTGAAGGTGTTGGCGTTGATCCTTTCATTGGAACAAGCCATGACGAAACGAGTTGGTAAATTGCAACGAAAAGGAATAAGAAGAGGTTGGCAGAACCAACGGCTGAACCTGCAACCATTGGTGGGTAATATTCAGAAACTAAAGGATAAGAAATTGAACTGATAGTTAATGTAAAGATACCGATGACAACAAGAACAGCCCAAAGCTCAATATTGTTCAATTTGTCACCTTTGAAGTACATAACAGTAGAAACGCCTAAAGAAGCGATAGAAGAAAGGATCATGATCCATTTCTTAAGGTTGAACGCCTGAGCAATGTAAGGTAAAGTAAGAGAACCAGTAAAAACGCCTACGTGTAATGCGAGTAATGTATTTGATTTCTGTTCATTGTTGTAGTTGTAGACATCAGTAAGGAATGGTCCACCCCAATATCCGCCGATATTAAGGAATGGACAGCAAACAGTTACTGTAAATACGACGATAACCCAAAATTGCCAATATGTGACAACTTCTTTGATATTCTTGAGAAGGAGAGAGCATTTCTGTCCCATGCGCATATCTTTGTCGGCAGAAATCGGAGGTTCGTTGACTGGCTCGTATCCTTGACGTTCTGGACTTCCTCTTGTAAATATGAGGATAATTAATGCGCAAAACGCAGAAGCTCCTGATAGAGAGTAGAAAGCTGCTCTCCATCCGTATTTCTCGCAAAAAATAGCTAATGGAGTTGCAGCTCCAGCACCACCAATGCAAGATACAGCCATTAGAATACCAAGAAGAGTAGGTAATTGATGTAACTTGAACCAATTCGCTGATATTCTCATAACAGAAACGTATGTTGGGCCGCAACCGAATCCGACTAAAAATCTACCGACAATACCTATCTGGATTTTAGTAGAGAAGCCACAAATAGCAGAACCAATTGCAGAAATCAAGCCGAATATACCTAAAACTCTGCAAGGATCGAACAAATCTGCCATTAAACCTGCAAATGGCTGCATCAATGCATATGGATAGAAATAGCATGATGAGAATACAGCAAGCTTCTGAGTTGTAACGCCATAGGCTTGAGCCATGTCTTCTACAACAACTGAAGGACATAATTTCTGGAATTGGACAATGGCATAGAGAAATGATGGAACAGCGTATGTCAGTACTCTCATGAAATGAAATTTCCATGAGCGCTTTTCGGGAGTAGCATCAAGTGGGTTTTCCATTTGACTTTTTTTATTTTTTGAATCCTAAAAAGCGGTTATAAAAATTTTATGATGACTTTTGATATAATTTGATTTTAAAATACTCGGCTATCCCTATTTAATATGGAAGATTGATGAGGCATTCAATTTGTCGTTTCTGCCAATTTCTCCTCAAGACATTTCAATGATGCCATGTGATAAAAAGTGGTTCATTAGATTGGCAAATCACAATTATTAATATTTTTGGGTACGATGCACCTTCGGAATTGAAAATTCAACGCAAAATTTAGAAAAAAAGACAAAATATGCTGTCAATATTCTCTAATTTGTATGGTTTCTGGTATAATTCATATTTATCCGAGCAACTAACTTTGAATGGGCTGTGGAGAATCCAAAGATAAAAAAAATTAAACTTCGATTGATTTTAAATCTATACCATCATGATCACATTGTTGATTGTCTGAATATTTTAAGGCTTATATGCCGAAATACGATAATTACAATATGAAATATTAGAAATGTGCAGATAATCTATCAGCAGCTATAGAAACTTAGCGCCACTGAGCAAAATAGTGAGATTTAAGATTCAAATTTGAAGATTTGAAGAAAATATTAGATTTCGAAAAAAAATTGAAGTCTGGAATCTTAAAACTAAGTATAATAAAATTGGTTTAATAAAATTACAAACAATGAAAAGTGCAATATAAATAAAAATAAAGATAAAATCACAAAGTTATGATTTTGTCAGAAGCGAGTAAAGAATAATTGACTTCAAGCGGAGGAGATAATTCTCCACCATATTCTGTATCGTATAAGTCAAGTTGTAATCCTAAATCTTGTAAACCTTCATTCCAGCCTTCAATGAAAATTCCGCGGCTGTGGATAAGGTTTTTAAATAGAGTAATCGAAACATCGCGGCGTTTGTTCTGGGCGAGCTCTAGAATCCGTAAATTGAGCTGAGATTGGCAAATATAGTCGTAGAGTTCATCGTTGCTCATGTAATCGAACTGTTTGAATATGGACATTTTCAGACGTGATCCTATAGCTGGATCAAAGATTTTTGACAAGATATTTTCATCTTTTGTTCTTAAAATTAACAATGCGTAGCTGAGAATGCAGTCAGTATACTCGTAATTTTCCAGGAATATTTTAGAATATTTTTCAATCATTTCGATGGGAATTTGGTAATCGAATAAATTTATGTGATATAACAGCATAAAAGTCGTTATTATTTTGTACAACTTCGTGGTTTTGTCATTAAGTATTTCGAAAAGTACTTCTACGACCTGATCGTTTTGGAAATTTAAAATAAAATCTGGAGAATTTTTAAATACGTTCATAACTGCGCAGCCAACGAACGATTCTTTCTGGTCACGAATTGCTATAGCCAGTTTCATCGCAAATTCTGTATTTATGTTAATAAATCTCGGATATTCGATTAAAATTGAAGAAAGGAGTTCTTTTTGAGCGAACGTGTAACAATTGTTAATAAGCCAATTTTCGAAATCTGGTATATCTCGCAGAAATTCTCCACGAGTATATTTCGCCATTGATAAAACAATTTTAAGAAAATTACCAGATATCTGGGGGTCTCTCACCTCGGACAAATTTACAAATTCGAAAATCTTTGACATATATACCATATTCATCATAATTGGAGACATAACGCCCGTAGTTTGAGATGTTAAAAGAATCAGCGCTGATTTAAGAATTTGATTGTAATTTTCAAGTTGACAATATTTATTCGTGAGGACTATATCCATTAGAATAGCCATATTCTCTTTGCTTGTTATAAATTTTACGAATTGAGGACATGAGTTGCGAATTGCTGCCATTAAGCAAGGTTCGCAAAGAACTCTAAATATCGTCGCATCCGTTTGATTTAGGAGATCAAGCATGGGCTGAAAAGTTTTATTCATTGGTAACGACGATAAAAAATTGGTTTTTAAAAAAGTGGCAAAAAAAATTCGACAATAATGTGTGAATTTTAGGAAATTCGAAAATAATACTATCAGCTAGTCTATATTTTCATGTAAAATTTGAGATTTTAGATAAGATTTGATTATTGAATAGAAAGGGAAATTGCTGATGCTAGGTTTAACCATTGAATCACTGTTATATATTTCATTCCTTTTGAGAAACGTGATTTTCAAAAATATGAATTTGATTTTTTTATTACGTATCAAATTGGCCGTTACTTAATTAGATTGTTTGATTGGGAACATTGCAATAAAAAATCATAATTTCAGAAAAATAGTCTTTATTGCTCTAAAATCTCTTTTATACTGGTGCATTTAATGTGGTTATCATTGTAATATGTATATCCTTAGGTGAAAAAATGGTAATGCTTAAATAGATTTTGTGTTGAAATTGATTCAATAAATAATTTTTATTATTTATTTTTTATACATTGACACCAGATCCTGAGTCTTCATCATCCTTTGCAGAACCTACATTGCTTGAGCCTTTCTTGCAGCTGCAGCAGCTGCAGCAGCAGCAGCAGCAGCAGAAAATGATAATGATGATGATAACAATAATGAGGATGATGACAATAACAATAACTGCAATTTCCCAAGCTGGGAAGCTACTTCCTGGAGGTGGATTCTCTTTTGTATCTTCTTCAACTTCTTTCTTAGACTTTAATGAGGCATCTCCTTTAAGATAATATTCCTTATCTTCATCGAAGAAGAATTCTTCATCTTCTGAAGAAGACTTGGGTTCTGATATAGAAACAGTAATTGTTTGTGATCCCTTCTTATCAATCTTATAGCTATCATTTATTTTGCCATCTTTCTTATCTGTCTGAATCTTTGTTTGTAATTCTGACATATTAACAAGAGAGAGGGAGAATTCTTGAGAAGGTGCAAAAGATAAAGCCTTACCTGTTCCTGTGTTCTTTTCCTGTTTTTTACCATCAGCAAAAACATAGAGTGAATCTGGTGATACTGTAATTGTTCTGCTCTTTGATCCAATATGAGTACTGATAAAAGTAGAAGAATTCATGACCCTTTTGACTTTATTGTTCTTTGAGCTTATATGAAATTCCATACTGTATGATTTAGAAAATGATTGTTTCTTCTTTGTTGATAAATAGGAATCAAATATATTATCAACATACAAATCAGATTCCTCAAGTTTTTGATGACCTGATGGTGTTATTGATATGAATTGAATTTTGCATTTCTTTGAACTATCCTTGCATGCAACTTTTGAAACTGGAATAACTTTTGGTGAGATAGGACCAGAAACCAAAAATGGTGATTCTGCAAACTTTGTCTCATAAATAGAAGTGTTTTCAGGATTGAAGTATGTTGCATTAACTGTATATGCTGCATTTCCTGCAATGGCATATGTTTTATAGAAGCAAATTATTTCACCAGCTTCAAGTTCTTTAGTGTAAAGTGTAGTAAAGTTCATAGTTTTTTCTAATTTTTTGTCGCATTCTGGATAAACATGTGTGAAATTAGGTACTATCATATCGGTTGGAAGTGATCCAGCAAGGAGTTGCCGAAACATTATTAGGAAATGAAATAGAAAGGCTAAGAATTATTGAAAGAATGTGAATAATTGAAATAAATAAATTATTTTTTGCGTAAAATGGAAGGCATCTTTACCGAGATAGATAAAATGCCAATTGGAAATAAGGGTTCAATTATTAAACTTTGAATTATTTTTCATGAAAAATAATTGAAATGAGTACGTTTTTCTTGAACAATTTTAAAATAAGGTCAGAGTTAATTTTGGAGAACAAAAGAATGTTTTCTAACTCGAATCAGGTGAGAATTATGTTCTGGGTGATATCTATTCAAAATGCTTTTTGAAAGTATTAAAATGAAAAATAGAGCTAAATAATATGAAACGTATTATATAAAAAGAACATGATTCATGAATTGATTTCGTGTGTTTGACTGTCATAAAGATAAAACGGAATTTTGGACGTGTGGTAATTGAATTATTTTGAAATGATAAAAAATAATGATCAGAAAATATATGATGTCATAAATATAAATATAGCTGTATTTCCACAAATAAGATAGATATTTTATAAGAAATCAAATTTGAGAGGATGTTGGTTTTGAATAAGATTCACAAAAGTGAAGCAATTTAAGAGGGATTTATATGTGGTGAAGTGTGGTTAAATAATAAAAAAAATACGAAAATGAAATTGGAAATTGAGGAAAATATAAAAAATCTACAGGAAAATAAAATATAAATTAGAATCTTTTAATTTGACATTTAGTTTAAGGGTGCGCCCGGGAGGATCATGTAAACTTCAGAATTTAGAACCTTAATTTTTAAGCAATAACTTGGTACCTAAATAGGTAGGAAAACTCTAAAAATATCAAAAAATACAACTTGGCTCCATAATAATCCTGTCATGGTGGCAGTTTGTATCCCCTAGTATTTTCCTCTTGAATCTCTTTTTCTGTCGAAATTAAATTCAAATCTCAGAAGTAGAAGTGAATAATCGACTTATTACTGCTATTATACGAATAAATAAATTCATTATATTATTTTTATTTACATAATATCTGTTTGAAGTCCATAATTCTATAAATTTTTCTTCAAAAACATTACAATCTTGATAGTTTTGATACTGTTTAATAGGTTTTTGGCACCTTATTTAGTATTTACTACGTATAGAGTCGATCTGAACTTAATTTTCGGAAATTTAAAATATTTATTATAAGTAAAATTTGATTTGAAATTTATGTTTAACTACTCATATCTTGCATTATCCTGAGTAGCTTTTGTAAAAATTCATCAAAAAAGATTTTAACGTGCTTAAATTTTTATTTTTTAAAATAATGCATATTATTATATAACTAGCATATTTACAAATTTTAGTGCTTTCAAAAATTTAATCCTCCTCCTCTCAAATAAACGTACATCCGGGGGCCTGTTTTTTGCAAAAAATAAAATTTCATTTTTTATGCTTAAAAAGTCAGAATTTTTATTTGCTTCTGGGATATATGATGGCTATATCAGATGCCCATTCTTTTTGATACTCAACATTAAACATAAAACTTAGCCGTTAAGGCTCTTCTGAAAATATTTTTTTTCCGAAAAATTTTCGAAAAAAATCAAAAAATTTAAAAATCCCCGAATCTGCAGGGATTTTAAAAAATTCTTTTTAGTAAAACTTAAGGATATTGTATCAGATATATTGGTATGGGCAAATTCAATTGCAATCCAATATTCATCGAGATATTAAGTTAACGAATCTTTCAAAATTGAGAGGGTAATCCTCCTCTCAAATAAACGTACATGCGGGTGCACCCTTAAAGAGTTATTTTCTTGAAATAAAATATTCGTCAAATCACAGAATTACATTATTTATTATCTCATATATAATATTGACAATAATTACGGTGAGGCACTATGGCCGAGTGGTTAAGGCGTGGGATTTGAGTCCCCATGGGCTTGTCCCTCATCGGTTCAAATCCGGTTGGTGTCGATTTTTTGTTTTCTTAGAACTATTGCTGGTGATTGGTAATAGTTCAAATTCTACCTAGTTTGATGTACTATATTCTCATCTACACTTTATTTTTTCATTTTTCTTGCCTTAATAAGTCTTTCACATCAAATTAATCTCATAACATTTCTCCTAAATCATATATACTAAGTTATCTAGGCATTTAATCTAACTGATTATACAAATTTCATCAATGATCAATCTATTTTGAACAATAATGTTTTTTTTTAGAACTCCTTCTTTCTCTGTTATTTTGGAGGTTAGAAATGATACTATTTATTTACATGTCATGCATGGAGTATGTAATTGTTGAATTCTATCGAACCATAATCTCAGATATTTCCAGTAGAATCTACATATCCAAATCATTATTCAAAAAAAATTTCAAATATTTTATATTTATAACCTTGTTTAAAATATTTATATTTAGATGGGGATGTCGCCGATGACATCGTCGATCTTGAGGACCATCTTAGCGATCTGTGTTGCAAGACGGAATTGGGAGCACTTACCGCGCATTGTTTCGACGACCTTTTGCTTCTTCATATCGTTAGTTCCAGCGAAAACGCAGTCAACACCGAGTGTTGTGATTCCTGTTTCGAGCTGCTGGCGCTTGATGTTCTCTACGGTCTCGATTGGGTTGAGGCCGGAGTTTCCTGCGAGTGCCTGTGGGATGCCCTCGAGAGCATCGGCGAAGGCCTTCATCGCGTACTGGTGGATTGTGTTGTTTGTGTCGGCTGCCTTGCGGACTGCGATGGCGGCGGCAATTTCGGATGAACCACCACCGTAAACGATACGGTTATCGCGGATGAGGTTTCGGGCAACGCAAAGGGCGTCATGGAGTGAACGGTCGGCCTCATCGAGCATCATCTGGTTGCCACCACGGATAAGGAATGTAACGCATGGGACGTCGGCGACACCTTCGATGAGAAGCATGTGCTGTAATGATGTTCCGAAATTGAGTTCCTTGCAGATCTTGGCTGTACCAAGTTTCTCTGGTGCGAGGTCTTCGAAGCGCTGGACGATTCTAGCGCCTGTTGTAATTGCGAGTTTCTCGATATCGCCGCCAAGAACCCAGCGAACGGCTGGAAGATCGTTCTGGAAAAGAAGGTGATTTGCTTCATCATCGAAGCCCCACTGGCACATGACGACCTGGGCACCAGCCTTCTTAAGACGATCGATTTGGTCGAGGAAGTACTGTTGTTCGGCCTTATGAAGTTCTTCGTATTCTTCGGCTGATTTGATTGTAACTCCGTACTTTGTCTTTGGTTTCGGTGGTTCGAATGGGCATGTGAGGACTGCAACCTTGGCGTTCTCGACATCACGTGGCATCTGGGAATGTGACCATGTCTTGTCGATTACGAGACCGTTGAGGAGCTGTGTATCTTCGAGGCGGCCACCAACCTTGCAGACTGTTTTAATGCGCTCGAGGTTGACATCCTTGCGAGGAAGATCAGCAACGCGAAGAACAGCTTCGACAGCCATTCTAGCGAGCTCATCACGGTAGCGGTTGACGATCTTAGAGTTGAGTGTTGTCTCGCAGACTTCATCAAGGTTATGATGATCTTCTGGAGTGAAATCTAATGTCTCAGCAATCTCTTCGATGCGCTTGACAGCAACATCGCAAGCATGATCAAAGCCTTCAGCAATACGTAATGGGTGAAGGCCGCGATCAAGAAGACCGAGGGCTGATTCCAAAAGGCAGCCAGTAAGAACGACGACAGATGTTGTGCCATCGCCAATTTCGTTATCCATAGACTTTGAAAGATCGACAAGAAGCTTAGCAACTTGATGCTCAACTTCCATATCGTCCATAATTGTTGCACCATCGTTTGTAACATTAATTTTTCCGTGTGGTGAGACAATCATCTTGTCTAAACCACGTGGGCCGAGTGATGTCTTTAAAACGCTTGTGACCGCTGTAGCAGCTTGAATGTTGGCACGGAGAGCTTCAATTCCCTTCAGACGCTCCTTAGTGCCTTGGTCACGGATAACAATAAATGGGTTTCCACGTTCATCGAATGCGAGAGACATTTAGATTTTATTGTAAAAAGTTTGATTGTAGCCAAGCTAAACGACCGTTTAAAATTACGAAACAGTTCATCTGACTGCTTATAGCATTTTCCTATAATTCGATCCATATATGCAATATTTGTCGTATGAATGTGCTTTTATTCGAAAAAAATTCACTCAAAAATTGAATTCAAAAATCGAAACTAGAATAAAATCATAAAATAAGAGTGTTTTCGTATTTCATATTGGATTTATTTAAATTTTCAAAAGCTAATTCTTGATAATTCATGATGGACAAATGATTTTTAAAAAAATTCTGGTCATTGTCTCTAAACATTAATGAAAATGGATTATACTGAAAGTGTGTATATGAAATACAAAGCTTGGTTAGTACTTTCTCGTCAATCGAAATTTCCCATCAAAAAAATTATAAAAGACTCTATCTTTCAAGCCAGAAATGCATTATTCCTAGAATAAAATAGAAATAGATGTTATATTGATATTACTTCAAATCAAATTTTTAGAATGAATTTCTTATTGATTTTATGTGAAAATATACTTACTGATTCGAACTCCATTCTGAGGAATGCTTACTATAAGAACTTAGTCGAGGTTTCTGTCAGTGGATCAACCTCCCAATACATCAACGGAACTAAGCAACTAACAAAACCCGAGTATGTTTTTGATCAAGTACCTAAAAACTACGATTGGTGCTCTAACTGCGGAAAATCTGATAAAGATCATCCATGGGCTGTTTACTCAGTTAAGAATCAGCTTATGAATATTAATGGTTACTACTTAAAGAGCGGATGCTGTGATACAGCAGATGATGCATGCTGCTGTTACGATGAGCAATATTATTGCTGCTTGTGCTGCATCTATTCCTGGTCCCTTCAAATATCTATGGATAATCAAACATGGAAAACAATTCATAAGGTCGAAAAGGATAATGAAATGAGGCGTTGCAAAGAAAAAACATATAAATTCAGCGAAACTCACACTGCAAAATATGTTCGACTTATTCAAGACGAATCTTGCCCAGGAGATCCACCATGCATCGCTATCAACAAAATAGAATTTATCGGAACTACTTCTGATGGTTATGCCTTAGATAATAACGTTGAATTTGATGCTGAAGATGATGATGTCAGTATCATCGGCCATATATCAAAGCAATCAGCACATTAAAGTTTTACCTCCAAAAAAAAAATCAAATTTCAAAAAATTATATTTTTGTCAATTTAAAATCCTTATGTTTCTACGATATTTTCTGTATTATTTAAAAACGATTATTACAGTTATTTAAAATAATTTTTTTAGATAAAATACAAACAAAAAACATTTATTTCTTGGATTGGTTTCTGAGATTCTTAGACTTTTCTAACAAGTCGTAGTAGTTGAATCTGAGTAAATATGCATAAAGGCCTTGTAAATAATTCATTGCGTATGATAATTCAAAATCATCAACGACAGCCTCTCGATATGCAGAGGAAAATGCAATGTGGAAAGTAATCTCGGGGTTACAAGTTGCAAAAACGATTAAAACTAAAATTTTGAATAAAGTATCGAAATCTAAAGCGAAATCTTCGTCCAAATTTGGTACAGTTTGCTTTATTATCTCTGGTATTTTGTTAATAACGTTCCAAAATGTTCTGGCGATGTTAAATGGATTGATTTCGAAAACGATCGTGTTAATTTCATCAACACAGCTGTAGTATGGCCATTCTGGCATTCTCGATAACTCTGATAATGTCATCATTGCATATTTATCTGAAAGGAATGGAACATTCATTGTTTTTGGAATCAATCTTTCTAAAACAGGAATACAGAAAGGTTCTACCGTCCAAGGGAACTGGCGGATCTGCCAGGCGATGGAGAAGAATGTATCTTCTGCAACTTCGTAAGGAACGTTCTTTGAAAGAGATTCGATAATAAAAGTAGAATCCGCAGCGGTAAGTTCATTAAATTTTGTCTTTATTCGATTTATTACTTGATTCTCGTATGTACCACTAACATAGAAGCACATATTTTTAGGAATTGTCGATAAATCAGGAAGTTTTATTTTTTTGATGTATTTTAGGATCTTTATAAACTTAGTCATATATTTCTTATCACCGGTGATCTCCTCGATGAATTCTCTCGCGTATACGTAATATTCATCTGAATGTTCTTGAATAAAACTCGTAAATCTATCGATTTCGAGACCAGCTTTTTGGAACATAACAACTATACGATCTAAGTATTTAATTGATTTCTGTCCTATTGAAATATCTTGCATCAAAGTACTTCTTAATGCATCAATCTTGTAATCAGATGCTTTATCAAGAAATTGTGTAATTGCATAAACATCGTCATTGAGTACTGTTCTTTCTTCAGCGCTTTCGATGATTTGTGAGTTGAAATAGCATTTTTGAGATGTCAGAACAGTAATAGCTTCACTTATCTCAAAGCTATCATCTGTTTTTTCTTTTGTGATAAATTTCTCATACTTTTTATCACTCTCAGGAAGAATGCGGATTAATGGCATTGATGTAACTGGTTTCAACATTGATGCAGGAGAAGGTTCTTCTTTAATATTGGGTTTGGAACTAGGATTAAGAAGGATATCTGTACTCGAACTCCTGTTTCTTCCATTCTTAGGCTTCATAGAATGTTGTCAAAGAAAAAAAATCAATTGATTGTTGTAATGAAAATGTGGGTAAAAAAAATAAATGATCGATTTGGAACCATATAAATGCTAATATCATTATTCAATGTAAAAGGCCGTTGGCAGATTAACAATTCAGATTGAACTGGGTCAATTTGATTTTTCGAGGTGACCAATAGTATCTATTGATGTTACTGATGATATTTTAAGTTGAGAATTCATTACGAAGAATAATGTCCGAATCCACTAAGTCAATGGCCTTATAACTGAAGAATTGCATCAGAATAAGCATTTTATTTATGGCTGTTTATATAATTTGCATTCGGAGTTGAGAATCAAAATATATGCTATTAAATTCTATATGGATTAAAGTATTTAAACCAAAATATAATAATAGATCATTTTTATTATATATGACATTATTTAAATTAAGGATAAATAAAAGAATTCATACGAAAAATCGTCTCTTTAATAAAAAACCTCCAAAAAAATTTTGAAAATTCAAAAATGACATTAAAAAATGTTGAGATTCTCATCATTTTGATAAAATCAAAAAAAATTTGGAATTTTCATCAACTTCATTTATGACCTATTGGAACACCCAAATGCTCCTTATCACATTTAATGAGGTAGAGCTGCTTATTTCCAAATATTATTGATTATATTTACAACAAAATCAAATTATTGTCAAAACACATATTCAACATACCAAGTAATTCTCATTAAAGTATCGAATTAATCCTAAAACCATCTTTTTATGTTACATTTTGATTGATTTATCGAAATCGAATCGATAACCTTCAATGAATCCCAAGCACACGAAGTATCTTTAAGTTTGAATTACATTTCAACTACATTTTGAACAAATTATTTTCGATATTTCTTATAAAAAAATTTAAATAGTTAAGATTAGCAAAAAAGAATTAATTTTTATTTACCTATCTACTTTGACGAAGATTCAGATACTTCTGAGATCTCTTCATCATCATCTAATTTAATAACTTTCTTAGAACCACTTACAGTACCATCATTAGATCCGCTGTAGCTACTTGTTTCTTTACTCTCTGAATTCTCTTCAGCTTTCCTCTTTTCTTCTTCTTCCTTCTTTTCTTCAGTAGATTTCAACTGCCTCTTTACCAAATTATAGTAATGACCTTTCTTCTCAACAAGTTCCTTGTGGTTACCAATTTCTACGATTTCACCTGCATCAAATACGTAAATTCTTGTTGCATTTTTGATTGTTGATAATCTGTGAGCAACAATTACGCCTGTTCTTGTTTCGAGGATCTTATCAAGAGCACTTTGAACTTTCTTTTCAGATTCCGCATCCAAAGCAGAAGTTGCTTCATCGCAAATCAAAATTGTTGGATCTTTGATAACAGCTCTAGCAATTGCGATTCTCTGCTTTTGGCCACCTGAAACAGTACTTCCTCTGTCACCAACCATGTGTTTGAGTTGATCATCGAATTTGAGAACGAATTTCTTGGCATTTGCTGTCTCGAGAGCTTCCCAAACTTGTTCATCTGTCTTCTCGTCTGTAACACCGTAGCAAACGTTCTCTTTTACTGAAGCTTGGAACAATGTTGGTTCTTGAGAAACCAAAGCCATCTTTCTGTGTAACCAGCGAGGATCGAGTTCTTTGATATCATGGCCATCGATTGTAATGATACCTTCTGTAACATCGTAGTATCTCTGTATGAGTTGGACACAAGTTGATTTACCGGAACCTGAGTGACCAACTAAAGCAATCTGTTCGTTTGGCTTGATCTCGAAGCTGACATTCTTAAGAGCCATGACATTTCTCGTTGGATAACAGAAAGAAACGTTTTCGAATTTGATATAACCTTTGAAGTCATCGTACTTGAGGCCCCCTTCGAAGTTGATTGATGGCTGATAGTCGAGAAGCTGAACAACTCTGTTTGCGGCTTGAACGGCTCTTTGTTCTGCTTGAATTGAGTTTTCGAAGAAAACTAAGCCCATGCAACCCATCATTGTCATACCGAATACGGAAAACATTGTACCAGCTTCGAACTTTTTACCGTTCTCTTGTTTTACGACCAATTTAGAAGCATAATAAAGATTTCCAATGACAACAGCCCAAACGCAAATGAAGACAACAAAGAACATTGTACCAATGCAGTAAACAATGTTTCTTTCGTAATGAGCTGCTTGTTCATTCTTTTCAACGAATCTGTCTGTATCCTGCTGTTCTCTGTTGAAGCCTCTGATTGTTCTGATAGCTGCAATAGTTTCTTCTGCAATTGTAATGGCACTTGAGAAGAATTTGAATCTAGAAATAGCATTCTTCTGAATAAATGGATGGAAGAGGAGCATAATGATTACAACAAATGGAATCAAGGCGAACATGATGAGGCCAAGTCTCCATGAAAGAACGAAAACTCAAACTAAGCCAATGAAGAATTGACCGAACAATTGGATCTGAAGACACTTTGTTGTACCAAAGCATTCTTGAATGATTGATGTATCTTCGCCAAGAACTGTAAGAAGAGCACCAATTGGATGAGTATCGTAAAATTTGACATCATAAGTCATTATATGTCTGAACACTTCTGATCTGATCTTTGTAGATACTCTTGCACCAACTCTGATCCAAAACATTGAAGATATTGCTCTTAATACGGCAACAACGAAAATTACAATAGAAAACCATGCTAATTGTAATGAGATCTTATGTAATGGATCTCCAGAATAGCCCATTGTATATTCTCCCATGAATGTAATGATATTACCAAGGAAATAGAAAGTAATAATTGGGAAAGCACCGGAAATAAGGGTTGGCAATAAGCCAGCAATAGCATATGGGTCAGAAAGAATCATTGAGTATACTTTTCCACGTGCTCTGGAGTTTTCTTCTTTGGTGAATTTTGTCTGTACAATCGCAGAGCTTTCTCTACGTGTACCTGATTTAGAATACTCAGAAGATGATCTTCTGTTGTCACTCATTTAGTAAAAATGGCTTATATAACTGATTCTTTAGATACGAGGTTCTGATTTTGAGTTAAATTGAGTAGAAATTCTGATGTTTACACATTCAAATTCGAGGTTAAACAACAACCTCTACAGAAAATTGAGAGATGCGAGGTTATTAGAAATAATCTTCATGTGAGAATGAATCCTCACACTGAACCACACAAGTTCGAAAAACACTTTTCAAAATTTCTTTCTCAAAAAATTCATTCAAAATTTTGACATGGTAATTGGAATAAAGGAGATCGATTTCGATCAAGATTGCCAATTAATATGATTATATTAGCTATAAATATTAGTCTCAAAATGAATAATGACAATTTCATATGCTTTCAACAACAAAGATTATGGTGTAATAATCCAAAATATCATCAAATCACACAATTGGCCTCAACCATCTGTTGAGGGAGATTGAGGAATAGTTAATATCAAAAAAATATTTTTCATATCAAATTTCAAAATGACTTATATGTTAAAAAATTTTTATCTTCCTCATTTACACATGGCCCACATATCAAAAGCATTAGATGAAATTCAATAAAAAATACAATTTACAAATCTAACAAAATGTCTAACAATCAATAGTCAAATAAACAATGGATAACAAATCCATATTGAAATGAATAGAATTAAGATAATTTTTGAGATCAAAATAAAATTTCGGAAATTAAATTCAGAAATCATGATCAAAACGACATAATTATCAATAAACATGTATAATTAATTAATTTTGAAAAATAAATAAAATTAATTATTTGGAATTATTTGGTTCTTCACCTTTGTTACGATCCTTTCTACTTGAAACATAACTTGTTATACCATTCACAAGTTGTGGATGTTCTTCAGCTATCTCATCAAAGTCATCTTTTGTTAATTCGAACGCTTCCACGTATGTTTCAGCAATTGCAGATGATTCGACCACGTCTCCACCAACAACAGATGTTTCACCAAGTACAAAACCGCTGTAACCGTCATTTACTCTCAATAAACTTCCAGATGGCGAAATCAAATCAACTTTTCCTTCAGTTACGAAGTACATTCTTGTAGCCACTCTTCCAGCCTTAATTAAGAAATCTCCTGGTGTGAAAACTCTCGGTCTCAGTGCCATTGCGATGCTTTGAAGCACTTCTTCATCGGCATTTTTGAAAATTTCCACTTTTTCAAATACATCGGCGTGAAGAGCCAGAGCCAGTTTCTTTTGGAGGGCTATTGGCATCTTCTCAGCTGTTTCGAAGAAGTCCGCTCTGTCTCTATCCATTTCCCAGACGTATTCGTAGTATCTTAATAATTCTTCCATCGAACTCTCGGAGATTCTGCGGTATTTGAACACGGAAGAGATCCTCATGTACTTGTTGAGGAAGGAATTGCGTGAAGGATCGGCTACAATGGAAACCATCGTTGAAACTAAAAAATTATAAAAGAATACACCAACAATTTCAACGCAAATGACTACACAGACCTCTGGGAATGTGTATGGATGAAGATCTCCGTAGCCAATCGTAAGAACTGTGGTGGAAATGTAGTAAACAGTATGAAAATATTGAATTAATTTTGGTTTTTCAACCATAAAGGTTTCTGTAAGCCATGAACGATTTGGAATTTCAACGTGACCTGTATACCAGAATGCACAAGCACAAATGTGAATGATTGTGATTAATGTTGTAAATAATCGAGAAATTTTAGAAAATGGTGAGATGTAGACAAGAGTGTTTTTGATTACATAATTAGCATCGTACAATCTGAAGAATCTTAAGACTTTGAGAAGAAGTAAAACGTTGTATAAAACATGATTTTTTGCAAAATAGCCAATTAAATAAAATGGAATTGGGCAAATCCAGTAAATTATCTTTCTCCATAAAGGAATTGTTTGAGATATTGAATCTTTGTCATTTTTAATAACTCCTCGATGTAAAACGCCAGTTTTTAATACAATGAATATATCTGCAAGGAAAAATGAGTCTACAACTAATGATGGAATAACCCATCTGAGTTTTCCTTGGAAATTGAATGTCCATTCAAAAGGAATTTCCCAAAGAACAATAAATGAAGAATAATACATAATATATTCCCAAAGACGCCTTAGTGGATGATATGGGTTGATGCCATATGATGGTTCTTCGTGATGACCAATACTGGATAAACTCAACTCTGAAATCATTTTTGGAAAATGAAGTTTCTTTTGGATATAATACTACTATTATATCGTACAGATGTCTAATTATCCTGAAGATTGGTTGAGAATTGCATTTTTATGATGAAAATTTTTAATATATTAATATATTCATTTGAACTTTAAAATTTCAATAGGTATTAACTTTCTAAGAGGTTTTGCTAATTAAATAATCTCTATGAATGATATCAAATTATTATCATTTTATCAATAATTACAAGCCAGTATTAGCATTCCCAATCAAATTTAATAGCTTAATTAGGAGTGAAAACAAAGTATAATATGAATTGGAGTTCAATGAATTAATAATTGCAAAAATTTTGATTTTAATGAGATACTTATATGAAGAAAAATCTTTTTAATGAAGAAAATAATTTAAATACCATATAAAAACACATAGTTCCCCGAGGGAAGTAAATTGAGAAGAAAGACAATTAATGGAAAATAATGAACTTTATTATAATTTGTTCAAACAAGATACAATATCTAGAACATGTATTCGTGATGGAGGTAGAGATGAAGTCTGTAAACCATATCAAATCCAAATTGATTTCGAATCACGTTCAAAACTCATAGAATGGCTTAATGAACTAGTTGAAATATACAAATTGCAACCTGAAACATTGTATATAGCAGTTAATATGATTGATTTATATATTCTAAAGAACGTTGTTCCAATTGGTAGTTATCAGCTACTTGCAGCAACATCCCTTTATACTGCTACCAAATATAACGAAACAAACTATCCTGCTTTATCAGAATTCATATATTTATGCGATGGTTTATATTCAAGATCGAATTTTATAGAAATGGAGCACAACATACTGAAATTCTGCCATTACTCGCTTTCATTAATATCATATACTACAGTTGCTTATGCAATGATTGCTAAGGACAATCCTCCAGAAGATTTTGTTGATTATCTTATAAATTTTAGTAGAAAAACATTACTTACGAAAGGAATAACGCTGATGAAACCTACAGAAGTTGCTAAATCCATTTTAGACCTTATGGAGAATGGATTCAATGTAGACCCAAATGATCTTTTGAAAAAAATTAAAATGTATATTGTTAATGCGATTAAAAACTAATTATTCATACATTTTATAAAAAAACAAAATACAAAATAGTTTTCAATTTTTTCAATGAGTAGTATTCAAAATTGAGAGGACAACGATTATTATACGAAAAATTATAAAATCTGAAATGAATTATTAATCAATCTTCTTAAGTAAATCAGCAATGAATCTGTTATAAAGAACAAACAAGATATATAGCGTAACTTCAATTGCGACGATCAGAAATAGAATTCTTTCAATGGAAGAAGCTCTTTCTTCATCGGAATCAGAAATAGCTTGTGCAACGAAAATAGATTTCGCTTGCTGCTTCAAAAATTCTTGAGTATAATTCAAAACTTCTAATTTCGACTGATCCATAGAAAATCTTATTTCATCTCCGATATCGGCCAAATCCTGAACGGTTTCGTTCCACATTCTGATGATTTGGATGTAAATTGCTTGTTTTATCTGTAAAGCTCGCTCATTTACAGAACTCATACGCTGGAATCTTTGCTGAAGTATTGGGCCAATTATCTGTTTGATTTGGTTCATTGTAATCGATTTTTTCAATCTGAAAATTGTTTCTTTGATTTCTAAGAGAGCGTCTATTAGCTCTGTATTGTTTCCGTCAAGTTTCATAGCGTTTTCGATTGATTGATTAAGTAATTTGTAAATAACCTTCATTTGACTTCTTCTCTTTTCTTTTTTGATTCTACGAGTATGGTATGACTTCTCTAAGTATTTCCTATTTAATTCGTTACTAGTATCGTTAACAGGTTCTTCGTATGGCGAATTTAATTTTACATCTACACCAAGCAATTCGAGATCTCCAGTGTGATATTTACTGTTAAAACTTAGGAATGAAAAGTAGCCTTCTGAGACCATATTTGTTTCCTCAACTTCGAAACATTTTGAATAATTTAAATCAACAGGAGTTTTATAGGACATTGTAAATCCGGTTCCTGTTTTTGCAATTTTGATTGTAAAGGGATGCCCTTTGTTATCAATATCGCACATGTATTGATAAGTTTTCTCAATATCATCTTGATTATGAACATATCTATAGAAAACAGGGAGTAATCCGCTATTTATTTCGGAGATATTAATGAATATTGCCATTCCAGTGTATTCATCTATGTTTTGTGAGCATAACTCACGAGTATGGAAGAATGAAATTCCTTCTCCACCAGTTCCTCCTGGTGAAAACTCGGAGGTCACCTCCCATTGTTCGGCATATGTGGGAATACGATTACATATTCCTCCATGATCATATTCAACGTGAGATATTAATTGAATATATTGATTTTGAACAATTGTATTACCTGATACAGTCCAATTACCAACTTCACATCCATAGTTTAATTTGAATGGAGGTAATAAGTTGTAATATGATATTTCTGATCTTCCGAAAACAAGAAATATCCAAAACATTTTTTTTGACAATGATGAAAAATTTGTCATGTAAATGACAAAAAAAAAACTGTTAACAGTTAATGTTATTCCCATCATGCTACTTGCCTTTCAAAAGTCTTGATTTCATCTATTGGAGATAAATTAAAAGGTAATATCAAAAGATTAAAAGTTCCAAGAGTCACTTTTTAACCATTACTGTTCATTTATGCTTTAGCGATATAAAAATTTTATTGGAATGAGGACACTCTGCTATAATCCAAAAGCTAACAAAATTATGAACGATGCAGTGAATTTTCAGAAATTTTTCATTAATGAAGAGGATATCATACTGGTTCTGAATGAACAAACCACTGATATATCAACGTTAAAATGTTTTTGAATGATTTACATATTGCTGTAATATCTTTCAGAATTTGGAAATTACAATTTGAAAAGATATTTCAAATAACTTGAGCGCGGTTAAATCTAATTCGCAAACATTTTTTTCCCTGAGCCTTGCTCACAAAAAATATTCATTTAAAATGTTATTAGACCATAAAAACATTGCATTTCAGACATATATTTTACTCTTATTTTTTCAATTTTGTAAATTCTTTCAGATTTTCTTATGCTTCTGTTTCTCTTTGAGATTTCCGAGTCTGAAGAACTTCTATTTGGAAAAACAAACATTAACATTTGGAAAAAGTGAATTTCAAAATGGAATTTATTGTCCTGCTTATAATTATCCAATTGAATGTAAATGGAATGATACAAGAGGTGGTCCTCAATGCAATGAAACATATTATTTGGAGAATTTTTCTGTTATTAAAGACCCACCTAAACATGGTATATTAGATGACGATTGCTTCGGCTATTTCAAAAAAGATCTCTCAAATGATCCTAACTTCATTGATAAAACATGGGATGAACTAAAGTTTACATGCGAAAAAACTCATTATGGGCGATGTTACTTTAACATATATTTTAATAAGGATGATGGAAGTACAAATCGATGCAAAAATTATGTTGATTACAAATATAGTCAAAGTTCAGTTTTATTAAACGAAATTAATAATAATCATTTTTTCTGTCAGGATAGTGATCTAACAAGAAAAATCAAATCTATTAGAGCTTATGTTTTACCACTTAGATTAGAAACAGTTTTTACAAAAGTTCAACTAGAAACAGTTCGAAGATCATTTTTATTTGAGAAAATTGAGAATTACACTGAAGATGAAAACAGAAAAGAAAGGTACCCAACAGCATTTAAGACAAATATAACAACAAAAAACAACAAGTATGCATATGGAGCTACAATAAAATTATACAAAGAAAATCCAAAAATTCAATTATCAACAATGTTATTAAACGATGCACATCCAATCTCACCAATTATTCAAGATATCAGTGCTCCAGTTTCAGGACGAAATGACACACAACTTGTTTCTCCAATCATTGCAAATGGAACACATATCATCGGTATTGATGTTTTCAACGCTGAAACATTTTTTGATTGGTCATACAGCGACAACAGATTATATGGATCAAATACTTCATGTTTATACATGAATATCAAACCAATTAAAGATGTGAATATATCATATATTGTTATTGAAGCAGACACAAAATCATATTTGGAAGCATTAGAGGTTTGGCATCAAGCATTTCCAGACTTATATGGAATCAATCCATACGGTAAATCTACAATTTGTAAGTATCCAAACATCAGTAACTGGAGTCCATCAATGGTTACTAACTACAATTGTAAGTTATTATGGGGTTCAGACGAAAAATATGAAGGCACTAAAAACTTTTATGAAATGAATCCATCAATCATCAGAATATACACAAACACGAACAAAAAAGTTTTGCCATCTCAAATTGCAAAAATGATAACACGTGTGCATTTGTACAATAATCGTTATTTTAAGTCATATTTTTCAATATTTAAAAAATTATATAATGAATATCATCCAAATTTAACAAATATGATACCAGCATACATTTTTAATAAATGCATATTAGTTTTGAATGAGAACAGTGAAATAACATTCAAGGATTTCGAAATTCATGAAAAAAATACAATTTTTAGGGCAATTATGGAAGATGATGTGAACAAATTTTTATGGTTTATTGGATTGGATGATTTTGATGAAAATAAAAGATTACACAATGAATTCTATCCAGAAAATGGATTTTCATTACTTGAATTATGTTGTTATCATGGTGCAGTTGATTGTTTCAAAGTCATGATAACAAAATTCAATCCAGAAATTACTAAAGATTGTCTTTCATTATCATTTTTAGGTGGGAAACCAGAGATTATAAATGTATGCTTGAAATACCAACAACCTGATGAAGATTCTATGAAATATGCAATTATTTCGCATAACATTGATTTTGTTACTTTTTTGATGAATGAATACAATTTAGAAATAAATTTACGTGATTGCTGCATGGCAAGTAATCTTCAAGCATTTCTGGTTTATTTTGATCAAACTGGTGACATCAACAAATGTTTTATTCATTCAGTTATGTTCCCGTTGCCATATCTTATTAAATATTTTATTTCAATTGGGGCCGACATAAATGCAACATGTAATGGATATAGTGCTCTCCATTTTGCTGTAGGTTATAATACAACAGAAATTTTGCAGCTTCTTATATCTCATGGTGCTAATATTAATGTAAAGAATGAATATGGAGACAGTCCTCTTCATTTTGCAGTGAAGAGTAATTCAAAAAAGAAAGTAGAATTTCTAATTTTACACGGGGCTGATGTAAATGCAACAAATCAAGAAGGGCAGACCCCTCTTCATTGTGCAGTATGTGTTATTAATAGTTTCGTATATATTAAGGTGAAATTTAAAAATAATTTCAAAACAATAATCGAACTTCTAATTTTTCATGGTGCTGATGTCAACGCAAAAGATGAAGATGGGATGACAGCTCTTCATTATACTGTATTAAACAATTATGCTGAAATCACTAGACTTCTTGTGTCAAATGGTGCCGATATCAATGCAAAAAATAGAATAGGCAAACCCCCGCTTCAACTTGCAGTAATCAAAAATAGGCAAGAAATAGCAAATTTTCTTATCTCAAATGGTGCTGACATCAACACAAAGGATAAATTTGAAACGACTGCTCTTTATGATGCAATATATAAAGGAAACAAAGAAATGGTTGAGTTGCTTATCGCAAGTGGAGCAAATGTTAATATCAAATCTAAAAACAATATGACTTCTTTACCTTATTTATTACCATTTTGGGAAAAACATACTGCCGATTTACTTCTTTCAAATGATGAGGGTTTCAAAGATCAAACCCCTCTTCAGGTTGCATAAATTATAATGATTTAGAAATAACCAAGTTACTTATTTCACATGGTGCAAATGTGAATGATAAAAGTTTCAAAGATATGACTCCTATTCATACTGCAGTGGTTGATCTTCTTGTTTCACATGGTGCTAATATCGAAGAAAAGGACATCGATGGATTGACTCCTCTAGATCATGCGGTAATTAATGAAAATAAAGAAATAATTGAATTCCTTATTTCACATGATGCAAACGTTAATGCCAAATAAATCGATAAAAAGACTCCTGTTTAATATGCAATAAATCAGAGAAATTATGAAATTATCAAACTACTTATTTCGCATAGTATAAACCTTAACAGCAAAGATAATAAGGGTATTATTGATTTTCTATTTGCAATATGTCATCAGAATATCGAAATGGCTGAATTTCTTCTTTCACATGATACCAAGATTGCAAAAGATGATTTAAATATACTTATGATATTACGTATTGTTTCAAAGTTAACATAAAATAAATAGTATTGCAGAAGAGGTATTTAAATAAACCAACATTTCACTTTTAATTTTAATTTTTGTGAAATTGAGATGTCTCAAACGATAAGAACCGTTTGGCGAGAAAAGTTCCTTATTTTTAATTCTTAGTTTTATTTTTATATTTTATTTTAATGAATAAATATTATTTTGATGAGCTTATGGAATTACACAAAGATTATATTGATGTAAGTGATGCAATATATAAACTAAAGACATTTCGAGAAGACGAAATAAACGAAATATACAAAGATATCAAAATCAAGCTGATCGAAACTAAGAAGATTATGCCAATTGCTATTATTAGAATGATTACAAATGCTGCTATCTACAATAATCGCTATTTTAAGTCATACTGGACACTTTTCAAAAAGTTCTATGAAGAATATCATGAAACATATTATAATACGTGTCCAATATTTGATTACTTTATTTACATAGAATATGGAATTGTTTTTCATGAGAAGAACAAGAGGCATCTCAAGAAAATCGAAAAATCAAACTATACAATGGATATTCATCTAGAAAATACGATTTATCGATCAATTATGTATGATGATATCAAATCATTTATATCTTTCGTAGAAAAAGATAACTTTGAAAAAGATCAAAAACTTCGAAGTTATTTCTATCCAGAATCAGAGCTTAGAATAGAATATCAAGGAAAAGATGGTTTTTCATTACTTGAATTATGTTGTTATCATGGATCAGTCAAATATTTCAAGTTTTTACTTACAAAATTCAAACCAGAAATTACAGAAACATGTGTCCAATTCTCATTTTTAGGCGGTAATGCAGATATTATAAATGAATGCTTGAAAGAAGAAGATCCTGATGAAAAATGCATGGAATTTGCTATTATTTCTCATAACATTGATTTTGTCACATTTTTAAAAGAAGAATATGAAATTGATATTGATTTATCCAATTGTGGAAACCACGACAACCTTCATGCATTCTTAATTTGCTTTGATCAAACATCAAATATCGACAAATGCCTTATTAACTCATTTTTATTTCAAATTCAATCTATTTCTAAATATTTTATTTCACTCGGTGCAGATATTAATGCGACAGATAACAGTGTGAATGCTCTTCATATTGCATCATCCTTTAATACTAAAGAAACTGTTGAATTTCTTCTTTCACAAGGATTGGATATCGATTCAACGAATAAAGATAGAATTACAGCACTGGCCCATGCAGTTACATTTTGTAGAAAAGAGATTGTAGTTTATCTATTATCAAAAGGAGCAAATATTAAAATTGTCGATCAAGAAGGAAGATCTGTTCTTCATTTAGCTTTGTATAATTATTGGAAAGAAATGGTAGAACTTCTCCTTTCGTATGGAGCTGATATTGAAGCTAAAGCTAAAAATGGTCAAACACCACTTCAATTGGCAGTTGCAACAAAAAATATTGATGCAATAGAACTTCTTCTATCACATGGAGCAAACATCAATGCCTATGATCAAGATGGTCAAACAGTATTCCTTTTATCTATTTCTACCAATGACATAGAAATAATAAAGTTTATCTTGTCACATGGTGCAAATATTTATTTAAAAGATAAAACCGAAATGTCCGCAATTCATTATGCAGCAGCATCAGAATGTGAAGAAGTAATAAAAATTCTTCTTCCTTATAGTTTTGATATCAATGCTAAAGACATTGGTGGCATGACAGCTCTTCATATTGCAGTTTCTTTCGATAACATAAATATAGTCGAGCTTCTTCTTTCAAATGGAGCTGACGTAAACGTAATCAACGGGGATGGAATGACAGCTCTTCATTTTGCATCTGCATCAAATAACAAAGAGATAGTTGAACTTCTTCTCTTGCATGGTGCTGACGTAAACTTCAGAGGAGAATGTCAGATGGCAGCTCTTCATTTTGCGGTTAATTCAAATAACAAAGAGTTAGTTGAATTCCTTCTTTTGCATGGTGCTGACGTAAATTTGAAAGGAGATGATGGGATTGCAGCTCTTCATGTTGCAGCTACTTTGAATAACAAAGAGCTGGCAGAAATATTAATTTCATATGGTGCAGACATCAATTCAAAAGAAATTGATGGTATAACAGCTCTTCATATTACTTCTAAGCATGATAATAAAGAAATGACCGAGTTTCTTCTTTTACATGGTGCTGATGTCAATACAAAAGGTAAAAATGGAGTAACTCCTATGCTTCATTTAGTTCAGACTAATAATAGAGAAATAATGCAACTTTATCTTTCGTTCGGTGCAGATATTAATATTAAAGATGAAATTGACCAAACATATCTTCATTATGCAGTTCCATCCAAAAACAAAGAGACAATAGAATTCCTCCTTTCAAATGGTGCAGATGTCAATGCAAAAGATATAGATAGAATGGAACCGATTCATTACTCTATTTCTACAGAAGACAAAGAGATAATTGAGCTCATTCTATCATATGGTGCAAATGTTAATGCAAAAGATAATAAAAATAAAACTCCTCTTCATTATGCTGCAGAAAATAACCTTAATACTGCTGTCGAGATTCTTATTTCAGACGGGGCAGATGTCAATGCAAAGGATAATAATAATAAAACTGCTCTCCATTATGGACAAGAGAATAAAAACAATGAAATAATGAAGCTTCTCGATTCATAGTGCTTCTGAAATCACAATCAAAATCAAGCGAAACTAATAAAGCATTCCACACTTAAGAAAAATACAATTTGTTAGAGAACTGATCGAATGAGAATATTAAGCCTCTTCATCCAGATCACTGGAAAGATTCTATTCATGATGACTAGCAAGAAAAATTCAGAAAGATTAGTGATAATTTGTATCCATTTAATATCACGAAACTTTATTTATGAATGCTCTGTCAAATAATAAATCTAAATAAGATTTCTTAAATTCTGTTAATTACTTAGCATTTCATAAAAATGAAGTAAAAGTAATTATTGGAAAAATCCTAATCTCAATTATAACATCTTCAACGCATCACAAATTCAGAAATAATGCCAAGATGACAGAATGTGTGTGTTATACACCTAGATCTGGGATATACAAGTTTTTGATAACTTATCTCTATACAAAGATTGTCACCACAAGAGTATTCATCAATATCAGGAAGTAAATATTACCAAGTTCCTCTTTTCGGAATCTTAAATTTAGAATCAAATTCAAGACATACAATTGACATCAAAACAGTTAAAGGAACAACAGGGATCAGTGGTCTTTTAGCTGATGGCGACCTCGTTGACTTAGTTCCTTCTTCCATTTCTTCATCTCCTTCTCACACCGATGAAGAAGATTTCGAATTATACACAAATTCAGACCAAAACAATCCAGACCCAAATCCAAAACCAGATCCAGAAGAACCAACAAATAATAAACCAGATCCAGAACCAGAACCAGAAAATGAAACTCCGGGACCAACAAAAGATGTAAAACCAGTGAATCCTGAAGTTAAAACACCAGAGCCAACAGAAAAACAACCAGAACCAGAAAAACCAGAAATTAAAACACCAGAACAAACAGCAGAAAAAGAAAATTCAAAATCTCCTACACCAAGTCAAGAAGAAATTGACCAACAACTGAAAGATACTGAGCATAAGAAAAAGGTTTATATTGGTGTTGGCGCAGGCTTGGGTGCAGCTGCAGTTGTAGCTGCTATTGCTATTGTTGCAGTTATTGTTATTAAAACACATTCAAAAGGATATGAACGAAAGGTTGGTGATGAAGATGAAAATAATTACGACTTATAAAATCTATTTATTTTATAATTTGATATTGTTATATTTATATATTAATAAACAATTTACTCAAATGATTAATACAAATTTTCTAAAATTTTTCTCCCATTTTTTTTGTAGATGAGCTCTTAATGATGAATTATATCAAGTCTCTCATTTTGTTAAACCAGTTGCGAAAAATGTGCATATGAGTTCGTTTAATATTTTTTTGGTAAGTTCTAAGTTATACATTATGATGTTATACAATGCTAAACGCATCAGAAAAATATTATGTTTTAAAGATTGTAATTACTGTCATTCAATAGATATAACTACCAAAATTCAAATTTGATTTTAAAAGGCATGGAAACAACGAATTATGTTAATATATTTTACATATTTCAAGAAATAATAAAAACAAATGATTGAAAGGACAAAAAATGAAGATTTTTAAATTTTTTTTTCTTTCTGTTGAAATATATGATTTCATTTTCTTCTTCATTTGTTGATTTAGGAATATCAAATTCACATGTTAAAATCGGAAATTCTATTTCGAATGGATTTGCTTCATTGCTTGTGAAATAAATTTTTCCATTTATTTTAGGATTACTTTTATCAATGTAACATCCATCAATTGTAATATTACCTGAATAATCATGATAAAAATACTCATTTCTACCTATATTATTGATGAAATTACAATTAACTACATGAACATATGCATTCGAAGCACATATAATTGCAGTTAAATTGTTAGTTAAGTAGTTACATGACTTAATCAATAATGTTTCTGATGAACTATAAAAATAAATATAAATATTTGATGGTTCATTATCAGTATTATTACTCAATATTGAAAATGATGCTCTCGATGATGAAATATAGTTCTGCATGCTGAATAAACTAACACTATTTAAATCAGTATAAAAAATATTTATAGAATTTATTTCAATTTCTCCATTTTTTAGATAAATATTTCCTTTTTTATCTTTATATAAATTTCCGCTTCCAGAAATAGAAGAATTAAGAATTTTATTCTTATATTTAGCAATATTACTGACATCAACATAACAATACATATTATATTTAGCAGAATTAGAATTTAAACTACAAATTCGATTTTGGACGCATTCGCCTTCTGTGGAGAAGTATAAACTTCCTCCCCTTCCTATAGTATTGGAGCATTTATAAAAATCAGTGTCTTCAATAAGAGTTTTCGTTGTATCTTTCGAAGTCGTAAAGTTAATGGCACCTTCTGTGAGTAATGTACCAAAATTACAAAAGCTTATATAATAATTTTGATCTTCTGAACTAAGTTTTTGAATTTTTTTAGAGTAATTTGTTCCTAGTTCTGAATTTGGGAAAAACTCTGCCCATTCTTGATGAAGCAATTCTAGTATTATTTTCTTCGTTTATCATTACAAATTGGCTATTTATTTTTTGAATGAATGAAGTTAAAATTGAAGTTCGACTCGAAACTAAAAAAGGAAGTAAAAATGTAAAATTCAGAATATTTGAGGAATCATTATCCAAAAACAATTTGAATATTTAGCCATGCAAATCTGGAAATTTTTACAAAAAATCTTCCCAAAACCTAAAAAATAAACTTCAAATGAAGTATTAGTTTAAGGTCGATGAAAAATTGAGTGTTTAAAAAAACCGCCGTTTGAAAGGAAAATTGAGAACCTTGATTTATATTTTTTGACATTGCCATAAACTTTGAAAGGACAAAAAAATTAGTGTCGGGAGTTTACAAATGTCAAATTGTAAGGCTACAATGAGAAGTTTTATCAAAACTGAAGATAAATGTTTATACGAGTTCCTTAAGATATAAAATTAAAAAAAAATTGAGAAATATTTGTGAAGCATATAAATTGCAAACTAATCTCAATTCTATATTTTAAAATCGTTATTTTTGAGAGAGCTATGAATTTAGTTTGCTGAAATTTCACGTGTAAGTTGAGTGAAATAAAATTCCAATCATTCTTCCAAAAATTGAGCGATCATATCTACAATGGTGTATAGTGCAAATGTTAATAGCAATGATGAAGCTGAAGCGGCTGCCTTACATTTCGCAATATATTATATAAGAAAAATGAAATTGTTGAAATACTTATTTCACATGGTACAAATGTGAATGATAAAAGTTCAAAAGGTATGACTACTCTTCAAACCGCAGTAGATAAAAATAGCAATCTTCTGCTTTCAGATGGTGCAAAATGTCGATGAAAAATTATCAAAGCAAAAGATATAAATAAATCGACTCCTCTTCATTATCTGGTAATCAAAGGAAATAAAGATATAGCTGTATGGTGCAAATATGAATGATAAAGATTTTAATGATCATACTCTTCTTCATTCTGCAGTAATTGAAAATAATTTAGAAATAACTAAATTTCTTGTTTCGCATGGTGCTAATATCAAAGCAAAAGACATGAATAGATTGTCCTCTGCTTTCCATTACATTTACAATGAAATTATAATGCTTTTCATTTCACATGGTCTCTGATACCACATTCAATATTAAGAGAAAATAATAAAGCATTAATCACTAATGAAAAAGATTCTTTTGTTTTATTGATAACTGTATTTGAACAATAATACAAAGGCGAGTATTTCGAAATTAAAACATTCCAATTATCAAACCAGCAATATATTGATAATTGATAAATAAATCGCCCGTATTAATTAATTCAGAAGCTTGTGAGAAAAATTATATTAGAATTCTCTAAAAAAAACTTCCGTGAGAATTCTTTTTTAGAATTCTTGAGATTTTAAATGAGAAATAAATAAAAGTGTTGTAAACAGAAATTCATCAAAAGTGACACCTCGGAAAAGCTAAAATATTGAATTTTTGGAACTTTTGATAGAGCACGTTTTTAAATATTAATTAAAGTAAATGTATATTTTGTAAAGATTCTTTTTAATAAAAAATAAAATTTTGAAGAAGAACACAAAATCTTCTGAAAAATAATATCACATAAACTCATATTATTTTCTAATATATAACTATTTTATATAAAAATCAAATTCAATGATCTTAAAAGCGAATGATAAACCTCAAAATTTACGAATATAATGAGTGGGAATATAATGCTTATCTATCATAAAACCATATGAAATATCAATTTTTGCTTTACGCCTAATTTTTGACGACAATTAGCAAAAAATGTTAAATGTTAACACTCAGTCCATTTGAATATGAAAAATAAAATTGACTTTGATTAAATGTTTTTATTTATCATGCAATTCTTCTTGCGACCAAAGATTTGAATAAAAGTTCAAAAAATAAGATAGCTTAAAAAATAATATACGGTAGTGTAATAAACAGAAATTCATCAAAAGTGACAGCTCTCAATTTTTTGACATTTGTAAATTCTAAATTGAATGAGAAAAATGAAATAATACTAAGCATAATACAATATTCTAGATTTAATTATAATTAGGAAAAAGTTAGTTTTGAGAGTACTTTTCATAGGCATATAGAATGAAATCTTCTGAAAAATAATATCACATAAACTCATATTATTTTCTAATATATAACTATTTTATATAAAAATCAAATTCAATGATCTTAAAAGCGAATGATAAACCTCAAAATTTACGAATATAATGAGTGGGAATATAATGCTTATCTATCATAAAACCATATGAAATATCAATTTTATTTTTCATATTCAAATGGACTGAGTGTTAACATTTAACATTTTTTGCTAATTGTCGTCAAAAATTAGGCGTAAAGCAAAAATTGATATTTCATATGGTTTTATGATAGATAAGCATTATATTCCCACTCATTATATTCGTAAATTTTGAGGTTTATCCTTCGCTTTTAAGATCATTGAATTTAATTTTATATAAAATAGTTATATTAGAAAATAATATGAGTTTATGTGATATTATTTTTCAGAAGATTTTGTGTTCTTCTTCAAAATTTTATTTTTTTATTAAAAAGAATCTTTACAAAATATACATTTACTTTAATTAATATTTAAAAACGTGCTCTATCAAAAGTTCCAAAAATTCAATATTTTAGCTTTTCTGAGGTGTCACTTTTGATGAATTTCTGTTTACAACAGTAGTGTTTACTAATAGATGAATAGTATATAAATTCTATTAAAATGGATTTGATCCAAAAAAATATATAAAATTTGATCATAAATAAAATCGTTTTAAATTACTTCTTCATTTAAATTATAACAATTATTTTTGGTTTTATATTTTTTTGGATCAAATCCATTTTAATAGAATTTATATACTATTCATCTATTAGTAAACACTACCGTATATTATTTTTTAAGCTATCTTATTTTTTGAACTTTTATTCAAATCTTTGGTCGCAAGAAGAATTGCATGATAAATAAAAACATTTAATCAAAGTCAATTTTATTTTCATATTCAAATGGACTGGGTGTTAACATTTAACATTTTTTGCTAATTGTCGTCAAAAATTAGGCGTAAAGCAAAAATTGATATTTCATATGGTTTTATGATAGATAAGCATTATATTCCCACTCATTATATTCGTAAATTTTGAGGTTTATCATTCGCTTTTAAGATCATTGAATTTGATTTTTATATAAAATAGTTATATATTAGAAAATAATATGAGTTTATGTGATATTATTTTTCAGAAGATTTCATTCTATATGCCTATGAAAAGTACTCTCAAAACTAACTTTTTCCTAATTATAATTAAATCTAGAATATTGTATTATGCTTAGTATTATTTCATTTTTCTCATTCAATTTAGAATTTACAAATGTCAAAAAATTGAGAGCTGTCACTTTTGATGAATTTCTGTTTATTACAAAAGAATTTATATTAAGGCTGCACTTACGCCCATTGGACTTTAATTCAAATTTTTGACAACCGGCGTGAAGCGTCATTGAAGATTAACCTTAAACATCCGAATTGAATACCCTGTCATAGGAGCGTAAGTACACTTTTTTTGTAAAATTATGTACGTTAAGCAGAATCATTTTTTAAAAAATCTTCAAGAATGAGTAATCTTCAAGAAAGCGAGCAAGAAGTATTAGAGAGTATTGGTAAAGATGTATTGGAGAGCTGGTCAAATGAAAATATTAAACCTCTTTATCCAGATAACGGAAATGATTCTGTTCATCAGTTAATTGCAATGCTTTCAACACCAAAAAATGATCTTCCAGACAACTGGCAAGAAAAATTCAGAAAGATTGTTGATAGTTTAAGTCCGATTGATTTCGCAATTTATGGTAAAAACATTTCGTACTTCCTATTATCTAATACAAGGACCAAGAACAATGGGGACTATCAAATCCGTCATAAATCACATAAAAAACATTCAGATTATTATCAGATGAAGGCTCTTGCAGCCAAAAGGTATAAGAAGCTAGATATACCGCCTAGAAACTTCCCAGAATGGCTTCCTACAATCTAATTCTTGAATATTAATCAATTTTTACTTGTTTGATATTAAAAATCTGTTTTATACGAGCTTATTGTTACGAGAAATTTTGTTTGTCTGTATTCGGTCATTATATATTCAGTCACTAATTTTGATTTCAATAAAAATAATCGTTCTAAAAAACCGCCAATCAATAATCTTTTGTTTTTCTCTTTTTTTATACGTTTTCTTCAATGGTCTCATGCAATGCATGATGCTAGAGGCTACTTTGACTCCAAAACACTATATTCTGCGTCAGAATTTCATAAATTTGATTATAAAATTTCACAAAATTCGACCAAATATAAGTATTATATAGCAGAAATACCATTGACAATACCACAGAAGACATTGAAATGCTCGTCAGTATCAGAATTCCCGCATTTATACACATATCAACTAAATGTTCAAAAATCGCAAGAAGAAATTTATTACGTTGATAATTTCTTTGGTAGCACATATCTCAAAACGAGGTTTGGCAAGAAAATAACGTCAGATATATCAAAAGCCAGTCATTTTCTAACAAACAAGAAATACAACAATCTTACAGAAGTAGAATTCACAGGTGAGCTTCCGGAATATTACATAACCTACGTGTATGGTCCAGCAGACCGTATTCATGCAAATCTTTGTACTTCTGTTCATATGTTCAGATTTTATTACTTTGCATACTGCAACATCATAATATTCACACTTGTATTAATATCATTTCTAATCGTTCGAAAATTAACTTTTGGAATTCCTCAAGTTTATTTTGTCACGAGGAGAGGCGTTTACCTTACAAGGAAGCCAGAAAAAGAAGCAGGAGCATTATCCAAATTCGTAATGACTGTTAATCCTTCGATTTTACCTACATCTTTCAATCCAAAATCAAAATCTGACCCAGAACTTCGTTTTGTCGTAATAAAAAGCGGTTTTGTATACATAGCGTGTGAATTACAGGCCCTTAGAATGGACCACAATATCGTACAAGACTTCCAAACTGCTGCAGGTTTCATTCACAACGAAGAGAACAAAGATGGACTTCCAATCAACTGCCAGATGCGAAGAACTACAAAAGGAGACCCTGTTTTAGAGGTTAAAGCTAAACTTTACGGAAGAGATTGTTCAATTTTACTACATCCTGAACAAAACAATTTATTACCATGTGGCGAACATCGATTACTATCTACATCAATACAAAGTATCTACAGTGATATAATTTACGACATTTTGGTGTCAAATGGAAATTCCCCGTTAAATAAGCAATGGGGCAAATCATTTATATCCAAACTGGACGCCTTAGTTGTCGGTTTATTCAGTATTACTGATAAAATCGACGTAATCCATCTCGCCGGCCAATCAAAAGAATATGAAGACGAAATGTTGAACTTTGTTCAGAAATTGAAGCTTCCAGACCACGCATCCATCAAAACTATGTCCGTTACAACAGGAAAATTGTATATAAGTGGCACAGTTGTCTCATTATTTAATCAAAATATTTCAATGTTCCTCGGAATCTCTCCAGAAAAAATGTTTTTGAGAGCTCAAGAAAGTATGTGGCTCGAATTCGCTACAATTTTCATTACTTTCTTCAGAATTGTGGATTCAAATTCTGTCAGGACGAGATTTTTAAGATTACATAATCTTTACAAGGCAACAGGCAAGCACTGCATCTTAGAGACCATGGATTCCAAGATTATCCATACTTTTGGCAAGGAATCAATAATTACAGGCAAAGATCAGTTCGAATCCATCAGAGATAACACCGAATACCTTCTAAAAAGAAGTAACAAGACAGAACTGTTCATGAGGCTTGGAAATGACTGGAATTGGTTTAATGTAAGAGCTGTCAGATGTTTTGACCAAGTTATGAACAATTATATCAATTCATATCTCATTACTGATATGTCAAATGTTCTTCAGGCCGAAACTAACTTCAGAATGAAGAGAAAGGAGAAATTTGATATGTTAAGGTTAATGAAGTTACAAAGATTCGGCTACACGTCGATACCACCTTTCACGGACTATACAATCTCCCGGCTACTCGGTTATGAGACTCCAAGGAAGCTAATGAATTTATTGCATCCAGATGACATAAGGAAGATCAAGCTTGGGACACCAATATCCATTGTGAGAGCTTTGTCCTCCAATGGTACATATTCGACCTATTTCATGGTCCATTCTAAAGAATACGACGAATCTGGATTTATCTTCCCTTTCCCTCAGTTTGATTCGATCAACCAGAGGTTCGCCAGTGAAGATGATTTTACTACATTCCCATCCGAAAGCAAGAGGTTCGCATTCTTTGTTATTGATCCAATTTCAAAAAGAATCGTTTCTTTTGTCGGAATCCCATCGATCATCAACCATTTCAAGTCTATCCCTCAACCTCATGCCAAGGACATCTATACTCTCGTCCATCATGACAGTCGACAGCAATATGACGTTGCATTCCAAAATCTTCTCAGTGGAACCTCGAAAGTCGAGAAATTGGATGTCTTATTCGAATACTATGACATTGGTTTCTCCCATTCCCGTATTTCCATGGAGATGACCTCTTCAGATTTGATTTTAATTTATGTCTTCAACAATTCCAAAGAAGCACAGATCGAAGCGACCTTCAACGACCTCAGTTCCACAGTAGATACCGCTCTAAGGTATACTAACGTCGTATCCTTCACTTTCATGAACAATCATGATCATCAGTTCATTTTAACACGTCCTCCCGAGAAATGCCACACGATAACAATAAACTGGAGCTTCATAGAGCACAACATTTCTATTGACGACCAGCCGAACATCATCAAACAGTTCAAAGCCGCTTTGGAAGAAGGAAAACAAATTGAACTGGAAGTAACGATGATTTTCGACAGAATGAAGCATTACACGATTCGTGGCTTCAGAACAGAGTCCGGAAAAGTCATTGGCATTCTCTTGGATCGCACAGAATTGTTCTCAATGTTCAACCAAATTGAGCAACAAACGAAACGCGCTGATGAAGCAAACAACGCTAAATCCAGGTACTTGGCGAACATGTCACATGAAATACGAACACCTCTCAACGGAATGAATGGTTTGTTGGAGTTGTTGGATGGTACAGAACTCGCTAAAAACAATTCCGAAATATTGAAATGCATCAGAACAAGTTTTGTCAAATTATTGGAATTGTTGAATGATACATTGGACATTGCAAAGATCGATCAGAACTGCATGATTCCAGAAGATGTTCCATTCAATACTTTCGATCTTGCACTAAGTGTTACACAAGGATTTGAACAGAGAGCAATTGATTCTGGTGTTGAATTACGCGTTGAAATCATTCCAGGAACACCATCGATGTATCGCGGAGAACCACATTTTCTCGCGAGAATCATGAACAATTTGATCTCGAATGCAATCAGATGCACGGAAAGAGGATACGTAAATGCAACTCTTTCCCAAGTCCTTCCTAAAGGAACACTGTTAGTAAGAGTTGAAGATTCTGGTTCTCACATAACTCCAGAAGAAAGATTGTCACTTTTTGATGCATTTGGCAGTTTGGGAAGTGGCAATTGCACTGTTAGATGCGAAGGAACTAGTTTGGCATTGGTCAAGAGATTGGTTGATTTGATTCGTGGCAAGATAAACGTCAAAGATAATGATGACGGAGTTGTTTTCGAAGTGGAATTGCCTTTCGAACCAATTTTGTGCACGTACATTCCAAGAAGAATGAAGAGATACGGTTGGGAGATGCTATTCTTGTGTCCTGAATGCGTAATACAAGGAACACCTGAATCCCACGCTTTCTTCACTGGAATGAATTTACTTTATGAACCATCAAAAGTGACAGATAAATTACTTGTTGTCATTGCAAGAAATACACATCCACAATTGTCAATCGCCGTGGAATTGAAGAAGAAATACCCAAGAACAAGTATTATCTGCATAACAAGATTGACTCCGCCAGTTATCAAAGGAGATTTCATCGTTGTTCCGCAATCTCAATTTTGGCTTCACTTTTGTCAGTTTTTCCTCACAACATGCATGCACAAAGTTAGTAGGATTAACGGGCCACATGATAACAGCAATGAGATGCAGCCGGATGAGACATACAAGATCTTGGTCGCTGAGGACACACCGATGAATCAGTTGGTCATTTCGAAATTGCTCGAAAAATTGAATGTCAAATTTGACATTGTTTCTAATGGCCAGGAAGCGCTCGAGAGACTCAAGAAGGAGCACTACAGTGTCATATTCATGGACCACCACATGCCTGTGATGGATGGACCGACTGCAGCAAGAGAAATAAGAAGACAAGAAAAATTAAATTCTGACAAATACGGAATTCCGATTTTCGCTATGACTGCAAGTATTATGAAGGAAGATGAGGACGAATGCAGAGAATCAGGAATGAATCAGTTCGTAAGTAAGCCAATTTCGATACATAAGCTGCAACAGGCAATTAGAGACTCGTTGACATATCCTTACAACAAACAAGGTAATATGTAATTGTTTTTTATTTATTTTTTTATTGTTTATTTGTTTATTATTTTTTTATTATTTAATTTATTTTTTTTCTTTAGTTATTATTTTGAATTTAAAAAATCTATATATATTTATTGAATCTTTTATGTTTTTAGTCTATTTCATTTATCAAATTATATTGATTTTGCAATAATCAGTTCATAGCCTTTCCATATAGTATTTTTATGTGTAAGGCTGGAATTTTATGGTGTTTGTACAATCTGATGTTCTAACATTATAAATACCCTATAATTTTATGAATATGGCACTTTTCGTCGATTTTCAAAGAATTAAATCGCTTCTATCTCAATAACTAATAAACATATAAGATTTTTGAAAGTATATATATAGTGTACTACATCTCAAGATATTATTAATATGTATTAGAAAGAATAATATATTGGATTTTGATATCACAAAATGACTTTTCAATTTATTGTAGTTCCTCACAGAGTTGAGATTCTACAAAATTCTTTGCAGATAATTTATGAAGGGATGATAGACTAACGAACTATAGATACATGAATTGAAAATAAAAAAATCGATTAAATATGAACCTTCATAAACCGTTTAAGAACTTAAAAACTATTCTTTATTGTTTATTTTTGACGAAGTTTAATATGATTGTGGTTTTATTGGACAATAATCGAGTAACGGAAAAAATAACATTTATCTATAAAGTGAAAATTTAGAGGTATATTTCGTAAGATATTTCCTCTCTGATTACAAGAACTATTGTGAGCTATCAATCTAATGAAAGAGAGCAGATTTGGCCGTAATGAAATGCAATACTTCGAAAATCAATGCAAAAAAGATTAATTTGTTAGAAACAATCGACTATGACACTGAATTCTAAGAGCAAACGTTTACATTAGGATATTTTTGATCATTTCCAAATATTGCAAAATTGCATTTAAACAAGTTAAGGAGAATACTATATTAACCGTGTTGTAAGGAAATATAACAATTTTAAAGATTTTGCGACAGAATTTGAAAAAATATGAAAATCAGATATATAAAAATTGAATAAAATAACATTATGATGGAATATAAGTAGATGAGCTATTAATGCTGCTATGATTTAAAATTGAGTAGTAATGAAATAGAATTTCGATTAAAAAAATTAATGTAATCGTATGAAAGCTTTGATCCTAATAATTAATATTCGCAAATATTTTAACCTACTAATAAATTCTGATTATATTAAGATATTTTAAAAATGAGATTCCAAATTGAATGGTGATGGAGATGAAAATTTTTAAAAATATAAATAAGAGGATAAATTGATTGAGATATTAACTAGTAAATATTTGAAAAAGTAAATTATTTGAAATCCTTTAAAAAAGTTACGGATAAAAGCTATATAAATAAAATGACTGGTGTGGTTGGTTAGCTTAATGTGTAATATCAAAAAGAATTAATGGGTGTTGTGAAGTGAGCAACTTTGAGAAGAATCATTTGTGATTCTTGTCAAAGTTGAATCAAAGACAACAATTGATAGACAATTGTTGTCTTTGTGTTCGATAAACACGTGTTATTTATGAATATACACGTGTTTGTTGTTCACTGAGCAACTTTTAGAAGAATCATTTTGTAATACTTTGAAACACAAAATAGCATATTATGCTTTTATTTATCTATATGTGTCATTCTGGGAGACATTGTCTATGCAAGTCTCCCAGAATGACACATTCATACACAATCTTCTTCTGATTGTGTATCTTTTGTCAACAAAGTGCAACAGTGCACTGTTATTGTGTGCTATGCGTCATTCTGGGAGACATTGTCTATGCAAGTCTCCCAGAATGACACATTCATACACAATCTTCTTCTGATTGTGTATCTTTTGTCAACAAAGTGCAACAGTGCACTGTTATTGTGTGCTATGCGTCATTCTGGGAGACATTGTCTATGCAAGTCTCCCAGAATGACACATTCATACACAATCTTCTTCTGATTGTGTATCTTTTGTCAACAAAGTGCAACAGTGCACTGTTATTGTGTGCTATGCGTCATTCTGGGAGACATTGTCTATGCAAGTCTCCCAGAATGACACATTCATACACAATCTTCTTCTGATTGTGTATCTTTTGTCAACAAAGTGCAACAGTGCACTGTTATTGTGTGCTATGCGTCATTCTGGGAGACATTGTCTATGCAAGTCTCCAGAATGACACATTCATACACAATCTTCTTCTGATTGTGTATCTTTTGTCAACAAAGTGCAACAGTGCACTGTTATTGTGTGCTATGCGTCATTCTGGGAGACATTGTCTATGCAAGTCTCCCAGAATGACACATTCATACACAATCTTCTTCTGATTGTGTATCTTTTGTCAACAAAGTGCAACAGTGCACTGTTATTGTGTGCTATGCGTCATTCTGGGAGACATTGTCTATGCAAGTCTCCCAGAATGACACATTCATACACAATCTTCTTCTGATTGTGTATCTTTTGTCAACAAAGTGCAACAGTGCACTGTTATTGTGTGCTATGCGTCATTCTGGGAGACATTGTCTATGCAAGTCTCCCAGAATGACACATTCATACACAATCTTCTTCTGATTGTGTATCTTTTGTCAACAAAGTGCAACAGTGCACTGTTATTGTGTGCTATGCGTCATTCTGGGAGACATTGTCTATGCAAGTCTCCCAGAATGACACATTCATACACAATCTTCTTCTGATTGTGTATCTTTTGTCAACAAAGTGCAACAGTGCACTGTTATTGTGTGCTATGCGTCATTCTGGGAGACATTGTCTATGCAAGTCTCCCAGAATGACACATTCATACACAATCTTCTTCTGATTGTGTATCTTTTGTCAACAAAGTGCAACAGTGCACTGTTATTGTGTGCTATGCGTCATTCTGGGAGACATTGTCTATGCAAGTCTCCCAGAATGACACATTCATACACAATCTTCTTCTGATTGTGTATCTTTTGTCAACAAAGTGCAACAGTGCACTGTTATTGTGTGCTATGCGTCATTCTGGGAGACATTGTCTATGCAAGTCTCCCAGAATGACACATTCATACACAATCTTCTTCTGATTGTGTATCTTTTGTCAACAAAGTGCAACAGTGCACTGTTATTGTGTGCTATGCGTCATTCTGGGAGACATTGTCTATGCAAGTCTCCCAGAATGACACATTCATACACAATCTTCTTCTGATTGTGTATCTTTTGTCAACAAAGTGCAACAGTGCACTGTTATTGTGTGCTATGCGTCATTCTGGGAGACATTGTCTATGCAAGTCTCCCAGAATGACACATTCATACACAATCTTCTTCTGATTGTGTATCTTTTGTCAACAAAGTGCAACAGTGCACTGTTATTGTGTGCTATGCGTCATTTGGGAGACATTGTCTATGCAAGTCTCCCAGAATGACACATTCATACACAATCTTCAATTCTTGTTTTAATTTTGTCTCATATTAACTGAATATCTCTCTTCAACATATTTACTTCTAATACCCGACAATACCTTATCATAAAACCTCCTTTAAATCCACTTTTTCTTCTTTCATTACTTTCAAATTCTAAGATTCAAATTTTTTTCTATTTCATTCAGTTTTCTTTTATCAAAATCATATAACCATTCATACTGATTCTTAATTTACTATATTACATTGAGATTTCATCTTTTTTCATATTTCGAATTAAATCAGCTATTTAAACCTAATATCCGGACCTGTCAGTATTCAAATATTATTGGCCACATGTATCTGAGCATTTACACGGATTTTACCAAATTTTGCAAAAAATGTGTTATGAGATGGGTGTTTACCCACGTTTTGCAAAAAAAAACCAAAATGATAGAGTGGGTAATAAGGATCAGTTTTGCTATAGCTTGTCCGGCTTGAAACTCAATATTCATTCGGGAAAAGACGTTTCAAAATTTTGTAAAGTATTCAAATTTGCAGCTTTGTTCGATTTGAAAATTGAAATTTGAAACGAAATGACTGTATGAATATGTTCTTCATATTGAATCTAAGCATTTCTTGGAATTTGGAGTTTTTCTAAAAAGTTTTATCGGTTGAAAAATTAAAAATAAAACAAAAGAATTTTTTTCCGATTTTTTAAACGCATCTTAATTTTTAACGGACGAAGGAGTATTTGATCAAAGTTCAATAAGGCTATCACACTATATTATAGTTAGCTTGCAAAGTAAGCAATATAATCTGGAATTTAATAACTTATAAAGATTTGATAAAACCATTTTTGTGTAAATTAGTATTTAATAGGAAAATATGAAATTAGATTAGTCAAACATATAAATTGTTATTATATGAAATGATAACAATTGATAAAACATACAGATTGGAAGATTAGGTGAATTTTTGTGATGAATAGGTGTGTTTGTATGTAATGCCTCTATAGTATATTCATAATAAAAATTAGTATACTATAAAAACTTGATTTGAGAAGAAAATTAATGTGGAATAAGAAGATTGTAGAGAAACGTCTCATTCTGTGAGACAGTCACAAATAATATCTCCTTACCATATCAAATCCTTAAATTTTATATATGCTATTTTTTTAATCTTTTAAAAATTTCTCTTTAACTCTCTTCAAAGACTTTCTTTTATGTCAAAAATTTGTTTCACTTTGCCCCAACTCATATACTCTAAAAATAATAACAATAGCCAAATATATAAAATTAATTTTTAATTCATTAAAATTATATTTATTCAAAGTAAATCCTCATATAAACTTCTATGAACCATCCTCATCTGTTAATTCAATCAAGTATTCTAAGAAATTTGGGCAATTTTCTTCGAATAATTGGCTCTCATATGATAAATCTATTAATTCAATTTTGTCATGCATAAAATCATACTTTCCGAATATGCAATAGCATTTTTCAAGAGCCAACAATAAATCAATTTTAAATCTTAGACTGTTATTATTAAATGATTCAAGTAGTCCTTCCTCCAATAAAAAGTGGTACATTATTTGTTGATCGTTCTGTGAAAATTC